ATGTTCATATAACTCCTCATACTGTCTAATCTGTTTTTGCAAAACATTATTCATTCATATTATTTAAATCCCTGTTTTCTTAGCTTCCAATAGGTATACAGTAGATATCTATAAGCGTTAAAGCTATTTTGTCTCCCTAGCATAGATAGTTTAATCAGGGTTGCAGAGTTGGGACAATTGCAACATGCTGTTGCAACTGTCCCCAATTACAAAATTAATTTAAAGCTTGCTATATTAAGAATGTACAATTTCAATTATCAGTTTCAATGTAATTTAATTTGAAATGAAATCAAGAATTCATTATTTCAAAGTTCATAGAAATAGTTTAATAAAGTTTCAGTTTTTATAGGACTGAAAATTTGGTTACTTGTTCTTTTATTTATTTATATGGCCAATTTAACATTTGCCAAATTAACTTTAGTCTGTTTACCAAAAATAAAATAAAATCCAACCTGATGTTTTAGATTTTTTTTATTGTTATGTTACTACATTTGGGTTAGTTGCAATGTTTGACTTTGTCAGTTCAAGTTTAAATTCTGTATATATTATCATATATACACGTTACAGTAATGTGGGTGGGTGTTCAATAGATGTGGATTTATTGTATTAAAATTTTGGGTTTCCACAGAAAACTGTCTCTAAGTAAATTAAGGAAATGCAAAAAGTGTTGCAACTGTCTCCACTCTCCCCTATACACTGACAAAAGTGGAAATAATTTGAGTAATGTGATTTGATTTTATGATGGTTGATATTAGCATTTACACTGCAATACAGTGACCCTGTACTTTCATTTAAATTTTTTTAAATGCAATTTATTGTACTATTATACATATATATATATATATTTTTTTTATATTTACACCTACGTGTGTATGTTATCTCGGCCAATAAAAAAAACAAAGTACACAATGAAACACTTGATAATATTTACTTCTCGAACAACATTATCTATAAAACTACACAAAACCACATGAGGAAAGTGATCTAACGAACTAAACTGATTATATCAGACTGACAACATTAAAAATAAACATACTATAAAAATAAAAGTTAATCAAAGACATATTACATTGAATGTCCATTTTAGTAGCGGATTTGGTGGTAAATCGACCGTTTACGTCACTTCCGTAATGCAAGTCTGTGGAAAGCGAATAATTGGTCAGTTTTGTGTTTAGGGAATGTTATCAGGAATTATGAGTCGTTTTAAATGAAAACTGAAGAAAAAACGTGGTCAAAGCAATGCAGTCTCGAGACAATAAATGTCGACTTGCGAAAAAGGAAAGCGACAGAGTTCACGGCAAAACTACAATCAATATAGGCGGAGCACTATAAATAATGAAGTTATTTATACAATAAAAGTGCCTTTTTAAACTCCAGTACAGTCAAAGTTGGCCAATGATAACCTTTGGTTTGGTCCGCCATTCCCATCTGAATAGAGGGAGAATGATGAAGAGTTGGTTGTGGCAAATGCCTTTGAAAGAGAGAGAGAAAGATCACCATTTAAAAATTTACCATAACTTTTTGCTTCTTTGTTTGATTGAGAAGCTACAAAAAGCCAACTAAAATTAAATGTTTCATTTAAATGTTGTAAATAAATCTGACTTAATGTAAATACTGTCCCTTGACAGATGCACAAGACATCGGCGAGCAAATTAAGGCAAAGGCAGGAGCAGCTCGACTAGTGTATTCTCATTGAACTCCATTGTGTTATAAATGGGATTGTTAATGTTTTTACTATATTAAGTCCATTATAAAAGGCTAAAAATGATACTGCATCATTAATTTATATGTTTTAAAGCAACTTTTCTAGTTCTTTTTAAATCTTAAGAAATAAATAGGAAATTATCCATGGCACATTTAATGTAATACAATTTGGTATATTCAGCTTCCACCCACAGCCCTCAATTAAGTTTGGTTTTTGGCCCTTTATAAGAAAAGGTTTGGGCACTCATAGTCTAAGTAATGTTTCTCAGATTCTCGTTTCTTATTGTTTAAGGGCATTTAGTGAACTTTCAGAAGACCGATCCAGCATTTCTTCAATCTCTCCAATCTCCATTCCTCCCAGAAGACAACCTCAGAAATCAATAAGGCCTGCACTGCAATCTGAGGTAATAATTACTATGCACACTTGGTTTGTTCAATCAATTAACAATATCTCAACAAAAATCTGTATTTGCATCTAACTCCTTGTAAAATATTGTTAGGCAACATGGACTGATTCACTCAGTTCGGACCAGCTGTCAGACTCTGAAACTCTGCCTGGTCCTGATTCCAAATCTGCAAAGGTTGAAGTTCTCGAGTTCGGCTACGAGCATCCTCCATATCAGACAGTAAGTAATCGCAGATTATGCTAGTTTTGTCAGGTTGTGCCGGATTTTACAGTCAATGCAATCCAGCAGATTACACAAGACCAGGGTTTTAATTTAAATTCCAGACACTTGTCAATGGCTGATGACTTGCTGGCCATATGCATTGCCATTTTAACATGCACATTATAAGCAATTACTTCATACCATATCACATTTTAAGGCATGTTAATAAAAATACAAGGCAACTCTGTTTAATATTCTATGCCAGGGGTGCCCAAACCTTTTCTTATAAAGGGACAAAAACCAAATTTAATTGAGGGCTGTGGGCCAAAGTTGAATATTTCAAATTGTATTACATTAAATTCACCATGGGTAATTTCCTAATTTATTTGCTAAGATTTTAAAATGAAAATGTTGCTTTAAAACATATAAATTAATAATGCAGTATAATTTTTAACTTTTTAATAATGAACTTATTATAGTAAAAACATAAACAATCCCATTTATAACACAATGGAGTTCAATGAGAATACACTAGTCGAGCTGCTCCTGCATTTGCCTTAATTTGCTCGCCGATGTCTTGTGCATCTGTCAACTGGCAGTATTTACATTAAGTCAGATTTATTTACAACATTTAATTTTAGTTGGCTTTTTTGTAGCTCCTTAATTAAACAAAAAACAAAAGGTTATGTTGAATTTGAAGTGATGATTTCTCTCAAAAGGTTTTTGCCACAACCAACTCATCATTCTCCTTCTATTCAGATGGGATGGTGGGCCAAACCAAAGGTTACCATGGGCCAACTTTGGCCCACAGGCCCTACTTTGGTCATCACTGTTCCAAGCCAATGCTAAATCTCACATTTGTCAATTGACTAGTCTTAATTTTAGGCCCTGACTCTGTTAAAAACCAAAACAGCTAAATAATTGTGAATCCATTTAAAATATACAGTTGAAGTCAGAATTATTAGCCACCCTGTTTTTTTTTTCCCCAATTTCTGTTTAGCGAAGAGAAGATTATTTCAACACATTTCTAAACATAATAATTTTAGTAACTCATTTCTAATAACTGATTTTTATTATCTTTGCCATGATGACAGTAAATAATATTTGATTAGATATTTTTCAAGACACTTTTATACAGCTTAAAGTGACATTTAAAGGCTTAACTAGGTTAATTAGGGTAACTAGGCAGGTTAAGTTAATTAGGCAAGTTATTGTATAATGATGGCTTGTTCTGTAGACTATGAGGAAAAATATATAGCTTAAAGGGGCTAATAATATTGTCCTTAAAATGGCTTTTAAAAAATTAATAACTGCTTTTATTCTAGCCGAAATGAAACAAATAAGATTTCTCCAGAAGAAAAAATATTATCAGACATACTGTGAAAATATCCTTGCGCTGTTATACATCATTTGGGAAATATTAAAAAAAAAGAAAATAAAAATCAAAGGGGGCTAATAATTCTGACTTCAGCTGTAAATATTCAGTTAACAAGTGGTAATGCCCATTTTTGTATATTTTTGTGAATTTAAAATGAATACTTTATTTGGGTGTAAACTAAAATATCGTAAAGTGCACCAATTCAAGAACCAAAGACTATTGCTGGTACTCATGTTACTGTTTTTTCTACCACATAGATTAAGCAAGAAGAGCCTGAACAACAATTGGAGGATGAATCTGGTGTGGATATCATGATTGCTTCTACTGCACAGTCGTATGGTTTTGTTCCTCATTGTTCATCATCTACAGATGAAGAAAACGAAATGCAATGGGATGAAATAAAGGTTGGTGTAAAGGATTTTTTTTTCCTGACAAATATCTTACCACATGCTTTTTCAAAAGTATTTCCAGGGGTTTGCTGTACACACGATGGTTGCTTTTACAATTAAATCTATTTTTGTACTTGAGCACATGCTTGTCGCATCTTCAGATGAACAAGTTCAAATTGACAAGAAACTAATTTAGTCATACTGTGCAATGTAAGGATTAAATTAATGATGAGTTGTTGAATTATTCTAAAATAATGCACACCAGCTGTTGTGATATAGCCATGTCGGATACCTTAGGTGTGCTTTATTTCCTAATAATTCAATGGACTGGAGTCAATTATTATGCTTATAATATAGCTACCATAACTAAAGATACTGTTCATGTTTTAGTTGGGCTTTGTCATTCCGCTACATGTGTGGACATACAGGACCACGGTGCTACAAAAATAATAAATGTACAACAATGGATGCTAGATCAGTTTAAACTTATACAAAACTAACATATTGGGAGTGGTAATTTAACTATACCAAATATGCATATACTATAAATGCTTAGTTACAAATAATCAAATTTAGTCACTGTGCATTTGTTTGCAGCTGCTTTTAGATGCAAGGATTAAATGAATGAGTTGTTGAATTATTAGGAAATAATGCACACTAGAGGTTGTGATACAGCCATGTCGGATACCTCAGGTGTGCTTTATTTTCAAATAACACACTAGAGTTTGTGCGTGCGAAATTCTGTCGTACGGCGCTGCGAAAAGAGGCGGGAATTAACAAGATTATTAGACATTAAAAAAAAGAGCAATTGAGTGGAAATCACCAATGCCACCTAAACTGTCACTTTGGCTTAGTGATGTAATGCTATTTTTGAAAACAGAAAAAATTTTATATTTTCTCAGAGGATCAACCAAAACATTATTCAAATCATGGGACCCTCTAAAATTCATATTGAGACTAATGTACTCCTCAAACCATAAATTCCCAACCCCACCCCCACCCACCTTTTTTTTAATTTAATTTATTTATTTATTTGTAAATTTATTTTTATTTTATTTTCATTTTTATTATTATTATTATTATTAATATATTTTTTTATTTAATGCATTTCCTTTTCATCAAAAATTTGTATTATGTTAATTTGTCTCTTTTTCAAATTTATGTATGGTTCAAAAAAAAGAAAAAACGAAAATACCTTTGTAATTGAATACCTTTAAATGTACTGTACCTTTTGTCAAATACACAAATACACAAAAAAAAAAAAAAAAAAAAAAAGCGAGCGATTGCTCAATGTTTTAAATTTCTGCCCAGAGAGGTCATGTTTTGATCCTCGATTGGTTTCATACAGTCAAGTGATGCGATTTCGCAGGTCAGAGTTCACCAAGCTTGAACTTTGCACTGCAGCAACCTGCGAAACTTGACGCATGACCCTGCGTTTCCGGTCTGATGCGTTCGCGTGCGTATGAATGGAAGTCTATGGGGAAAAAAGTCAAGTGTGACCGCAGCTTAATTCAATGGACTGGAGTCAATTGTTATGCTTATAGCTACCATATCTAAAGACATTGCTCAAGTTGGGCTTTGTCATTACATACAGTAGAACAAATTGATGTCTTGCAGTGCTACATAAAAAAAAAAAAAAATATATATATATATATATATATATATATATATATATATATATATATATATATATATATATATATATATATATATATTTAAACAAAACACTTGACGTAAGAGCAATTTAAAACTATACATAACATATTGGAGCTATACTATACTGTAAATACTTAAACTATTCACAACTTAAGAGACTTTACAAGTACTTTAACTTGAGATAGAACAATATTGTGCAAAAGACGTATTTTAGGGTTGAGTAGTGATTTGTTGGACATTCACAAGTAAACATTGGCTGTTTCTCAATTCCAAGAATGCAGAGAACAGACTTGCGCTCTCATGGAGACAGTTCTTGTCAGGTTACCTCGGGAAACTGCGAGAACAGAGAATGTGTCCCGTGAGAAAAGAGATGCTGCGTTCTTCCTGGTGTGGTCGCATGACCTTCACGCATTAACGGAAATGTAAATATTACAGCATTTATACAGCTATTAGTTTTTATCCTTTTTAATACATATTACATGTACAAAAGCCTTACAAATATACTTTTCCCAATACAAATTAAACCGATTTTAAGAATTTCAGCTAATAAACACCCTTAATGTGTCTATGCCTTTATTAAGATTGTTTATGGTAATGTTTACTTTCAGTCACATCTCTCAATTTTACTAACAAATCTATATAAAATGCTTCCCCACCTCCTTTATTTAGCCGCAATGACTTCTGGTCTGCATCCATGCATCCTCAATACCAAGATTGCATCCGGGAAATTCCACGTGTCCAATATTCTTAAAGTCTTGAGTTTTGGAACTGAACTTCGACACTATGATGATGACACGAGAACACAAAACGCATAATGAAAAACAGCCATTGTTTTTCTTATTGAGTCCTTGTAAGATGGAGTTTAAGTGTCCGGTGCATATGAAAAGAGTGTTTCTACAGGTGGTTTATAAAGCCCACTCACCTCTGTGAGGCACACTTCAGAATTTTACATTATAGATGTTGTAATAAGACATTCTCCAGGTTTGATTTTAACCCTTTAACATTAGTACATTTTATAAAACTTGTTATTAAACAGCTTAACTTTTGCTCATCTAATTCATAGCCTTTTGATTAGTGTCTACAGTAGGCTGTGTAACTATGTGGAAAAATCCAGCCTGAAACTACTTCAGTTGTTCGTTTACCTGAAAATAACTGCACTAGAATGTTCATCAGCCAATCAGAACAAAGCATTAAACAGCTCTTTGATACAAGCTTAAATGTCTTCTCAAATCTACACATATAGCAACTAATAGTTTTGTGTCTTGAAGGATGAATTAGCGGAGACTGCACAGCGACTGGAAGAGCGCTTGGAAGCAATGAGGTCATTGTCAGTCCGCGCACCAAAACCCATGTCAGTGACCAAAGAAAAAGATAAGGAAGTAAAATGGACCAACAAATCCAGTTTGAAGACGCTATTCAGGACCTGCCATCAGTGTGGAGAGTCGGTACTGGAGTTTAAGACGTTAACATCAGGGAGCCTCAGCTGGATTCAGTGGGAATGTTCAAAAGGACACCTCATGTGCCTCTTCCACAACTATAACACCACGTAACACTCAATCCAGAAAGAATCAAGCAACTGCACACTATGTATATAGGTTTAGCACATTGTGAATAACGGATGATCAGTTTTACTTTGCAATAAATGATCTCTTTATTGGTGTAAGGGAGGTTTGGGATGTTCTATAATTAAAAATCTTTCAGTTCATTGGAAAATGATTAATTTGGATAGACGCAAAAATGTTCCGCTCCAGATGTTCTACTCGCGTTGCACTTGCTTAAATTGTTTGAATTGCAAGTGCAATTTACTGATTTCGTACAGCAAAGCACTCCCATGATCTCACTAGCTATGTTTCCATCCAGCTATTTTTATGCGCATTTGGAATATACATAAAAATGGTGGGCGAGGCAGTGGCGCAGTAGGTAGTGCTGTCGGCTTACAGCAAGAAGATCACTGGTTCGAACCTCAGTTGGCGTTTGGGTGTGGAGTTTGCATGTTCTCCCTGCCTTCGTGTGGGTTTCCCCCGGGTGCTCCCGTTTCCCCCACAGTCCAAAGACATGCGGTACAGGTGAATTAGGTAGGCTAAATTGTCCGCAGTGTATGAGTGTGTGTGTAAATGTTTCCCAGAGATAGGTTGCGGCTGGAAGGGCATCTGCTGCGTAAAAACTTGCTGGATAAGTTGGTGGTTCATTCCACTGTGGCGACCCCAGATTAATAAAGGGACTAAGCCGACAAGAAAATGAATGAATGAATAAAAAAGGTGGATGGAAACGTAGCTAAAGTTTATCCCACTCGGTTATGCTTATACTTATTTTTTTTATGCGCATAAATGTTGAAAGTGCGCAATAAAAAATGTATAAACGTATATAAACTACGATGGAAATGCTATTACTGAACAAATTCCAGTATACACATTTAAAAAGGGCATGTGATTTTGTTATAAGAGATCATGCGATGATAAAATTGAGTGAATGGATATCTGAACATCTGAAAGTCATTTTAAAACGCCAGTATTAAATATTATTATACTATTAATATAATGACTTCCAGAATTGTCAAGAGCGTCTGTGTTCCACGTGTTCATTGCATGTCGGCATCGTGTTCTGAGGCGAGAGTCATTTATTAAACAAGGAAAAGATCCAAGCAGCTTCTCCCACCGCAGTAAATTTCAATTTTTCTTTTAATATTTGGCGCCAGTTTATCAGGAAGTGGTGGTTTTGTTCTCTTTGACCTATTAGATGGAAACGCTGCTTTATTTGCACACCTTTTATGCAATGTTTCAGTTTTGGACAAAGTTAATTTTCATGTTTTGGATGGAAACATAGCTAGTGATATTTAGGAAAACAGAGTTCTTGTTGTGATTTTTACTATTTGTGATTCTGGACCACATAAAGAGTCATGAGATTTATTTATTTTTTTTGGACAAGATCTCAGATACAAGCGTCCGAAATGAGTTTCCATCGCAGGGAGGCAGGGCGCACCCTTATAGATGGGGTGAGGAGCTCTGTCACCCGGGAGGAGCTCAGAGTAGAGCTGCTGCTCTTCCACATTGAGAGAAGTCAGTTAAGGTGGCTCGAGCATCTGTCCCACCGGGAGGAGGCCTCAGGGAAGACCCAGGACACACTGGAGGGACGGTTTATCTGCTGGCCTGGGAAAGCCTCTGGATCCTGCCGAAGGAAGTGTCTGGGGAGAGTGAAGTCTGGGGTTCTCTCTTAAGACTGCTGCCCCCGCGACCAGTCCCCGGAAAAGTAGTTGAAAAATGATGGATGGATGAATGAATTATTAAGATTTATACATCAAATGAAAGCTGAATAAATAAGCTTCCATCAATCTATACTTCATATTTTAGGGCAGGGGTGTCAAACTCAGTTCCTGGAGGGCCGCAGCCCTGCTTCAACACACTTACCTGTAGATTTCAAACAAGCCTAAAGGACTTAATTGGTTTGATGAGGGTTGGACTTTGCACTTTTCTATGCGAATTTGCCTATAAACTAGTCCAAATAAAAGTTCTTACAAATGCACATTACCAATCAAAAACTGAGCTCTTATACATTTACATTGCTTTTATACATTTACATATTATATATATAACTGAATTTTAATACGCTTCACAGTGTCAGAGGTTTGGGATTCAAGTATTTAAGTTGCAATATTATTGTAGATCATAAGCAGGGCCTAACAAAACCTGTGGACATTTCTTGCTATTTTTACACCATTTTGTTTTAAAATTTTTATATATATATATATATATATATATATATTTATTTTTTTTTTAAGTAAAATTTTTTTTTGCAGATTTATGTGGAATGATTTTAGGAGTACAGGAACTAAACAAAACATGAACAAAAAAATAATAACTTCAGGTTTATAATGCAAATCCAATTAGATCCATTTGTTTGGTAAACAAAGCCAGTTTCATATACTAGATCTACAAAAACTGAAAATATTACTTTGTTTTGCAAGCAAATTATATAAACATTTCAATATTAGTTAAAATTACTTAAATATAAAGGCTGAACATATATGTACACTCATTTACAGGAGGAAATAAATGGGCATTTCTGCTGTTGAAGGGTATTGTGAACGAGTGGACACTATAACTTCAGTCAAATCGACTCGCTTTGCTCCAGATGAAATGGTGATATAAAGAATTTGCACCACTCACCCAGTTTGCAGGCCAGCACAAAGTCAATGATCTCGAGGAGCGTCCCGGCGGCGTTCACACAGACAATGTTTTCTGGCTTCAGGTCGAGGTGGACGATGTTTTTCCCCATGCATGTACTGGGATTCCCTCCAGGATCTGCGTGATTAAAACTCATCTACAATCCGCTCAAACAGCTCCCCGCCTGCAACAAAACGCAGAAGAAAGGGCTAGAGGTTGTACTTTTTGGTTATTTGAATTAAGTGTTATATAGTTAATATACATAATATAGTTCCCCAAAGGGTTCACACACTATGCCAAATTCCTTTAATTTCACTGACTATAATGTGGCATTTCAATAACCTATAATGCACCGAACAGAAATTGACAGGACTTAAAAGTAACCAGCTCGCAACTTGGGTACATTCTGTCAGTGACTGCTTATGCTGCTACCTGACATAGACTAGGCAAAAAAACTATATAATAATAATAATAATCATCATCATCATAACTAGCAATCTAACATTGTATTTTTTACCTTTATTACCAGTGGTTAGCTTTAAGGACCTCATCTAAGCTTTTCTGTCTTCTGCTTTAGAATTAATTATTTTTGTAGCCAAATCTCTTGAAATGCAATTTATTCTAGAATGTTTGGCTAAGTTAACAAGTACGGCCTGCTGACTGCATTTGAAGTATAGCTGGCAGACAAGTGTGGATGTTTTTTTATTTTTTATTTTTATTTAATGCCATGTGAGCAACCAAGGCTATTTTTATGGCAAGAACAAATCAATAATAAATATCTACAGTTGAAGTCAGAATTATTAGCCCCCTTGAATTATTAGCCACCCTGTTTATTTTTTCCCCAATTTCTGTTTAACGGAGAGATTTTTTTTCAACACATTTCTAAACATAATAGTTTTAATAACTCTAAAAACAGATTTATTTTATCTTTGCCATGATGACAGTTAATAATATTTGACAAGATATTTTTCAAGACACTTCTATACAGCTTAAAGTGACATTTAAAGCCTTGACTAGGTTAATTAGGGTAACTAGGCAGGTTAGGGTAATTAGGCAATTTATTGTATAAAGTTGGTTTGTTCTTTAGACTATTGAAAAAAAATTAGCTTAAGGGGGCTAATAATTTTGACCTTAAAATGGTTCTTAAATTAAAAATTGCTTTTATTCTGGCTGAAATAAAACTAATAAGACTTTCTCCAAAAGAAAAAAAAAAATCAGACATACTGTGAAAATTTCCTTACTCTGTTATTAAAAAAATCAAAGAGGGGAGAATAATTCTGACTTCAACTGTATATTTTAAAAGTTTTTACAGCGTGATATCTCTCTCTCTCTCTCTCTCTCTCTCTCTCTCTCTCTCTCTCTCTCTCTCTCTCTCTCTCTCTCTCTCTCTCTCTCTCTATATATATATATATATATATATATATATATATATATATATATATATATATATATATATATATATATGTGTGTGTGTGTGTAAATGTATAATAAGGGCTAGAATACAGCTAGAATTTAATTATTATAGATTGATGGACAATATTGTAGGTTTTAAAGATATTTGGGATTCAGATGGACAGATATGTACTGTTATAGGAGAGAACTTATCTTTTTCTGAATTATTTTAAAAGAAAAAAAAATGTGCTAATGTAATTTTTTCAATGATCTTATACTGATTGTGTATTGATTCCTTTTAAAAAAGGCAAAATAAAGTTTGTTAAAATCTCTCTCTCTCTCTCTCTCTCTCTCTCTCTCTCTCTCTCTCTCTCTCTCTCTCTCTCTCTCTCTATCTATATATATATATATATATATATATATATATATATATATATATATATATAAATAAATGCAGGAAAAAAATCTAGTTACATTACCTTCAGTTACAAACCAGATTCGTGTCATTTGAAGTCAAAATTATTCTTTTAAAATATTTACCGAATGATGTTTAACAGAGCAAGGAAATTTTAACAGTACGTTATGTCTGATAATATTTATTCTTCTAAAAAAAAAAGTCTTTTTTGTTTTATTTTGGCTATAAAAGCAGTGTTTAATTGTTTAAAACCATTTTAAGGTCTTGAGTTTGACTAGCTGACAGGTTTTGAGAAATCGCTGTCGGTGCTCGTTCACGTGAGTGACAATCACACAGTGTGTGAACTATCAAAGACGCGATCTGAGAGAATCGCCGACACCAATGAGATACTTGGCATGCTAAATATCTGGACGATCTAATATCTGTCGATTTAAAATCATGTCGTGTGAAATGTGTTCTGATTGAAAATAATATCAGCGATTACCAACAGCCAATGAGAGAGCAGCATCCACTAGTATGGGTAACTGTTCCCCGGTTCCTGATTACCTCATTAGCTTCATTAATTACTCTCACCTGTGTCTGATTTAGTTTGCTCATGGTATATACAGCCCTGTTTTCTCCAATAAGTAGTCCAAACTCATGCTTGTGACTTCAACAATCATGTTTGGTTTCCTTTATTAGGGCCTTAAATTTAATTTGCCTGTTGAATAACACGCAACCTTTTTTTGTTTTGTAAATTTAAGCTTATTGGTGTAAGTATTAGGCATTAACAAGAGGTTTTTACATTTAATATAGAGAACAGCTGAACATACGAATCTGAAGAACATGTCAAAATAAAATGAATAGTAAATAAAACTAAAGACTTGTATGACAAAATCATTTAAAAGTAATGCTAACAAGTTGAAATAATGAAAATAGGTGAAATAATCAATAAAGATAATAAAATAAGACTTGTAATGAAGGACGTGATTATTGAAGTAATGATTAAAAATGCTGGTAAATATAAAAGTCAGTAACTTCAACATTTAACCACACATTGAAAGAGAAAACTTGATGTACTCACCTGAACTCTTGTTTGCTGTGACGTCTGTAGTGAAACACTCATCAACTTTAACAGACTTGTATACTGCAAACAAAACTCCAAACAACTCATCAGTCATGTGACTTGCTCTGATTGGGTAATTAAACATGGCATATAATTGGCTAAGACGCACGGAGCTTGTGTGATTGGCTACAGGCATAATGAGACTTTATGAATGCAGTTTATTAGATCATTTATAATCCCACGATGTACACTATATTGGTTTATATTTAGTGTGTTTACATGACACCAATTTGAGTTTCAAAACTGTATTATTATTACTACATTATACTATAATATGTGAGCATTTATTTCCCAGAAATGGCTGGAAGGGCATCCGCTGCGTAAAAACTTGCTGGATAAGTTGGCGGTTCATTCCGCTGTGGCGACCCCAGATTAATAAAGGGACTAAGTTGACAAGAAAATGAATGAATGAAATTTGAGCATTTCCAATTAACGATGACTATTTTACTTCCTTGAATCAATTGTTTTATATTTAACCTCTGATCTGGGACGTTTATTCTAGTATATTTTTAATAATAAACTGTCTAATTATGAACTTATCTTGATAAACTATTTCTTTAGCGCACCTCTGAATTTCTTTTTGTTTTCCCCACTTATCTGACACTGATTTTAGTGTGATTTTAACACTGGATATATCTTTTCCTTCTGGAGAGATTTCTTTAATCTTTACCATGATGACAGATATTTGACTAGATATTTTTCAAGATACTAGTATTCAGCTTAAAGTGACATTTAAAGGCTTAACAAGGTCTTTGAACAACAGTGGATTGTTTTGTAGACAATCTTTAAAAAATATGGCTTAAGGGGGCTGATAATATTGACCTTAAAATGGATTTAAAAAAATAAACTGCTTTTATTCTAGTCGAAATAAAACAAATAAGACTTTTTCCGGAAGATGAAAAATATTATAGAAAACATTGTAAAAAATTCCTTAATCCATTAAATATCTGATGAGAAATATTTGAAAAAGAATAAATATTGGGCATGAGGGCTAATAACAGCATCATAATAAATTAGAATATTTTATTTACCAGATTCAGTTCATTTGGGGGCTTTGGATCAAACCTGAATGTTAAAATGTAAGTCTAATCTTCTAATCTTCTCGAATAAAATCCATTATTATTATTGTTATTATTATAACAATGTGATTAACCAAGTATAATTTTCAGAGGTGAATGTCTTCCAGTATGAGAAGCTAAGCAGAGAGAAATGGAAGTCTCATTTCAAGAATCTAAAGGTTTTTTTTTTTTTGGTTGTGGTCAGCTACAGACGTTTTCATTGACTGTTATATGGACAAAATATGTCAAGAAAATGAATTATTATGACACAATAAAACATTAATTCTGCTGTCGTATTAGATCATGTAGTTCCACATTCTTGTATTTAAGGGTCACATATTTTTATTAAGTAAATATGGAACTATAAACTGTGCATTTATGGAGCAGTTTCCTTTTTTTTAATAATTAAAAATAAATAAATAATCACACACACAAAAGTTCTTCTAAGTTTTCCTCCTAATGTACAATCATTCTGTTTGTATGCATCTTATAATTTATTAATTTTTATTGCATTGATTATTGTTTTTCTCTCACTGCAATGCTGCCTTCCCACAATAAAAGTTTTTCAATATATTTCATTATGATGTATTACTCTTTATATTAATCTTATACCATCCCATTAATAATAATAACCGATCACAAAAACAATTTTATTAATTTATTTCTACGAATAAAGCCTGAGCATGCAAATATTTCACGAACTAAAACTAAGGCTTGAAAAAATAGTTTTGTTCATTCATTGGGGTGGAGGAAACCCACGCCAACACGGGGAGAACATGCAAACTCCATATAGAAAAGCCAACTGGCCCACCCGGGACTCAAACCAGCGACATACTTGCAGTGCTAACCACTGTGCAACCCAAAACAGTTTCAATTTATTCAAAATATAAACCTTATAACCTGTATATTTACTACAAATCTGTACATACAATTCAACATCCAGATTTCTTGACTAACTGCATGTCTGTTCAATGTTTAACTGAATTTTTTTCATATTTATTTTGTGTTGTCTTTGTGACTTTATATACACTGGAAGCTTCTGTAGCCAAAACAAATTCCTTGTGTGTGTGTGTGAAGCACACTTGGCAATAAAACTGATTCTGAAAATATTCCTAGCACGTCTAGGAAACAGTAAATAAATAAACAACAAGATGAAAACAGCTATTCATGAGTTTATTTTCACCTTGATCTGATTTGACAATTTAGGATCTTAAGGACCAAATCTACCACAATAGCCATCTTGAAAGTAAAACGATTCCACATATGTATATAAAAAAAACCAGACTGTGATGCACAGTTTGAGCAGTCATGGGTTCAGCTCAAATCAACACACAAATCCGGAGATTTTCATTCTCGGCTTGCTCTTTTTGTGAAAGGAGACACATTTTTAACACCACATAAATCTAAAACATCACATGTGCCTCTGTTAATTATTTTTTTTTTTTTGCTGTATTTCTGTTTTCTCCCTCCCAAATCTGTCTGTTTTTTTTTCAATGACAGGTTGTGCTTGATGTCTGGAATGACCATGAAATACCATTTTCGACACCGAGCAGCAGCAGGAGGAGGAGGATATGGCGCGAGTGTTTCACACGGGCGTTTCGTGAGCCATTACACACCGTTATTTTGTGACTGGAGGCATTTTTCTCTCCGGTACTTTTCTCATTTTTTAGCTATTGTGTTTGTGTTAATCATCGTCAGTGTTTAATTGAGGTGGACTGCCTTCGTAAGTGTCGCTGAAGATTTTCTTGCCAGATTTCTGCACGTGGTCTTCGTTTCTTTTCTCCAGGGCTTCGATCTGTAAAGGCACAACATAAAATTGCATAGCTTTAAATCACTGATTGGATCCTTTCAGGACTAGGATAAAGGAGTCGTTTTATATTGTTTGTCTGTAAATAAAAGATGTAATACAAGTCTTGAGGTGTCTCTAAAACGTGTCTGTGGCTTATAAATTCCTCAAAGATCAACTATTATACTATGTTGTACCTTTATGTTTGGAAGCAAAACCACACTTTTTATAGGTTTCTCTTTAAATGTAAATCAGGGTTCTAGGTGTGGGTGGAATCTTTATAACTTGCGACTCAAAACCCCCCCAAAAATATCTGTTAGGTTTAATCAATGCTTAATTATGATTGTACTTAATTATCTATATGCATTTTAAAGTATGTGTATGCATTATACAGTTGAATTCAGAATTATTAGCCCCCGTTTATTTTTCCCTTCTGTTTAACAGAGAGCAGATCTTTTCAACACATTTATAATCATAATAGTTTTAATAACTCATCTCTAATAACTGATTTATTTTATCTTTGTCATGATGACAGTAAATAATAATTGACTAGATATTCTTTAAGACACTTCTCTACAGCTTAAAGTGACATTTAAAGGCTTAACTAGGTTAATTAGGTTAACTAGGTAGGTTAGATCAGTGGTTCTCGAATTTTTTTCATGAAGTACCACCTCAGAAAAAAATTGTCTCCCCAAGTACCACCAAAATGAGCAGTATTGAAATAAAGTAGCGTAGTAGGCCCAGTAAAGCAGCTACAACTCTGCACAGTAAAAAAAACATGGCAGATTACCTCAGAAATATAGGCTAAAAGTCATATATGGAATATTATATACATATTTTTTGCAAAATTTTGAAATATGTAGCATATACATGACATATTTTATTCCTCCGCGTACCACTAGAAGGAAGCCTGCGTACCACTAGTGGTACACGTACCACAGTTTGAGAACCACTGGGTTAGGGTAATTAGGCAAGTTATTGTATAACAATGGTTTGTTCTGTAGACTATGGAACAATAGAGCTTAAAGGGGCTAATAATATTGACCTTAAAATAGTGTTTTAAAAATTAAAAACTGCTTTTATTCTAGTCGAAATAAAACAGATAAGACTTTCTCCAGAAGAAAAAATATTATTAGACATACTGTGAAAATTTCCTTGCTCTGTTAAACATCATTTAGGAAATATTTAAAAAAAGAAAAAAAAAATCTAATAATTCTTACATCAACTGTATGTCTCTTCTTAAAACCCACTTACTATCTGAATGCTATAATCATTAAGTTCTGTAGCTGTTGTGTCTGTTTCTTTTTTGCTATGTTCCCTTGTCTTTGTTGTTCAGTAGTCTATTTTCTCGCCGGTTTGTGTTTTGTTGTTCTTGATCTCCTACTATTATTGAAAAGCGCCCTTGGGCACTGGAAAGGCGCTATATAAAATAAGTGTATCATTATTATTATTAATTCATCTATATGCATTTCCGGTCAGTTTAAACTGCTATTAATGCACATCTGTGCGCTGTGCACACATCCAAAGTAATAAGCTAAACTAAGCTAGTCATTTTCATTAAGGTCACCTGGTAACATTATAGTGGTGAATTGTAGTGTTTGTCCAAACTGTCAGATGCTTTCTGAACCGCTATTTGTCATTTTTTATTATTAGTTATTATTAGGCATTACTTTGCTACAGCAATACACTTTGAATTGTTTGTCTACTTCACAAATATTGTTAGATGTGTGAAAAATACTGTTCATAATCCTTAAAACAGGGGGCAAAACATGCAAGGTCACCATTGGGAACTGGATGTCATCAGGTGGTCATGTTGGTACTGCAGCTAAACAAGATGTTACTGAAAGCTCATTTTGAGATCAAAATAGAAATATTTTTCGAAATATTTTGGTAAGACTTTATTTTGTTGGTCACTATTGCACAGTTTGTTGACTAAAAGTTGCATTGCAACTACATGTCAATTAACTCTTATTTGAGAATTAGTAGACTGTATGCTTAATATCTGCTGATACTGCTCTTTCAACAGACATTAAACTGACTAAAAGAAACTTTGCAAGTACGTCAACCTACACTAACCATAAACCTAACCCCAACCTAACAGTATACTTATAATCAGATGAGAATTAGTTAGCATGTAGATGCAATGTAACTTACATTCAACAAAATGCGTTGAAAGGACCATCAAAATAAAGTGACAATTTTCATAGGCAAATGCACATAACTTTTGTGTTATTTAACTTTTTGAAATGTTATCACTTCAGCTACAATCTGACATCTGTCTTCTTTAAAATGTGACCAAGCTTAAATCTATGCACCAAAGCATTCATTTCAGCTGTACGTGTCTTTTGTCTCTGTTTAAAAATCAGGGATGCAGAAGGATGGCAAATAACAAATAATGAAGTCCAAACCTGGGCTAAGAAATCAGCCTCATTATCGCTGTTAATCTGCAGTCCAGATACGGTGTTGAAGAGCTCAAACACATTGAAAGCTTCAGCTACGCCAGCTTTCTGGAAAAACTGGAGATCAAAAAGAGAAGTATTTCATTATCATAAATGCTTTAGAGCTGTCAGAATCTTGTTAATACACTGCAAGATAATTCAGACACTTACTGTGGCCACATTCCTGCAGTCCCGGAAGAGGAACTCAAGACCGTGAGGATGAGTCGGCTCTATAGACTGACTCACATCAATAAACCACACCTGAATGAGTGGGGGAAAATTCCTTTTATAGATTATAGACTTTATAAAGGATTTAGATTGCACAAGTTTTATATTATAAAAAAAAAAAAAAACTCAATTTATTCAACATGGATCTATTAAATCAAAACTGCAAAAAAATCATTTACTTAAATACTGGGAAAGAAAAATAGAGTATACAGTGTCCATGAAAATATGTAGTTTCAGTATTCTTGATAATAAATGTTTCTTGCCTATTAAATAATCATATTACATTTATTTTTTAAAGGATCAATGACACTGAACACTGAAGTGATGATGCTTAATATTATGCATCCAAGCAATAAATTGTACTTTCGAATAGCTGCTTTCTACAGCAATGTATTTTAAACTGTATTGATAATTTACCGTTACTGTATTTTTGAAACTTAGGAAAATTGAAAACCATTTTCATACAAACCTGTCTATCATGCCAGAGCATGTTGTATTCACTCAGATCAGCATGAACCAGGTTACAGTCCTGATAAAGTCGCTGCATCATCTGAAAAATAAAAACAAGAGGTGAGCAGAAAGAACTGAAGTTTTTAGAAGTTGAATTTTACCCTAAAATAATAACAATAATAAAAAGATACAAAACTATTTTTTTAGGTTTTCAATTTACAGCTCAAAATACCTGCAATGACATGTCCATTTTTGGGTGTAAAAAACATTTATCATACGTCTCTTTAAAATGTAAGAATGTAAAATAATGCACGTGCTTGTTCCTCAGCTACTACAAGAACAACAAACAAAACTCCCAGTGCATTTTAAAGTCCATACTTCTCTACAATATGTGGATATTTATTTATAAATGGTGTAACAGATCCCAAATCTCACGGTTTGGATCACATTATATTTTTTTGTCACGGATCAGCCAATTTTTTGAATTAGCTAAATAGGGGAGGAGACAAATGTAATTTGCTTTCCATTTATTACAAAACAGTACTGCAAGAAACCTTTGGTTTTAACAAACTGAACTCAAAAGCTGTAAATTAATTGATGCAGGTGACCAAGTAAACGGTGTTTGGATAAAGCTTGATAAGCAAAATAAGCAAAATTATCCTGAATTAAGCTTTTAAATCGCCACTGCTGTCGATAAATGTTAGTTATAACATTATTTCATGTCACTTGAATTTATATATATATATATATATATATATATATATATATATATATATATATATATATATATATAGCGAGCCAAGTAGTATTTCCAACTTCACAACAATCCAAAAGTAGTACCCTGATGACCTACTTCTGGCGAGATTCTAAAGTGTGCATCCAATGGCCATTTTAATAACTCATCGAAGCCACACAAGAAAATTAGTGAATGGGAGTGAAGCAACAAAATGTGTTGTAAGCAGGTCATGTGATAGCGACAATTATTGGCGGATGTGGCATGTCCAAATTGCCCTACTACATACTATATAGAACATCCTTAACATGAATATTACTATTACAAGAGTATTGTCAACTCTAGCAGTATGCCATTATGTCTGTTTAAACGTCTGATATGAAGTTGTGAAATATCTCACGTACATTTAGCACTTGGTAGTACGCATTCTTCATATCCTCAGAGTTCAGAATGGCATCCTTTAGTTTAGGCGCAGGAACGTGGTCCTTCCCGATGAAAGACATCACAAGGATATGCTTCTTCAGAATCACCACCTCCGGGCACGGGATCCCTGCTTTCTTTATCCTACATGCACATTTGTGAGCACATGAAGTAAAAGAAAAAAAGAAAAACATAAAAATACGAAAATAAAGTGGATTAAACAACACTATAGTATTATGTCATTATCTTAAATTGTCTAAGACATTCCATTTTAGCAATTTTCGCTTGTTAAATGTGTGAAATATTAATTTTGTATGCTTAAGGGAATGGTTCACAGAAAATGTTTCATTTAATGTTAATTCGCTCATCCCCAACATGTAGGAGACTTTATTACTTTGTAAAAAAAGACACATCTTCAACACAAAACAGTGATGACTATGTGGTTTATATAAGACATGTCAGACGCTACCAGCACTCTGAGAGTCAAAAAAACCCCCCAAAAACATTCTGTACAGATAAATCTAAATTAATCCCTACAGCTCCTGACGATGCACTGAAGCAAAATGATCATATGTGCAAGAATCTGAATATTATTTAGAAAATTATTACCTTTAAATCACAACTCTTGGTTCAGGCCAAATGAAATCAGTGGCCTTTTTATGCTATTTCTGCACAGAATTTAGTAAAACATCTAATGATTTATGCAAAATATAATAATAATTAATAAAATTAAAAGTATAGGAGCTGAAAACTTGTCACTTTTATATAAGGTTTACACGATGCAAATCCAATTAGAACCACTTGTTTGTTAAACAAAGTTACAGTAGGTCTCATATAACACATCCACTAAAAGACTTTACAAACTATATCATAAATAAACCATCTAAAACTTTGCATATTATTCAATCATTTAACTAAAATAAAAAGAAAGGAAAAGCACACTTTGCGCTACTGTATTTAACTTTATTTATTTTAGTTACATTGCTGAATAATATGCACATGTTTAGTTGGTTTGTTCATGATACAGTTTGTAAAGTAATACTGAATTACATAATAAGAATTTCTAATAATAATATATTTATTTTTGACTACAGGTATTTATTTAGTTTTGTCTGAATGTTTTCTTGACTTTCAAAATGCTGGAATCCATTGATTTACATTTTATGACTCAAATCTTTAATGCTCTTTTAAAGATTAAAAAAAGTCACGGCCTAATGGCGAGTAAACAACGTCAATTATTATTTTTGTGCGAAGCATCCCTTTAAATGAATACGCATTTCACCTGGTGAGGTTGTGCATCTCCTTCTCAGCCCACAGGCGGATGATTTTGCGAGGATTTAACTTGCTGAAGCGGTCTTTGAAGCGGTAATCATCCTTAATATATTTATCTCTGTTCTTGAACTCATTCAGGGTGGTCTTGAAAACCTTGAGCACACACTCTTCTGGAACAATCATCTCTTCAAAGCTACAGGAGACAAAAATGAGATCAATGCAAATTAACAAATACATCCTTGTGCTAAAACATAAAATGTTGGCGAGTCGCTGACACACACCTTCCTCCATTAGCATGAAACACCACCGACTCTTTTCCTGTGCTGATGCAGCCATTGATGTTCTCCAGTATCCCAGCATTCACCATTTTGTACATAAGCAGTCGGGTCTTGGGGTCCACGGCTTGTTCCTGAGAAAAAAAAAGACATTAAATGTACAGTCATAAAACAAGTGCACGATTACATTTCTTCTAGAAGTTGTTCAGTATGAAAACCCTAAACTAAAATAAATATGAAATAAACCAAACTGAGCTCAAATAAATAAATAAAACATTTCATATTTTAGGTCTTCTAAAACACTAAATTATAATGACATTTTCATTAAAAATTGGCTTTGCCTTTTAATACTAATTATTTAAATAGTTTGAGTGTGCAAATTTTAAAACAAAAAACGTAAAATTAAATGAAGAATGGGTTAGGTTCTTTAATTTCTTCTACACTTTGCTAAATCTAAAAACCTTGAAACAAAATAAGAAGAATAAAAATAAATATTTGTTTCAGCTGCTTTAAATAAAGGAATAAAATGAAAAATAAAGATTTTTCTAAAAAAAAAAAAACATTGACTAGCGCTCTTTACTTTAAAATTTCTTAAATATTTTGAGTAATAAATAAATAAATAAGTAAAAATAAAACAAAACAAAGGCTAAGGGTCTTTACTTAATTCCATTTAAAAAATAAAAAGAAACCAAATTAAACTTACTTAAATTATATATTGGGCTAAGCTCTTTATATTAGATTTCTTAAAATAAAATAAAATAAAATAAAGGATTGGGCTTCTTGCATAGCATTTCATCCCCAGTGCACTGTAAAATGCAGGGCTCAAAACAATTCAGTCATGTTGTCCCAACACAAATCAATTAAGTTAATTCATTAATTCATTTTCCTTTCGGCTTAGTCCCTTAATTAATCTAGGGTCATCACAATGGAATGAACCGCCAACTATTCTAGCATATGTTTTATGCAGCAGATGCCCTTCCAGCTGCAACCCATCACTGGAAAACATCCATACACACTCATTCACACGCATAAAATACGTACAATTTAGTTTACCCAATTCACCTGTAGCGATTGTCTTTGGACTTGTGGGGTAAACCGGAGCACCCGGAGGAAACCCACGCGAACACAGGGAGAACATACAAACTTCACACAGAAAATGCCAACTGAGCCAGCTGAAACTCAAACCAGCGACCTTCTTGCTGTGAGGCGATCGTGCTACCCACTGTGCCACCGCGTCGCCCATCAATTAAGTTAATGTAACAAATTTAAGTGATTTAAACATAAAACAATGAAGTTGTCCTAAAGAAAAATCTCAAGAATTGTCGTTTCATTCCATTTTGAAGTAGTTTGAACAAGCAGCAAAAATCATTTTATAAAACAAAATAAAATAAATTGTGCTTTTTACATGACCTTTCTTCCACAGTACAGTGTCAAAAATGTAGGGTTCCACACCATTCATTTATATTCTCCCAAAACAAATGAATTAAGTTGACTTTAATTCACTTATATTTGTTAAGTTGTCCCCCCCCCAAAAAATGTTTCAGCCCATTTAAAATAAGTATAAGGAAGCAGCAAAAATATTTATTTCAGTCCATATAATGACTAAAAACATTAATTAAAGTAAGACAGACTGGTCTCAAAGCAGAAAAGCCACTCACAGCAGTGGAGTGCTCCTTTTTCTCATGTAGCCGAGCGCTGCGCCGCTGCTCTGTCTGACAGTGGCGTTTCAGAGCGTTGTACACCTGATTGGAGAGTTTTAGGTCCATGCCGATCCCATCGCCCACATGCACCTCTGGAGCAAACTGAGAGAACAAGATCATTACAAGACAATTCATAAGATAAGAAATTTATAGTGAGATTAAACAAGACTGACATTGTCCATGCGTGCAGTGTTCTTCCGTCCGCAGATCTCCTCGTCATGTTTGGTGGTGATGTTCTTGCCCTTTCCAACAAAGCCCTTTTTAGGAGTCGTTGTTGGTTTGACTGAGTGAGCAGATCAGGTCAAAAATGATTAAGTGCTTAGGATGCATTTAAAATAGGATTTAATATGTGGCGGAGACAGACTCACCAGCTCTGTATGGGTCATGGCGAGTGTCCTGCCAGTCAACCTCATCCTCAGAGCTGTCACTGTCCTCATAGGGATGAACCATGCGGTAGTTCTCAAAGGATATGGAGACTGGAAATCAAGTGTAAAGTGTTAAAACTTTTCTGGAATCCATTTTAATTGCTAAAATAAAGTACATGCAAGTGACTAAACGGTATGTGTGATCAATTTGAATCATCAAGTCCATGCAGTTTAATAATAATTAATAAGTTGAAAAAAAAAAAAAAACATTTCTTGGGCCTCGTCAAAAAATGACTTTGGGATTTTATTTGTTGACGGATTGATAACGTGGAAAAATACAATAAATGAAATTATGAATTAATAAAAATTGCATGTGTAATGAAATTTATCCATAAAAGTTTCTTAAATAATTTAATTATTTTACAAAATATAAGAGAATTTTAATTGGGACTTTAAATTCTTCTAAAGTTTAGAGTCTGAAAACCAATAAAATAAAATAAAATAAAATAAAATAGTCTTGGATAGTTCACAATACCTAGATTTAATTTTAAGATTTTATATTATTATTATATTATATTATTATATTAACAGTTCATTGACATTTTAACAATAAAACAAACAATGTCTAAAATCATGAAAAATAAACTTGAACACTTTATTAACAGTTTAACAAGTAAAATAAAAAATAAACAAACAAGTCCAATAGATACAAATATAAATTCATTTAAACTAAATGTTTAGTGGTTTTACCTTTACTGTCACCATTAAACTTCTTCTCCTCTATGCGCAGCTGTGTATCAAACTCGCGGTCGAACTGCATCTGAAGCATCTGGGCCAGAATCAGGTCGCTGTCCGTGTCTGCTTCACCTGTGCCGGCCAGGTCCAGCTCAGGACTGAAACTAATATCAAACAATACAAATCAAAATATGTTTCCGTTACAAATAAAAAAACCTGCTTCTCGTAAGTCAATAATTTTTCATTTTGTGATGATGACTACAATGCAACCACTGCCACCTTAGAAAAAAATATATATTTCAGGTGGCTAAACCTAATCATTACTATTGTTGTTATTGTTTTTAAAAGAAAACTATTAAGGACAATAACCAGAGAGATGACCATAAATGTACAGTTGAAATCATAATTATTAGCCCCCCTTTGAATTTTATTCTTTTTTTTATATATATATTTCCTAAATGATGTTTAACATAGCAAGGAAATTTTCACAGTATGTCTGATAATATTTTTTCTAAAGTCTTATTTGTTTTATTTTGGCTAGAATAAAAGCAGCTTTTAATTTTTTTAAAAAAATTTTAAGGTAAAAATTATTAGCCCCTTCAAGCTATATTTTTTTCCGAAAATGGTCTACAGAACAAACCAACGTTACACAATAACTTGCCTAATTACCCTATCCTGCCTAGTTAACCTAATTAAGCTAGTTAAGCCTTTAAATGTCACTTTAAGCTGTAGAGAAGTATCTTGAAAAACATCTAGTCAAATATTATGTGCTGTCATCATAGCAAAGATAAAAGAAATCAGTTATTAGAGATGAGTTATTAAAACTATTATGATTAGAAATGTGTTGAAAAAAATCTTTTCTTATTTAAACAGAAATTGGCGAAAAAATAAACGGGGGCTAATAATTCCGGGGTTTACTAATTTTGACTTCAACTGTGTGTTTCTTAAAATCATTTTGATTGTAAAACAACAGCAGAATATGGACCACAGCTTTAATGATAAAGACGACTCTCAGAACGAGTTTTTCTCTTGCTAATATAAACAATAAAACACAAAGTCAATCAGAATGTATTGAAATGTAAAACGCTTTCACAATCTAAAGTTATAGATGACATTGTAGAGATGCACAATGCTTGATGTTAAGCCCTGTTTTCAAAGATTATTTAAAGATAATGGCTATTTTGGAAACAACTACCACAAAAAAAAAAAATGATTAAAAAAAATACATAAAGCCATGAAAGTCAGACTATAAAAGTGAAGCATAAAAATAAAAGTACCTCAGATATCCAGTATAGTTTTTTCATCTTTGTGTTGCCTACATTGAAAACGGTGAGAATAACTTGTTTTTCTTTTATTCCACTACACTGACTGCACTGTAAAAAAATATCTGTTAATTAACAGATTCTATATTTTGTGATTCACATTGTGTTTGCATATTTAAGGTTGTAAATAGAATTATGGGAGATTATTTAACTCTGCTCTGTCGAGTGACAAAAAATGCAGAAAACTGTTTATTTACAAATATTTTTACAGTGTGTGATTGGTCACACTTTGCATTTATTGGTCAGATGCAAAAGAAAGGTAGCACACTGAGGACATCTGTTGGTTACAAGAGGGTAATGCCACATAAAAGCACAAACCAAAACTAAAATTACATAAAAAGTTAATAAAATTGACATAAAACATTAACCTTCCTAAAAGTGAATGTACATCAGAATACATTTTAAATTATTTATTAATGATTATTGCTCATATGATGACTTAAAGTGATTATTCAAAAGTCAATATTTATGTAAAATATTTACTTACAGCTGGGCACATTCTCCTGTCAAGTTTGTTTTTATTAGTGCTGAGCAAAGATTAAATCGTGATTAACTGCATCCAAAATGAAAGTTTATTTTGGCATAATATATGTGTATGTGCATTATATATATGTGATGCACAACATACATAGAGACAAAATAATCGTGTTACACAGACATTAAAATGTTTACATAATTTGTATCATAAACAAATATATTTCATATCTAAATATAAATAAACATTTTCTCAAATACACGCATACCTGCTTACATTCATAGATACATAATAAATATTCACCGTACACACACTTGAATTACGTGAAAAAAACTTCTACTTTAAATGTGATTCATTTTTGCCCAGCACTATTTTTCATAGATGACAAATTTTGTGTGGGTAAAGTTTATATAAATTACAACATATTGTGAACACAAATATAGTTACCATTACATGTAAATTTACAGTTATCGTCTTTGGTGAGAACGGCCCTCAAGCCTGTAATAGTTTGATATGGAGGATTGAGACTCACTCTGGGCACTGTGATAAAGCACTGCCCTCCTCGTCCAGCTGCCGAGCCAGTTGCTCACTCATTACATCAGCCAGAGAGCAGGGCGCAGGGGCCAGAGCAGGAGCGCCCCAGGGGCTCTGAGAAAACAACAGAAATAATAAATACAGTCCTGTCACATGTACGTAAATTGCAGTTAAAGAGACAATACTACCCAAAACGTTAATTCAGACATCATTATTCTCTTGTCATTTATAATTTTAAATGTAAAGGTTAAACCTAAACATGGTGTCTGCATTAAATTTAGAATATAAATGAGGAAATAGATTGACAAATAAATATATATTAAATATATATATATAAATATATATTAGATATAAATATATATATATATATATATATATATATATATATATATATACATATATATATATATATATATATATATATATATATATAACATATAAATTTATGAATCATACTGTTTAAACAACTTTAAAAGTTTTAAATATTTATTGTGAAGGTGAAATGTCATAAGTGAAGCATTGATAAATTTTCATTTATTTGTTTCACTTTTTTCGATCGCTTCTTTTATTGCTGTTTTTAAAAATGGTGCTGCATCCTGTATTGTTTCTTGTTTTTGTCGCATGCACAATTGACGATTCTCTGTAACCAATCAGCGTTCAGCTGCATGTGTAGCTCCGCCTTTTGGTACTCTTTCTCGTTTTTAGTACCCTTTCGAAAGGATGCCGAAAAAATTGTATGATATGGTTCGGTATGCCTTTTGACAGAGGAAACGGCCATAAAAGCGTACTGAACCGTACGATACCACTCCACTTAGTCTTAAGTATATGTAAATATTAAACAAATAACTTCATTTCTACTTACTATGTACTTATTAAAATGTATAATAAGAGACCATATTAAATCATATTATATTCAAAAAAAATAATATTAATATATTATAACAACATTTAAAATTAAAAACAACTAACTAACTAACAACTAATCAGAATATTGGGTGCAAATATCATAATTACCTGTCAACTTCTAATTTATATGAATAAACGTCCACTTTAAACAGTTTTTTTTTTGTGAGTGAAATTAGTGTGAAGCATTGGTAAATCACCATTATATTTATGTAAACAATAAATAACTTTATTTCTATAGATTCTGTATTTATTCAAATGTATAAGGGACCATATTAAATCATATTATATTTAAATAATAAATTAATAAAATTTATATTATTAAATTTTGACTTAAAAAAAAGTAAATAACTAACAATTTATGAGTTTTTAAAGAGGCAAACACTGATTAAAAACAAGTCAAACTAAATTCAACGTGGACCAAATAATTTTTGAAAAAATTTTTCAATAGAATACAAATAAATACAATTCCTCTGTGTCATGAAAAATAAATGCATGAAAGGGGAGTAAATGATCACTGAATTTTATAATGCCTTTCATAATTGGTCAATCTACATTTTTCACAATGTTTAAAATTTAATACACGTCAACAGGGTCAGGGTGTAAGGAAACCAATGTCAATTCTCAAACAGATTGTAATTTTTAAATAAAACTACTTTTTCATAATATTAAACTTAAAACTAGCTTTAGCAGTTAAAATCAAATAAAAAAACAATACTATTTTTATTACAAAATAAAAAAAATACTTTAAAAATATATTTTAAAGAATCCATTAATGAAATAGAAATTACAGAAGTGTAACACATTAGATTGAGTCAAAATGATCTAATAATAAATTATTTAATTATAATTTAAATTGGTAAATGACTAAATGTAGATTATTGTAATCTTAATTTTTTTTTGTTAAAAATACAAGTAAACAAGTTAATTAAAAACACGTCAGCTCAAAATATTATATATAATAATAATGTTTAAACAACATTAAAACAACATTGTAATGTTAGTTCCCTAAAAACGTAGAGCGTTTAAAGTCCACATACCAAAGCTGACCTCGCCCAACAATATTTACACATCGTTAAACTATTTTACTGTAATACATTCAAATACATTCTGACTGGGTAAAGTTCGGAAAAACTCCTTGGTAACCCACAGTTGAGTCATCATCACATGTTATTCAGGTTAACTCTCATTACTCACTCGACTGTATAATGGTTGACAGGCCTAGAACTAAATCAACCAATATTCTCAACATATATTTTGTCTATCAGAAAATAAAAACTTTGAAATTAAGTGTTTAAGATGTTAGGAAATCTCACCTTGGTTTCTTTTGTAGATACTTCAAGTTGGTCCATGTTGTTTGACAGAAGGTTTTTAGGATTGTAACTGACGGTTGCTATGCTTTCTTCGAGTAGATTCTTCGAGTAAAACTCGTGTAAGGTTTCTTTAATATCGATTTTAAACTTTAATGTAACAAAATGTACGACTATGCTTGCCCAAAACCGCTAAAACGTGGCTTAAAATGACAAGTTAATTCGTTACCGACTGTGTGTCAGATAAAAATAGATATGAGACAACGGAGACAACCTACAAAGGCCGGTGGGAGGAACTACCCGTTACGACGTAATGGCTGTTTTCAAAATAAAAGTCACATGCAAATATATATTTACAGTGATTTCCTAAATGAGGATATAAAGAAAATGAACAGGAAAAATCTTACTTTATGATATTATGAAAATAAAACAGCATTTTTTTTATTATTAATAACCAATTAATAAAAGGATTTCCTTAAAATTCATTACCTGTGTCATTCAAATGTCAACTGAGGCTTTCATCAAGTCTGGACTCTATTCTTGGATTTTATTGATGTTTTTTTTGCACTTTGCGGCATTTTGAGTTATGGTTTGTCATAATTTAATTTTAATTTTTAATTTTAATTTAATTTTACTATTATAATATCTTTATATATTTTCATTTAGTTTATTTACTTCTTCTTAGTATTATTATTTATTATTATTATTATTATTATTATTATTATTATTATTATTATTATTATTATTATTATTATTATTGCTATTACGTACTTATTTATTATAATTTTATTATGTATGTATGTATGTATGTATGTATGTATGTATGTATGTATGTATGTATGTGTATATGTCTGTTGGTTGTTTCAATGTGTTTTGTAATCAATAGTTACAATTTTAATCTATTATTTAATTATTTAAAATACTCAATTAATAACGTTCCTTATTGTTTGTATATTTTATAGTTATAATAAAATATTTTTGAACATATAAACTATGGAGGACGAAACTTACAAAAACAATAAATAAAGAAATATGCAAATAAATAAATGTGTAAATAAATCCATAAATTCCTGCATAAATAAAAAAATATGCAACTAAGTAAATCATTATATAAAAAACACAAATTCTGCATAAATAAATATATTAATAGTGCGGGCAGATTAATAATTAAATAAATTACACAGATGTTGGGAGAATAAGAAAATGCTATATATTTATTTAAGTAGGAATTTATAGATTTGCATATACATTTATTTATTTATCTATTTGCGTACTTATTGTTATATTTATGCAGGAATTTGTGTATTTATTTACTCAGTTGTTTATTTATTTGCATACTTATTTATTGTTTTTTGCAGGTTTCGTCCTCCATACTTAAATGATAGTAGTAGTATTTAAGTGACTTAAAAATGTAAATAAAGGTCTTACTTAGTTAGTTTTTTAAGTAAAGTAATGTGAAAGTATGTCGTTATTTTTGCTTTTTGTAAGGGTAAGGTTAAAAATGATAAGGCTTAAAAGTTGTCAGAGCCTTAGTTATTAGATATTAAATAGTTTTTAAATTATTGTTTTATTCTGCATTTAATTTTTTACTCTATTGCACAACAATAATCAGCAGAAATTTAGTAAATATATTATGTAAATAAATAGTCTATAAATATAGTAAATAATATTGATATCTATTTAAATGATCATATACATTTTATAAAATGTATCATTAGCAATAATATAAATAATAACATAAATTCTAGAAGATTTGAGTAAAATGTATTTAATTGATCAATCAATTCATTCATTAATTGTTGTTAAATGCACTCTTTAAAATGTTTTTCACACAGATCCAGACTTTTATTGGTTGAAAATGTGCTACGTGTCAAAGTGGGCGCGGCCAGTAGAGCAGCGGAAGTCCAGCTGAGATGTCAGAGAGAGAGAAGAGCATCAGAGCAGCTGCAGGCAAATAAAGTTTCTGATGTTTTCAGTCCAATGAATGTCGCTCGAGTGATTCTCGCGCTAATATTCTGCACATTTTTCACTGCGTCTTACTTCACTAATAAGGTAATTTAATTTAAATACACTCTTCACACCACGCGTGTGTGTTCCCTTGTAGTTTTATGTACTGCATGCAGCAATGCATGAATTTCCTGTCATAAATATTAACTAAGTTGTGTAGTCAAACAAATATAACTGTTATTTGTTTTACAGTATGTCCTGTCTGTCTTAAAGTTTACATTTCCGACTATATTTCAAGGGTATGTAAATATATTCATAATGTCGTTGCTCATATGTATATACAGTTCCTCATTTACATAATATTTAAATATTCATGTGCTAATTAATTCTGTACAGGTGGCAGACCTCCACTGGGGCTCTTTTGCTTCTGGTTACGTGGAAACTAGGCTGGGTTGAAATCAATGGCTTCTCCAGGTGACTAAAAATGCTTTTATATTACAAATGGACTATTATATGATATATGTTTATTCATATTTGTGCTCTTGCTGCATTTGTCATTTAGATCTGCAGCTTTTTCACAGCTTCCCGGAGCCTTTTTATTTATCGGAAACATTTATGCGGGGTCCAAAGCGCTGTCACTTTTGGTAGGTATAAAAAAAAGTCTTTATTTCTGCTTATGTTTAGATATTTTAATCTTTTTTTCATTTTTTTTCAGCCCATTCCCTTTTTCTTCGTGTTGCAAAATGCTTCAGAAGTCTTTGTGTTTCTCATGATAACAGTAACTCACAGAAAAGTAAGTATATGCCATCAAAATCATGTATAAATACATTCAGGGTGCAAATTTTAGGGGGGGGGGGTTGAGGGGTCAATTAACCCTTGATCCCCCTGAAGGACACCAAAACAACATTCAGTCAACTCTTTAAGCAATAGAAAATAGCGCACATTGATCTGTATCTTAAAAAATAGCATTAAAAATGAAAATAAAGAAATAAATATAACATAAGCATACATTTGACCACCCTTATACCATTGTGAATGCATGATCGTGCCCAGTAGCCTCATTATAAATGCTTTTTTTTTGTTTAGTTTTGTGTCCTGAAGTAAGAAATAGATGATCACTGAATTTTATAAAACATGTTATAAATTGATCAATCTAAATTAAGTCAGTAACTTAATACATGTCAACAGGGTGATGGGAAACCAGTGTAAATTCTAAAACAGGATTGTTATTGTTAACTAAAACTAAAATTAAACTTAAAAGTAGCTTTTGGCAGCTGAAGTTAAGAAAACAATCAGTAAAAAAAATACATTAAAAATACACTTTAAAGAATACATTAATGAATTACTGAAATTATTTATTGAAAGATTAGTTCATTACAAATTGCAAATATAAATAATCATAATCTTTACAAGAAAATATAATAAAAAAAAACATAAGTCAATGACTGAAATAATAATATATACAATAATAAAGTATAAACAGCATTAAAACAATAGTGTAATGTTAGTTCCCTAAAAATGGTTGGGGGGTTAATTAACCCTTGATCCCCCTGAAAGACACCAAAACAACATTCATTCAACTCTTTAAGCTATGGAAAATAGTGCACATTGATCTGTTTCTTAAATAATAACATTAAAAATGAAAATAAAGAAATAAATATAACATTAACATACATTCGACCACCCCTATTCCATTGTGAATGCATGATCGTGCCCAGTAGCCTCATTATGCAGGAAAACACTCATTCGGCAGACTGAATCTAGAATCTACACACCAGCAGATGTAGCCTACAGACAGATACTGTAAGTGTTCGAAAGCACTTTTCTTTAAAAAAAATTTTAAAATAGGTGTTTTTAATCTACATATAGCCTAAACTCATGTAATTTAAAATGCCCCTGGAAAGTGCTTGAAAACTCTTTAAATTTGACCCATCAGAGGTTACAGTATAGGTCAGAATCAGCTCAATATCCCTCGAAACACATAAAACTTAAATAAGTTTGATAACCAATGAGATGTAATTGAATTAAAAATATGAATTTGGTTGACTGAAGCATGCATGTTTATTTACACAAACTACTGAAGAGCTGACCCCCTATAGTCAATGTATAATTCGCACCCTGAATACATTAATAAAGTAAAATAAGCTATCTAACTGAATAGATACAAGGAATTGGATATTTCCTGGCTTAGTTTTAAAATTTAAAAACTTTTTTCATTCAAAAAATGTGTTTATAACGGTTCATAGCAAATAAAACTTCTTTGAACATTGCCATACTTGCTCAGATTTCAGTGCAGCCATTAAAGTTTCTTATTTACTTTTCTCAGAAACCGTCATGGATGAAATTATTAAGGTATGTTTCTTTCAAACAAATATTGATCTAAAACGAAGTAAGAAGGACTAAACTACAGATGTGTTGTTTCTAGTGTGTGTTTGCTGCTGGGATCTGCTACAGGCCTTATTCTGTACAATCCTCGGGTACGTTCATTCTCAAATACACACATTAAACCCTTTTTATGGGGAAAGAATGAAGATAAAAGTTCAAAACTTTTGGAACAACATCTAGTAACACTCCAGGGTTTTTTTTTCAATGAGTTTAAGGGTGTGTAATATTAACAAAGTACTAAATTAAAGTCAGTTTGGACATTAATAGTTTATTAATAAGTTTGTGTTTTTTCTTTGCTGTTTTTGGGCTGTTATGAATAAGTAAACATGACACTAAAATTGCCAATACACTTGTCAGCTAACTGGCTGAATTATTTATTGAAATGATTAGTTAAAAACGGCTGATTTATTTTGAAATGAAGCAAGTGGATGTCTTTTAAAATGTATTATTAACCCTTTGTCGGTCGAGGAATCATGTATGGTAACTTCATCAATGTTGAAAAGTTCTTAAGTCTTGTAATAATCCCCAATAACACTCCAGTATTGGATGAGTATTTCAATAAGTGCCCTATAAAGAGTTACATCTTTTATTCAAATGATTTGCTCAGAAATAGATTCATTCAGGAACAAAAACACTGCAGTGTTGCTCCTCTGAAACACAAATGCACTGCTCTGGCTTTAATGATTTGATGTTTTTATTAGCCAAAAAACACAACAACAAAAAAAACATTTCCATTTCATATATTTTAGATAAATAATATCTTTATCTAATATGCAACTCCCTCAATATCAACTTCTTGTTGAACTTGTTGTATAAAATCATCAATATCACATTTGTGACAGATTATTCAGTAAAACAGCAATCTTGATTGCATTATACTACTGAACTTTTATAAATTTAAAGTTATACTACTTTATTTTTATAAATGAAGAAAAGCACAAACTCATACAGGATTTAAAAAATAAATATTTTTTTACTTGCTTTATAGACCTATTCTTTTTTTTTTTTTTTTTTCTCCTCGGGGTTTTCACCTTTTATATTTGATAGGACAGTAGAGAGAAATGACAGGAAAGCATGGGGAGCAGAGAGAGGGGAAGGATTGGCATAGGACCGCGAGTATCAAACCCGGGTCGCCGCGAGCACCGGAGTGCATGTGTCCACTACACCACCGGCGCCGACTTATAGACCTATTCTGACCCTACTCTATTCATCCCGACTATTTGACGTATTTTTAGAAAAGTGTACTAATTCATACAAAATTAGTATGAAGTGTACTAGTTTATACAATGTAATTCATATGAAATTGTACGATTTTTAAAAGAAGACGTTCCCTCAAACACACCTCTAAACCTGCCTTTCATTGAGGGATGAGAAAATCGTACAAAAATGCATGAATGAGTTCGCAAAAAAGCAAACAAAAAAAAACAATTTGCTCTGAAATTGTGTTGGTTTAGTCACAAAAAGTATTTTGATGATAAAAACATATTTTAATCGAATGCATATTTTGAAACGATATTAGAGCAAGTTTTTATTGATGAAATATTTGTAATATTTAAAACAGTGTCTTCTAGAGGGATTTTAGAGTATTTATTATTGATCAAATTGAAACTTATATGACTTTTTAATTATTCATGTTGTTGTTATTTGTATATTTCTTTGTAAAATGAGTGATTAAAAATCAGTTATGATTGTATATTCAAAATAGATAATGCTGCTGATATGCCATTAAAGCATACATACATAATTTTGACTTTAAAATGTTTTTTTTTTTGATTAACCACTGCTTTTATTCTAGCCAAAATAAAACAAATAAGACTTTCTCCAGAAGAAAAAATGTCATCAGACATACTGTGAAAATTTCCCTGCTCTGATTCTGACTTCAACTGTACATGCATATATACATACATGCATACATACATAAATGTCAGCTCACACATCATTAAAACAAGTATGATTTTATCTTCTACCACAGTAAATTACTCGCACTCTTAATGTCGATGTTGTCAGTTATCAATATTTCTGTTTCCTGTAACGATACAAATCTCCATTTCATTTGTCCTCTATTAATGTTTTCAATTCATTTGATCTCAGTTTGGTCCCAGTGGCTACACCTGGGGCTCCATCCATCTGTTCTGTGTTGGTGAGTGTGAATTTTTTTGTCGTGGGACACAGAATTATGAGACATTCTGAGAAATACTGAATAAATTGTGCATTTTTTGTTTCTTTTGTCTGATTTAGGTGCATATAAAGTATTTCAGAAGAACACAAAGTCAAGCCATCTGAGGTGATGTCCTGGTTTATATAATCTACAGATTAATGTTTTTAAAAAGGAGTCTTGTATGCTTCAGAAAGGTGCATTTATTTGAACTGAGATGCAGTAGAAACTGTAATTTTGTGAATTAATATTATTATTAAAAATCAAATTGACTGTTTGTATTTTTAAAAGGTTTTAAGTAACTTCTGTGATGCAAAGTCATATCTTCAGCATCATTACTCCAGTCTTTAGTGTCAGATGATCTTTCAGGAATCTTATTATTGTCACAAACGTTGTAAACGGTTATGATCTATACATATTTTCTGGATTCTTTGTATGAGTAGTCTTATATCTGTTTTTTTAAAGAGCTGCAATCAGTTTAAGATAGAAATTTTACAACATTTAATGGGTGTTAGATCACACTCTTCATGCCAGAAAAATAAGATCCAGCCCCGGATGCCAGATCTTGTCAGGAAATGTCAGTTTCTCCAGGTATCTGGACAACAAGTCAGTAGAGTTTCCAATACCCAAACATGTTAACCAGTATTCAACTGAATTACCAGACTATAGGAATTGACTGAGAAACCCAGAGAGGAGCAGAAGCAGGAGATGAAGTAATGATGATAAAGAAAGAGCAGAGTGTGTTGAATAATCTAAGTTGCGTATGATTCAATGCTCAGACTTCATCTCACCAGGAAAAATACAAGCGTTATTATACCACAAGCAACAGCAATGGAAAACTACTGCTTCACATCATTGTCCAGAGGCAATACAGACCTTAAAATGGAGACATTCTCTTATCTCTTACTCATGAAAACAAGTGTCGCTTGAATCCACACAGTCATAAGATTATAACAATATGGAAAATAATAAATAATAATGAAGCAATAATTATAGGAAAATAGTAATAATAAAACATAAAAACATAATAAAATGACAATCAATAATAATAATCAAATCATGAACTAATGATAAATAAAATGATACAATGACAATTATATAAATGACTAATGATCATATGATTAAATAAAATAATTAAATGAAGAATTAATGAATATAAACAAATGAAAATAAAACAACACAAATAAATGGTTGCTTTGTTTTAAACAAAACAACACACACACACACACACACACACACACACACACACACACACATTCACACGCATATAAGTTTGCAACAAGGATGCTCAGATCCTTAGTTAGATTCTTCATGGGCAAATAAGCATATGGTACATAAGTTTTAGGATATTTCAGGTCAAAAATATTTTTTCAATTCTTTTGGAAAATCCTGGAGATTCTGACTTTATTGAACACTTTCTCCAGGATTTTGCAGAGGCATTTTCCTTTTTATTTTTGACCTGAAATAACCTAAAACTTGACCCATCTATACCATTATTTGATCAATTTCTTGTGTTTTGCTGTGGAAATGCACAAGTCTTATGAAACATTTGTTTATTTTTTTATCTAAAGAATTATTGGATATTAATTGACATTGATTTACAATATATTCAAAAGTCTTGTAATAACCTCCAGTAACACTGGTTTTTCCAGTGAATGTTGCAATGGGTGCCCTATAAAGAATTAATGCTCATTCTGCAAGTAGATGCTTGGTTATATCATGCAAACATTGAATCAATCTCATTATAATTCTTCTTCTTATAATTCAATGTGTTTCATTACAGTGATTTTGAAGAGCAGCTCATCAACAATGTGACCAGGTAAATTGATGAATATAAAAATATGTATATTCACAGAAGTTTAAGTGACTTTGGGTCATACATGGTGTCTGCATTATAGAAAGTATTAAAAAAGTGCTTCAATAATATGGTTGAAATAAGGTTCCATTCTGGTTTAAAATAGCATATACAGTACATACAGTATGTCTGATAATTTATTTTCTTCTGGAGAAAGTCTTATTTGTTTTGTTTCGGCTAGAATAAAAGCAGTTATTAATTTTAAAACATTTTAAGGTCAATATTATTAGCCCCTTTAGACTATTTCTTTCGACAGTCTACAGAACAAAACATGGTAATACAATAACTTGTCTAAATACCCTAACCTGCCTAGTTAACCTTATTAACCTAGTTAAGCCTTTAAATGTCGCTTTAAGCTGTATAGAAGTGTCTTGAAAAATATCTAGTCAAATATTATTTACTGTCATCATGACAAAGATAAAATAAATCAGTTATTAGAAATGAGTTATTAAAACTATTTTGTTTAGAAATGTGCTGAAAAAATCTGCTTTCCATTAAACAGGAAGCGGGGGAAAAAATAAACGGGGGCTAATAATTCTGACTTTAACTGTATATGTACAGTTGAAGTCAGAATTATTAGTCCCCCTGTTTTTTTCCTCACAATTTCTGTTTAACGGAGAGAAGATTTCTTTAACACATTTCTAAACAAAATAGTTTTAATAATTCATTTCTAATAACTGATTTATTTTATCTTTGTCTTTAAAAAAAATAGCTTAAAGGGGCTAATAATTTTATCCTTAAAATTGTTCATGAAAAATTAAAAACTACTGTTCTAGCTGAAATGAAACAAAACTTTCTCCAGAAGAAAATATAACAAAATTGAACAAATTTTTTTGTCAGACATACTGTGAAACAAAATCATTTGGGAAACATATTCATATAAATGAATTAAATAAAACATTTCAATTAATTTTACACTTGTTTTTTAGTGTGCTATTACTTGGCTTTTCTGCGTACTCAACAGGTAATAAAATGAATTTTTGTTATTATATTGGTCACATTTTATTTTGATGGTCCGTTTGTTGAATTTAAGTTACATGTCAACTAATTCTCATTAGATTATAAGTAGACTGTTAGGTTAGGCTTAGGGTTAGTGTAAGTTGACATGTAATTGCAAGGTTTCTCATTAGTTAAATGTCTGTTGAAATAGCAGCATCAGCAGATATTAAGCAGACAATCTACTAATAATCAAATGGACCATCATAATAAAGTGTTACCATTACATTTACTATCTGAGATGTATTTATCTCAGAATCCGTTATTCATGTGCATTTCTTGACATTCTCGTTGTCAGGCGATCTGTCCGGTGCCTTAGATTTCCCTCTCCTCACCTCATACAGTTTTCATACTGGCTGTCTGGGCAGGTAAATAAACATTCAGTGAGAATCGTTGTGAATCTACTAATGCATGAACGTTTGCCTTTAAACTGCAAATAAGTCCAGAATGAGTGATGCATTGTCATTGTGTTGTTTTAAATCTTGTTTTTATTTCACAGTGCTGTTTTCAACTTCTGTCTAATGTTGGCAACCATAAAATTAAAGGGAAATCTGTCTCAGGAGCAGTGCGGGGGTTTATTCTTCCTGGCCAAGGTCAAAACTATACTCATTTTATGCTATTATACAAAACTCTGAAGGTGATCGTGGTTTCTCAATGATTGATTACATTAAAATTGCAAACTTTTTTGTATTAGACATTTTCTGAAATGTTGTTTAAAAATGCAAATAATGTGTCATTTAATGAACTATGTGATCATTTGCGTACATTTCTAGCACAAAAATCTGAACACTGGATTAAGTCAGGATTAAAATGTATTTAATTTTTTTCTGACTTATTAAAATCAAACATTTTTATAACCCCATCATTCAGAAAACACTGAATGCCATACAATTTTTTATAGTTTCTTTTGACCTTTCTTTTATTATATAATTTTTTTTGTAGAATAAAATATGTATGTAATCAGAAATTATTTAAATCATGCTACAATGTAAACCTTTTCAGAATATAGATATGACTAAAACTGTGAAGTAGGGAAAATAAAAACTCTTTTTGAGAAAGCTCCTTTAAAAATATGTATTGTAATTGAAATCTACAGACAAATTAATAAAGCGCGATAAAGTCTTAAAAGTGGGTCTCACTTAAGTCTTAATGTTTTTACATTTACATTTACATTTAGTCATTAAGCAGATGCTTTTATCCAAAGCGACTTACAAATGAGGACAAGGAAGCAATTTACACAACTTTAAGAGTAACAATGAATAAGTGCTGTAGGCAAGTTTCAGGTATGTAAAGTGTAAGAAGCAAAACATTAGTAATTTTTTTTTGTAATACAGTTAGCAGTAGAACCAGAGAGGCAATTGCAGATTAGGAAGGGAAGTGGAGACTAAATAGTCAAGCTTTTAGTCAGTTCTTGAAAACAGCAAGTGATTCTGCCGTTCTGATGCAGTTAGGGAGTTCATTCCACCAACTGGGCAGATTGAGCGCGAGAGTTCGGGAAAGTGATTTCTTCCCTCTTTGGGATGCAACCACAAGGCAACGTTCATTCACAGAACCAAGTTTCTGGAGGGCGCATAAATCTGCAGAAGTGAGAGCAGATAAGAAGGAGCAAAGCCAGAAGTCATCAGAGCTTTGAATTTGATGCGAGCAGCAACTGGCAGCCAGTGCAAACGGATGAGTAGCGGAGTGACATGTGCTCTTTTAGGTTCATTAAAGACCACTCGTGCTGCTGCATTCTGGAGCAGCTGAAGAGGTTTGATAGAGTTAGCTGGAAGCCCGACTAGTAGAGAGTTGCAAAAGTCCAGTCTGGAGAGAACAAGAGCTTGAACAAGGAGTTGAGCTGCATGTTCAGATAAGAAGGGTCGGATCTTTCTGATGTTGTAGAGTGCGAATCTGCATGATCGAGCAGTTCTAGAAATGTGGTCAGAGAAGTTTAGTTGGTCATCAATCGTTACTCCAAGTGTCTAAACAATACATCCATTTTAAATGTATTGTTTAGACTGGAAAAACACTTCATGAAAAGCCATAAAGCCCAAAACCTGATTCACAAATTGAGTTTTTTTATTTTATTCTTTTTTTTAGGAGTTTTCACCTTTATTTGATAAGACAGTGGAGTTTTACATACAGGATAGTATGGGGAGCAGAGATAGGGGAAGGGTCAGCAAAGGACGTCAAGCCGGGAATTAAACTCAGGTCGCCGTGAACACCTCAGTGCTATGTGTCGACGCACTAACCTCAAGGCTTTTAGCGCCGACCTTATAATTCACAGTTAACAATTTCCTGGAGAATCTACATTAATTTACTGACAGCAGTTTTCCAGTAACTTACTATAAATCAAATTCAGCAAAAATACTACATTTAAAGCACTATTATCTTGCTGGATATGCATTTACAGTAATGTGAATCTTTACTGTAAAATATACAGTACATTTCACAATGTAACTTTAAAATACAGGTACATACTGCATTACAGTGCTACAGTAAAATACAGGTCGTTGTACAGTTAAATACTGTGGCATTTGCAAAAATGGATAATGGTGTTGACGTTTGTACGTTTGGCTGCCATCTCTCGCTTAAACTTCTAATTATTCTTTGTTGATCATCATCTTTTTATCAGTGATGTTTAAAGCATGAGCAGAGACTGAAATCTGTAAATAATGCCTTTGTTTTCTGTATCTTGTCTCAGATATTGGCCTCAGGTCTTTCTCTTGTCCTCTCCACATTCAGCACTGTGCTCAGTCTAGAAACTCTGTGCTGGTGAGTTTATATTGATGACCTATTTTTTGACTGACTGATTGAGTCTGTGATTCAGTGATCCATTCATAGACAATCACTTGCTTCATTTTTAAATGAATCCGCTGTTATGAATGTATCGATTTAATGAATTACCCATTTAGAAAGGAGTTTGTCGAACAAATTTACTGGTATTTTTAAAAAGGGCTTGTTCACACATGATTCCAGAAAGGAGCTTCTGTCACAAGATTAACACAAAATAATGACACTATTTTATATTTTTCTCATTAGCATCATCCTGAGCTCCACCGGAGAGGCCTTGTTGGTGTATTCAGACAGATTTCAGTCAGTCTGAATGTGAAGAAAGTGAGCAGTGCCTTGGAGATCCTCCTAAACACTTCTAAACTGACCAAAGCCATTGCCTAAATGAGATCCTTTTATTACCTGTGAGACTTGCAATATCAAAAGCAGTCACGTTTTGTTTAATACTTTTTCTTATTTTCAGTCTGAGTTGCATGTTATAACTAAATGTTTAAAGAATAGCAGTTTACTGTACTTTCTCTAGTCCAACATTTAAAAGTGGCCAGTTAATTGTCGTCTGTTTTGCACATATTGCACACTTCTCATGTTTTGGTTTGTTTTGCTGTTAGTGTTGAATCTTTGCACATGATTGTCCTGCAGTGTTTACTTTTTAACAGTCTCGGATCACATCCTGGATACTGTCACACCTTACATTTGAGAGAAAAGGTTCAGATCCGTAATGGCAGTCATCATAAAGATACTATTACTGTAACAGGTCTTTGTATTCATTATTCATGATTGTTTCAGTTTAGCGAATGGCAATATATATATACAGTTGAAGTCAGAGTTATTAGCCCCCTTCGATTTTTTTCTTCTTCTTCTTTTTAAAATATTTCCCAAATAATATTTAACAGAGCAAAGAATATTCCACAGTATGTCTGATAATATTTGTTTCTTCTGGAGAAAGTCTTATTTGTTTATTTCAGCTAAAATAAAAGCAGTTTTTTTAAAAAAAACACCATTTTAGGGACAATTTTTACCCTCTTTAAGCTATATTTTTTCTCGATAGTCTACAGAACAAGCCATCATTATAAATTAATAGTAATAATATTAATAATTACCCTAACCTGCCTAGTTAACCTAATTAACCTAGTTAAACCTTTAAATGTCACTTTAAGCTGTATAGAAGTGTCTTAAAAAATATCTAGTCAAATATTATTTACTGTCATCATGGTAAAGATAAAATAAAACCATTATTAAAAATGAGTTATTAAAACTATGATGTTTAGAAATGTGTTGAAAAAAATCTTCACTTAGTTAAACAGAAATTAGGAAAAAAATAAACAAGCAGTCTAATAATTCAGGGGGGCTAATAATTCTGACTTTAAATGTATATACAGTTAGGTCCATAAATATTGAGTCGTCGACACAATTCTAGCATTTTTGGCTGTGTACACTAACACAATTGATTTGATTTTATGCAATGGCCAAGTCAATCACCTGATCTGAATCCGATTGAGCATGCATTTCACTTGCTGAAGACACTGAAGGGAAAATGCCCCAAGAACAAGCATGAACTGAAGACAGTTGTTGTAGAGGCCTGGAAGAGCACTACCAGTGACGAAACCCAGCGTCTGATGATGTGTATGCTCCAGACTTCAGGCTGTTATTGATTGCAAAGGATTTGCACCCAAGTATTAAAGAGTGAAAGTTTGATTGATGATTATTATTCTGTCCTATTACTTTTGGACCCTTAACAAGTGGGAGCAAACTGTTGTAATTCCTACAGCGCTCGCCTGATTTGAATGTAAATACCCTCAAATTAAAGCCAACAGTCTGCAGGTAAAGCACATCTTGTTAGTTTCATTTCAAATAGATTGTTTTGGTGACTTGGTGTATAGAGCCAAAAATGTTAGAATTGTGTCGATGTGCTCTCTCTCTCTCTATATATATATAGAGAGAGAGGGGGAGATAGATAGATTGATAGATAGATATTTTTCTTTTTAAATGAGCCAAATGTATTGTAAATATTGTTTAAAATTAATGGCTTTTACTGGATATTATGAAACACATTGCATGATACTGTTTTTCTATTAGGAAATTGGCCAATGTATTATTAAACTCTTGTTATAACGCTATTTGGTACTTGCAGTATTTTAAAGTATACTTTCTTAAGTATTTTTGAAATAAATGAATAAAAAAAATATATATTTATTTTAACCGATTCATTTGTTTAATTGTTTTATTTTCAAAATGACAACTACACTCGCTGGCCACTTTATTAGGTACACCTTACTAGTACCCACTCTTGCATTCAGAACTGCCTTAATCCTTTGTGGCATATTTTCCTCAGAGATTTTGGTCCATATCGACAAGATATCATCGGCTGCACATCCATGATGCAACTATCTTGTTCCACCACAATGGTTGGTTGTGCGTAAAAATTCCAGCAGATCAGCAGTTTCTGAAATACTCAGACCAGCCCGTCTGGCACCAACAACCATGCCACGTTCAAAGTCACTGAAATCACCTTTCTTCCCCATTCTGAGACTCAGTTTGAAAAGTAGCAGATTGTCTTGATGCATATACACACAAACACCTAGTAAAGTATTGGGAAATGTAGTGTACTCAATACTATTTAGTGTTTAAAACCACTATTGTATTCACTCTAGCGTCTATAGTGTCTTCTTTTCAACATTTTATTTTAGATTGATCTTACATCTCAGAGATGCAATGTCAGACACAAGGCACTCAAACTGTTATGATTACCAGCGATCGCTAACCACCAGAGGTCACTGGAAAACATTCACACTCATTGAACTACATATCTGCCATGTTATGGACTACAACACCCAGTCAGGCCACACACACACACACACAACCGGTTCCAGATCCAGACTAATTACACTGTCACAGCTGAAGCCACTCAAACAATGATTATTTGGACTATTTAAACCCCTCTGTTCCACACATATTTTGCTGAGCATTGTTTAGCTGTTGCTGTCCATACGTAAGCGGTTTCCCTTGTTTCCTGTATTTTTGACTTTTGCACTGATTATCGTGTTTTGACCCTTTTCTGCCTGCCCCGAAACTTTTGCCTGTTTTATTGGATTTGCTTCTGGATTGCCTACTACACTTTATACTGGTATTTGACCCTTGCCTGATTGACCATTCTTATAATAAAACTGCATTTGGAACTACCCCAGTTTGCATAGCATCCCTTCGCAACACAATGGAGCTAGTGACATCACTGTGTGTGGTAGGGTTAGGTGAGCCTATTAAAAAGCCTTGCATGCAGCTCAGATTGCATCGGCACCAGATCAAAACATTTAAATCTTTATACCTTGCCACTATCTTTCAAACCAATAACTTTTATCCATTTGTTAGTAAAGTTTTTTTTTTTTTATTACTTAAAATGTGGCATAATCACTTATTACATCTGCTTTTATAATACAGATCACAGTTAGTATGTTTACGTAAATGTTACAATGAATTTTACCAATATTCAAAAAATTATTTGAAACATTAGACACTTGCATTTATTGTATTTTTGCATAACGGTGTTGAGTCACTTTTTCAATGTTATGTGATGCACTGTGTTTTTAGGCCCATAAGTTGCCAAAATGGGATTTAAAAAAAGATGAAACCCACTTTTGCTATTTGAAATCAATAAAAAGTTAACTTTAGTATAAAAATAACAAACTAAACAACAGTAAATAGAAAAACAGGAGAAAATATAAATAACTAATAAAAATGTGTGTAAGAGTGTTTCCCAAAGCTGGGTTACAGCTGGAAGGGCATCTGCTGTGTAAAACATAGTTTAGGAATAGTTGGCGGTTCATTTCACTGTGGCGACCCCTGATGAACAAAGGGATTAAATCGAAGGAAGATGAATGAAATCACTTTTAATTTTTATTACAGAATTATTCAATTCTTAGTCAAAATCACATGTACAAAACTTAAAACTCTTTACTTATTTCTGAATTCCCATTACAAAATCAAGGTGATTTCTTAAAATCTGAAAATGAATTACTTAAACACAAACGCACATAGATTGTTTTAAGCAGATGTGACTCGGGGCATAAGCAGACTGTGCTTCATATCGATCCATGAGGTGTCAGAGTGGTTTTTAAGTGTGTGAACAGCTCGACTCAGTGCTTCTTTTTTTGTGATTTGGCTTTGGGTGAAAACATGGCAAGGTACGGTCGTCTCCTGCGAATTCGCACGTCCGGCTGCTCATCCTCTTTGATGTATCCTGTGGGGAGAAATAAAGCGATGAACATTACTTAAATGTTTCAATGCATTCATATACAGCAAATCTCCGACTACGATATACACAAATAAGGAATAACAGAAGAATGGCCATTGATGTATTGGTTAAAAAAAAAAACAATGCACATCTGAGGTGGTCATGATGTAAAGCGGCCATTTCACATTAGGTGTGCATTTTTCATTCATTCATTATAAATTATAAATATGAATAATATTATAAATGTTATACGTTATAAATATGAATAATATTATAAATGTTATACGTTATAAATATGAATAATATTATAAATGTTATACGTTATAAATATGAATATTAATATAAATGTTATATGTTATAAATACCAATAATATTAAAAATGTTATACATTATAAATATCAATATTATAAATGTTATACGTTATAAATATCAATAATATAAATGTTATACGTTATAAATATCAATATTATAAATGTTATACGTTATAAATATCAATAATATGAATGTTATACGTTATAAATATCAATATTATAAATGTTATACGTTATAAATATCAATAATATAAATGTTATACGTTATAAATATCAATATTATAAATGTTATACGTTATAAATACCAATAATATTAAAAATGTTATACATTATAAATATACATATTATAAATGTTATACGTTATAAATATCAATATTATAAATGTTATACGTTATAAATATCAATATTATAAATGTTATACGTTATAAATATCAATAATATGAATGTTATACGTTATAAATATCAATATTATAAATGTTATACGTTATAAATATCAATAATATAAATGTTATACGTTATAAATATCAATATTATAAATGTTATACGTTATAAATACCAATAATATTAAAAATGTTATACATTATAAATATACATATTATAAATGTTATACGTTATAAATATCAATATTATAAATGTTATACGTTATAAATATCAATATTATAAATGTTATACGTTATAAATACCAATAATATTAAAAATGTTATACATTAAAAATATCAATATTATAAATGTTATACGTTATAAATATCAATATTATAAATGTTATACGTTATAGATATCAATAATATTAAAAATGTTATACATTATAAATATAAATATTATAAATGTTATACGTTATAAATATCAATATTATAAATGTTATACGTTATAAATGTCAATAATTCTACATTTTATACGTTATAAATATGAATAATATTCTAAATGTTATAAGTTATAAATATGAATAATAATATAAATGTTATTTGTTATAAATATGAATAATATTATAAATGTTATATGTTATAAATATCAATAATATTATAAATGTTATACGTTATACGATATATATTTTGTCATTCTTTAGAAAACAGTATGAGCAGTCAGAAAAAGTCACAATTTTCTTGTAAAATAAAATGATGTATAAAACTATACAAAATTATGCATGAACACATCCCTGTGTAAAAACCCTTCAGAATATAGGTATGAATAAGACTAGTTTGTTGCATTAATGTAAATAAACCATTGCAAGATTTTATGGTTTAGAAGAGAAAAATAGCTTATATATATATATATATATATATATATATATATATATATATGTAAATTATATAATTATATATAGATTATAATTGAAATCTAATGTCACATCTTTAAGTGCATTTTGGATGTTTTCTATACATGAACTGAAAAATCATTATTATTATATTCATATTATATTAAATTATATAATATATATATAAAAATTATATTATAATATATTAAAAAATACATAAATAAATCTCAAACTTCATGAATGTAATGCTATTCTAATCCAGCCCAACTAAATAATGAGCTTAAAAATTGATATTTTATCATTTTGCCTCTTTTTTTCTCCCTTTGTCAACCTGACGAAATTTAGTACCTCTTTCCACGCAGGTCTGTGTGGATGGAAATCCCACCTCCCAGAAGTTTTCTGGTGTGGAAGGAGGAATGTAGCGGTAGCGATGCCGTGAACAGGAAGTCAGTTTTTTCTCTCTCTCTTCCTCTGGGAGATCTGCATAATACTGAATCAACAACAGCATAGTTTTAATAAAAATATTAAAATGATCAGTGCTGAGATTATTTAAAAGAAGGAGACGTGTGTTTGGTCAAAGTGTACAAACTGACTCACAACTTCACACTCTTTACAATAGTGGCCTTTCAGTTTTCTCCTTTCGTCTTTCTTACGCACAACCTCCACACAAGCGAAAGACTTATTCCTGGAATAGGGTTATTCAGATTATTTTCAGGCTTTAGCACCACAATCATTTAAATGTTTTTCCCCCTCTTTTATTGTACATTGTAAAATCAGTGTTGTTACAGAAAAGTAAAATTTTATTGAAAGTAGTTCTGGGCAAAATTAATTGCAATTAATCACATCCAAAATTGTTTTGACATAATATTTATATTTAGGGATTAAAAAAATAAAAAAATAAAAAACTGCCCTTATTATCGGCAATGGGATCTCTTACATACTCTAAGAATAGAAAATATTCGGTTCACAATAAGACAAAAGCCAGAACAGTTCCAGAAAGTCTGGAGCCCTTTTCTAAAAAGATTTTAAGGAGACACCAATATCTTAATTGCCTTTTTTCCCTTTCTTTTTTTTTTTGTATAATTTATTTACCGTATTCGTTTTTTTATTATTATTCTTTTTTATGTTATATTATGTGTGTATATACAGCTGAAGTCAGAATTATTCGCCCCCTGTTTATTTTTAACGGTGAGAAGATTTTTTTTCAACAAATTTCTAAGCATAATAGTTGTAATAACTCATCTCTAATAACTGATTTATTGTATCTTTGCCATGATGACAGTAAATAATATTTGACTAGATATTCTTCAAGACACTTCTATACAGCTTAAAGTGACATTAAAAGGCTTAACTAGGTTAATTAGGTTAACTAGGCAGGTTAGGGTAATAAGACAAGGTATTGTATAACGATGGTTTGTTCTGTAGACTATTGCAAAATATAGTTTAAAGGGGCTAATAAAATTGACCTTAAAATGTTTTTTTAAAAATTAAAGACTTTTATTCTACTTTTATTTTATGCTTTTATTCTAGCTGAAACAAAACAAAGACGACTTTCTCCAGAAGAAAAAATATTATCAGACATACTGTGATCAATAATATTATAAATGTTATATTTTATAAAAAGTATGCTATAAATAATAACGTTATAAATAATATCCTACCAATAAATGATTGTTTTATACTCACCTGCTGGATTTATCACTATCAGACACCAATGGTTTGCGGTCTGCTGGTCGGCGAAAAACCACTGAATAATCACAAACTTTGTTAAAAAAAAGTTTAAAAGATAAAAGACCGATTATGCTGTGGTCATCGGTGAATCATAAAAGGCAAACAGTGTTGTCATTTAACAAAGCAAAAAGAAGAAATAAATAAAAATAAATAAATTAGTTAATGATGTCTTTACCTGCAGCCTCTGGCTTTTCTTCAGGATCATCTTCTTCTCTCTCCTCCTCATATACACTATCTTGTTTGAGATCAATGCTGTCATCCTGCGGACAAGACTCGTATTCTCCATATCCCGTCTTATCAAAGATATCAGCAAGGCTGTCGTTTGCCTTCTGCCCAATTCCTGTTGATCAATCATGTAGATGCAGTGGATGAGGCATTATTTCAAGCAACTGATCAAACGAGTGGTTTGGTGATGTAATACCGGTGGTTTGGGACTGTCCCGTTGTCTTCTGTCCTCTCAACAGCAGACTGTGGCTCACAAATGTGCAGTCGGTGTCCAGCGTCTCCAAGTCTGTTCTGGCCTGATGCTATTTGGGGTAAAAATTAAAATTTTATTTCTGTATTTTACTTCTTTAACATACAGAATAACCTTTCAGTAATTGACACACTAGTGTTTAAAGGTCTCTTCTGCTCACTAAAGCTGCATTTATTGCATTAGGAGTACAGTAAAACAGTAATATTGTACTAGCCTGAAATAGCTGTTTTCATTTTTAGCATCATTACATCAGTGTCACATGATCCTTCAGAATTTATTATAAATGTTTCAAAAAAAAATTCTTGTGCAAACTATGATTTTTTTTGATGAAATGTTCAAAAGTACAGCTTTGGTCATACATATTAAAAAACTGCATGGTCATGCATATTAACTAAACTGCATTTTGTTGAATTGTACTTGTACATGTGTAATGACAATAAAGTTGAATCTAATCTAATCTAATCTAATTATATTAAGTGGCCTTAACTACTTACATTTGAATGGATCAGTTGGTACAATGCATTTATTATGTACGTGCATGTTTTATATTGTACTTACAATTAAAATATTATCTGAATACCCTTAAATCTACCCATACCCTCAAACATGTCCATAACTAGTATGAATGCAATATAAGTGCATTTTACTTTTTTTTTTTTTTATGCAAGTACGTGGTAGTTAAAACCACTTGATAGAAAGTGAAATAGTAATATCATTATGGTGGCTTGAGAAAGCCACCCTTCTGTTATCTCACTTAAACTTCTTCTTCTTCTTCTACTGAGACAATTTTTGAAGTGCATCTCCACCTAAACCTTTCAAACTACATCCTTTAAACATTTGTCAGAGCTTTAACTGTCCTGACTCGGGTTGCTATATCTTTTCTAACTGATCCGACTTTCAGTTTTCCAATAAACGACCCAGAAAATTCCCAAAAGTCCCATTGACTTAACGTTGGGTCAACCTTTGTAAGCTATACAAAACTGTGCATCAGATTGTCCCACAGACTAGTGTCTGGCCTCATTTAACTCAATTTAGCCAGCAGCCAACCAATGATGACCTTTAAACTAACTAGCCACTCCCTAGCAACCAATTTCAGCACCCTAGCAACTGTCCCAAAGACTTCCATTGTAAAAGACTGTCATGAACTTAACATTGAGTCAACCTTTGTGAGCTCATAACTCTGCATCAGACTGTCATACAGACTAGAGTCAGGCCTCATTCAACTCAGATAAGCCAGCAGCCAATCACTGATGATCTTTAAACTTACTAGCCACTCCCTAGCAACCACTTACAACACCCTAGTTCCATAGACTGTCATTAGCTGTTCTAACACATGCTAATAGTTTTAACATCCTACTGACACGCTAATCTTTCTAGAAACATACTAGCACGTCAGTACATGATAATTCATGCTAGAATCATGCTTACAACATGCTAATTCATGCTAGAATAGTCCTGATAACATGCCAATTCATGCTGGAGACATGCTAACAGCATGACAATTCATGCTATAATCATGCTAAATTCATGCTAATACCATGCTAACAACATGGTAATTCATGCTAGGATCATGCTAACAACATGCTAATTCATGCTAGCTGGCTTTTTACAGTCTTTAAATGGTTACATTGTTGACTCCAGGGATCTTAAACATTATTTCAGCCGACTTGATACTGTTTGAAACTAAATAAACTACTTCTAACAGGCTTTGTCAAGCCACCACAAAGTTTGTCGTCAAACTTTAATATCTAGTTATTCATGCTAGGGTTGCAGGATACTGGAGAAATATGTGATATGCAATATTGTATAGCTGAAAACCGTATTTTTTACGATATAACATTTCCCTAGAAGAATGCTGTTTTTATTAACTATATTTAAGTCTTTAGAAACTATACTTTTCTAATCAAATTATTTCTAATTCAGACTAAAAGTCGAAAATCTAAAAAGTCTTTAAAATGAGTGAAAAGCTCAGCAGACATTCAAACTCTGATTGGCTGTTGTCATTTTCCTCTCTTGTCTTGATTCATAAGTATTTCTATTTAGCTCTGAGTTCACCTTTGGGTCACTCCAGCCAATAGTAGAACAGCAACTAATGGGGAGGCGGGGATAAAGATAGCAAGGCTTCATCTGATTGGTTAAATTTAGATAAATTTGTACAAATGACTGCGTTAAGCAGCGGACAAATCAATATATTCCTAAATTTTCCGATGACACTGTACTATTGCACCTTTTCACAAAAGATGCCAGCATCATGGAATATAGAGCGGCTGTAGAATGGTTTGTCAGATGGTGTGATGATGACCACAATTTTAAATTAACGTTAAGAAAACGGACAAGCTCATCATAGACCCTAGGTCAGTGAGCGATAGGAGCTCTGTTGTGGTTTATGATAAAGACATTAAGCAGGTTGATTCATATAAATATTTAGGATTGAATATTGATCGTGAACTTCATTTGAACTCTCAGGTGAAAAGCCTTTGTGCAAGAATTCATTAGCGATGATACTTTTTATGTAGACTAAGATTGTTCGGAGTGAGTAGCAGCATAATGCTGACTTTTTATAAAGCAACAATAGAGTCTATCTTAAGATACGGGATTATTGTTTGGTTTGGGAATCTGACAGTAAAAATGAAAACCCCAGTAAATAACCTGATGAGAGTGGCAGGAAAAATCATGGGAATTAAGACACTTGGTTCATTAAAAGATATTTTTGAGTTGTGCACAATCCAACAAGCCAACAAAATTTTATCTGATTCTTCACATGTGCTGTCTTTGGAGTATGAGCTGATGAATTCTGGCAGAAGATACAGGGTCCCGTTATGCAAGTACAATAGATATAAACATTCATTCACTGTTCCTTTTTCAATTAAGTTGATCAATGAGCAAGTAGGGAAGGACGGTCAAAGATTAAGATAACAAGATTGGTTGGCACAACAGAGGGCAGTAGGGCACATTGTATTTTATTTTATATATATTTTTTTAAATTACTGATTTTATGGAATCGTATTTATATTAAGAGGTATTTTAGCATTAGATTTTAATGTGTATGTATGTTACATGTTGTCTTGTTGGTGTCTATGAACAGCATAACCTTTTATCTAAAACAAATTTCTCCATACGGGAGACAATAAATTTTACCTTGACCGTGACCTTGATAAACAACCAGTGCACACAATAAATGTCATTTATCACATGTCTGCAATACGTTTAACATAATGTTAATTATCTGATATATTGTGCAGCCATACTAAAAATCTTATTATATCTTTAATATCGAAACAAAAGTATTTCTTCCTAAACAGTAGTGTAAATGTGGCTGTTTCAGGATCAGTCATCAGTACCTCCGGTTGAGGAGAGCTCTCAGTATCATACTGACCGAGATCAGCTCCTGGATCCACACTCCAGCTCTGATCTGTGCTCAAAAAAACGATCAAACAAGCACAAAATAATTAAATGGTTCACCCTTAACTATGCATGATACACAATCACTGAAAATAGATTAATGCTGTATTGACAATTATTTATATTATTTTTTTTTAAAGATTTATTTTTGGCCTTTTTTGCCTTTATTAGATAGGACAGTATTGAGACCGGAAGCGAAGTTGGAGAAAGAAAGGGGGTATGATAGGAAAATTTGCTCGAGCCGGGATTCGAACTCGGGACACCCAGATGTGCTACTGCACCATATGTCTGTGCGCTAACCATTAGGCTATTGCGCCAACGATATTGACATTTATTAATGTTAATTAAACTATTAATTTTCCAGAGTGTATTCTGGCTGATTTTGGTGAGTTTTAGATTAATAAATACAACATTGAAACCCCCAGTAGTGAAATCCCTGTGTATGATTCATTCAAAATCTCTGATTCATTTAGAAAGCAAATGACTAAATGAATCTTTAAATAAAATCAATATAATGTTTGATTTGTTGTTTGTTTGCAAATGGACTGACACTCGATAATGTCAGCTCACACATTCAAAGTTGTTATATTTTCATAGACAATAAATATTCCATCTCTTTTTGGAAACCGTATATTATAGGTTGACATTACCATATGGGAAAGGTGCATGATGGTTCTGAACCAAACTTTTGCGAGGTGTGTGTCCATCCAAACATTTCTTCTTTGAATCCTACAACAACATAACAGTCGCATAATATTCATTCATAAAAAGACTGAGAGACCGCTTGAAAATGTACAGTTTATAGTTGTGTAAAAGATCATTTTTGTTTGGTTAAACCAGGGGTGTCAAAACTCTGTCCTAGAGGGCCGGTGTCCTGCAGATTTTAGCACCAACTTGCTTCAACACACCTGCACAGATGTTTCTAGAAAGCCTAGTAAGAGCTTGATTAGCTGGCCCATGTGTGTCTGATTGGGTTGGAACTAAACTTTGCAGGACACCGGCCCTCCAGGAGCGAGTCTGGACATGCCTGGGTTAAACAAAGGACTAATGTCATAAAATACATTTGCATAAATTAAAAAAGTATTCAGACGTTATTAGACAACAAAATCTTTTCACTTCAGGTGAGTTAAAGATTTATTTTGTGGATTAACCCTGATTTGTCAATCACAACAAATCTATACATTTGGTATTCATTTTCTAGAACAATTATTTTATAAATTATTTGAAATAATATGGTAGAAATGATATCAAACACAGACCTAAACTAAGTATTAACATTTAAGTGCATCCACAGAAAGAGTTTTATGTATACAGAGTCTCTTGAGCGGGACGAGACAGAACCTGGGGACGTTTGTAGCTGTTTCTGCGCAGAATTCAGTAAAAAAAATCTGCATATTTATGTTGAATCATTTTGAGACTTTAGTAACTAAAAAACCTAATAAAAATATAATAACTAACAACTTTTTAACCTGCATTAAAGGTTTAATGCAAATCGAATTAGATCCATATGTTTGATAAACAAAGTGTTTTTTATACAATATATCTACTAATAGAGAGAAAATGCTACTTTACAAACCATATTTTAAATAAATTATACAAACATGTCATATTCATCATTAATATTACAGAAATTAATATACAGGGTTCTTACACCTTTTCTTAAACCAACTCCAGCACTTTTCAAGCACTTTCAAGGTGCATTTGTATGCTTTTATAGCACCTAATAACCACGGTTAATTATGTTTATATATGTTGTATGTACTTTTTCACATTTAAATCCATCCAACTTAGATCGTTGAGTACTTTAGAGCATAGATTTACTGGGAACGTTCAGTTCAGTTAATGGATGAAGTTTATTTTTAAGTTTGGTCTCTTTCTACCAAAAGTTGATATCTCAAGAAATGAGCTTACAGTCAGATTTTGTTTGGGTGTTGTTACCAAACTTTTTACCAAACTTTCATGACCAGTCTTTTTTTTTTTTACAGTCATTAGATTTACGTTTCAGCTCTAAAGTTGCATTCTGTCTCCTGAATACATATGAAGCTAATAGTACCAAAACAATCTGAATTTGAATCGTGTTAATTTGAATTCTTAAAAACTTAAAACTGTATTTTAACATTCCTAATATCTGCAGTCTTTGAATTCAGAACCAAAAAAAAAAACCTATTTAAAAATGTGTATAAAAATCTGACTTAAAAAATAAAGTTGTCTTAATTTTCAGTTCAATAATCAAGTTAAGAAATACACATTCAAAACATTTCTAATAGGATATAATCAGTATTATTAACTTAAAATTGTTAATAATTCAATTTAACACAATTCAAATTCAGATTGTTTTAGCTTATTATTAGCTCCATAAATACGCACATGCTCTGAACATTTTGCATTAAAAACACGCACGACAACAATTTATGCACTCGCACATATGCTCCCAAATGTATTTTGAGGTAACATAATAATAGATAAAACTGTGCGCATATGCAACCAAGAAAACAGTCACAATTTCGAGCCCTGCAATTTCAAATTTAATCAGGTTCAAAAACTTTGTCCAAAATCCAAGCACTTTTCTAACCTTGAAAACACAATATTAAAAATCAAGCATTTTCCAGGATTTTCAGCACCCGTAAGAACCCTGAACATAAAAACTGAACAAATGTACAGTTGAAGTCAGAATTATTAGCCTCCTGTTTATTTTCTGTTTAACGGAGAGAAGACGCATTTCAACTAATTTCTATATATAATAGTTTTAATAACTCATTTCTAATAATGGATTTATTTTATATTTGCCATGATGACAGTAAATATTTGACTAGACACTTCTATACAGCTTGAAGTGACATTTAAAGGCTTAACTAGGTTAATTAGGCATGTTAGGGTAATTAGGCAAGTCATTGTATAATGGTTTGTTCTTTAGACTACAACCAAAATTTCTGCTCAAGGAGGCTAATAATATTGACCTGAACATTAATAGCTGCTTTTATTCTAGCCAAAATAAAACAAATAAGACTTTCTCCAAAGGAAAAAAAATATTATATGAAATGCTGTGGAAAATTCCTGAATCTGTTAAACATCATTTGGAAAATACAAACTAAGTAAATAAATAAATAAAATCACAGAAGGGCAAATATTTGTGACTTCAACTGTATATTTACACACATTTATATAAGTAAATAAATAGACTTAAGAACAGACTAAAACATCTGCGGAAATTAGACATGAGTAAATCAGATGGTCACCTGTGTCGTTTCAATCTCGCTTGTTTCCTGATTCTTGCTCTGTAATCGACCATTAGCTGGAGTGGAAGCAAATATAATTCCCTTGATATCTGTCTCATCAGCATCCAGACGGCAATCAGAAATCTCCCGATCTTTTTTTGCACCATTCGAATGTTTTCTCTTCCCTTTCGTTAGCACACATGTGCTGCTATTTGCAGGTGTGCGTAAAACATCATCTATGGACGACTGATGATCTTGTGAGGCCAGCGGGCGGCAGCGCAAAATTAATGGAGAATCGTCATTCTGGCCTGCAATAAGGCTGGAAAATACAGCTGTTAATATTACTAAGCATTAAAAGGATAGTTTACCCAAAAATGAAAATTCTGTCATTATTTACGCATCCTCCATTTGTTTCAAATCTTGTAGAGATGTTTTCTGTTGAACACAAATGAAGATACGGTGACGTATAATGGAAAAAAACAGCCATTGACTTCCGTTGTATCTTTTTTTCTACTATGGAAGTAAACGGCTGTTATTTCCCCAGGATTCTAAGTAATGTTTTGTTTTGTTAGATAAATACAAAATTGTTGAGGGAGTTTGGGGACCATTCAAATTGTTGGAAATGATTGATGAATAAGAAGAGAGGTCATAAATATTGATGTAAAATAGTAAGAGATTTTTTCTTATTTTTAACTTCTGTATTATCTGAGTGTAAAGTTAGAAAGATATTCATTCATTCATTCCTTTACCTTCGGCTTAGTCCCTGATTGAGGTTACCACAGTGAAATGAACCGCCAACTATTCCAGCATACGTTTTACGCACTGACGTCCTTCCAGCCGCAACCCAGTACTGGGAAGCACCCATACACACTCACATTCACCCACACACTCATACACTACGGCCAATTTACTTAATCCAATTCACCTATAGCGCATGTCAATAAACTTTGGGGGAAACTGAAGCACTCGGAGGAAACCCACACCAACATGGGGAAAACATGCAAACTCCACATAGAAATGCCAACTGGATCAACCGGGACTCAAACCAGTGACCTTTTTTCTGTGAGGCGACAGCGCTAACCACTGAGCCACCATGTAACCCGTATTAAGGATATAAAAAATATATATATATATATATCTTGTTTTGCGTCCAACAGATGAGTACATCACAAAAGTATTGGATCACTTGAGGGTGAGTAAATTGTGAGGATGTGTTCATTTTAGGGTGAACTGTCCCTTTAATTACAGTATGTTTCAGATAATCTCACTCATCATTAAAAAAGTGAGTATCTGGATGAAAAGGGCTTCCTTACATGTTTGTGCAGTCACGTAACTCCGGTTTTTGGTTTTGTTCGGTGTGTGATGGGATGTGAAGATCATCATCGTCGACGTCGTCAACCTGGAGGAAAAATGGGTCACACTTTATTTTGGTGGTCCATTTGTTCAATTTAAGTTACATTGCATCTACATTCCAACGAATTTTCAATAAATTATTAGTAGACTGTTAGGTAGGGGTTAGTGTAAGTTGACATGTACTTGCAAAGTTTCTTATAGACAGTTAAATGTCTGTTGAAGGAGCAGTATCAACAGATATTGAGCACACAGTCTACTAAGACTCAAATAGACCATCAAAATAAAGCGTTACCGAAAACACACTGGACATGTAACCACACACTTCTGCTGATTTGAATATATAGAGGGTTTATATAGGTCACTATACCTTTTTGTAGATCATTATTAACATGCAAAACTGAATTGAAACCAGGAAGGGAATTTTGGAAATATACAGTTTTAAATAAGACTAAACCTGTTCTGGATAGACGTCTGGACGACAGGTCTCGGGAACCACAATCCTGAAATGTCTCTTGTTATCACGCTCTAAAATAAACAGCACAATGTATGTGGGTTTATCACGAGAAATGTCTTTAAAAGAGAATTGAGAGAATTGAGAAATTGTCAAAAATGTTATTGTGTATACAGATCTGATTTAAGGTCAATTCTATTTTACACACACCTGACTGTAATCCAGACACACAAATACTATTACTTGTTCTTGTATATTACTTTCATATAATACCTGCAACACTAGTCGCATCCATTTCACATGTCTCAGCAACCAGCACACCTTTGCCATTACAGCCGAAAGCCACAGATTGCTCTCTTTGCCTGGATTCTGTAAATTATATCAAAATAGCATTAGACATTATGACATTACATTATTAAATGCGACCAATATTGTACATTATTATAATATATTATGGGTAACACTTTACAATAAGGTTCATTAGTTAATTCATTTACTAAGATGAACTAATCATGAACAACACATGTACAGCATTTATTAATCATAATTGAACATTCACTAATGCATTATTAACAGTCAAGTCCATGCTTGTTAACATTAGTTAATGCACCATGAGTTAACATGAGCTAACAATGAACTACTGTATTTTCATTAACTAACGTTAACTAACATGAACAAATACAGTAGTAAATGTATTGTTTATTGTTTGTTCATCTTAGTAAATGCATTAATTAACATTAACTAATGAACCTTATTGTAAAGTGTGACCATATTATGTATTATTATATTTTAATTATCCATGAAAGCATATGTCTAATTTGGAATCAAAACATGTATATTCATTCATTCATTCAATTTCTTTTCGGTTAATTTGAGCCATTAAAATCTCTATCAATTTGGTTTATATACATTTTTTATTTCTACATTTCTAGTCAAACATTTGCCCTAAAGATCCGAATAAAGTGACAAATATGATCACATATGAATGAGCATGTTTCTCAGTACATTCATTAAAAAGTAATTGTCCTTTACATGTGGCCATGCATCTGTTAATTGATTACATTTTACAGAAAAGGTAATATAATGTGATATATACTGTTATCAGGATATGAGACAACTTATATCTTGAGATTTTTGTCATATTTCCCATCCCTAATCACACATATTACATAATACATAATATTAAGGTCATTTAGGCATTTTAGGTCCCGTTTACAATAATAAGTTTTAGTTTTTAAAGTGGCGATGTAGAATGAAAACGTCCAGCGTTTCACCTAATGTCTCTGAACAGATCTCCGTCCACACTATACTACTGAAAACACACATGACGTGACCACACACACACACACACACTGGCATGCGCTGCAGCGTCTGAGCTCCAGGCAGTCAGCGGGTATTTTGAGCACAGCACCTTAGGTGAAAGCTGTGCACATCGGATGGTTCATCAAGAATCTACCGCTGGATCTAATCTAGCTATATTTGCTAAATGTGATATTTAATTCATCTTGCTGTCTAACGACATACTCCCTGACTTTTTGTTTAAAAAATTCATACAGTGAAGATGTCGGTCATATAAATATGTAGCTACACGACGCCTCAACATTTTTGGTGTCTGTTAAGGTAATTTTAAAAATAAAAACTGACAGTTCCTAATATCATATTTTCATTCGATTGTTGAGATGTGAAACAGCATAGCCAGGGTGATGTGATTGAGGGTATACAGTACACTGTTCCCTTTGAAAATTTACCCGACGTGTCCTGAGGAGTTTATTTACCTTATCAAACTTGTGAAGTCTGAACTTACAAGGGGAGGATGCAGGACTGAAGTGTGTGTAGGCTACTCAATATTGAGAAAAACCCCAATCAAATAGGTGAATGTCAACAGCCACGCCTCCGTTTTCAGATGTCTCCGTTTTCCCCATCCACACCGAGTTGGAGCAGCAGCGTTATAGAATGAAAACGGCCTCTTTAGTGTTTTCAAAAAGCTCAGTCTTTGGCGCTCAAAAACTCTAGGGTAGTGTGGATGGAATGCGTAGCAAAACTTATGCGATTTAAAACTAAAATTTCTTAGTGTGAACAGGGCCTTGGGTTCCTGGGCAACACCATCTCTCAGGATCTGAAGTGGGACATTCACATAGACTCTATCGTGAAGAAAGCCCAGCATAGACTGTACTTCCTTTGTCAGTTGAGGAAGTTAAACCTGGCACAGGAGCTGCTTGTGCAGTTCTATTCAGCTGTCATCCAATCCATCCTCTGCACTTCAATCACCGTCTGGTTCAGCTCAGCTGCCAAAACCGACCTCCGTAGACTACAGTGAATAGTCCGGACTGCTGAACGAATCACTGGCACTACCCTTCAAGAACTGTACTCTTCCAGAGTGAGTAAAAGGGCTCGCAAAATCACTCTGGACGCCTCGCACCCAGCACACTTCCTGTTTGAACAGTTACCGTCTGGTCGGCACTTCAGAGCACCAAGAACAAAAACAGCCAGACACAGGAAAAGTTTCTTTCCTCAGGCCATCTACTGCATGAACAGTTAAATATAACCCAACTGTGCAATAAATATGTGCAATACTTTCTCATACGCACTTGTACACAGCCCCTTATATCAATATACAATGCAATAATTTCTACATTCGCATTTGCACACAGCACCTTATGTTATAACCTGTATATTTATAACAAATCTGTACATACAACTCAACATCCAGATTTCTGGACTAACTGCATCTCCGTTTAATGTTTATCATCTTTTTTTCCTCATATTTATTTTGTGTTGTCACTTTATGTACACTGGAAGCTTCTTGTGTTATTCCTTGTGTGTGTGAAGCACACTTGGCAATAAAACTGATTCTGATTAAACTTCTCTGGAGTGACTAACCGGGGTGTGAGAGTGATAGCGGTGTCTCAGTGTATCGGACGTGGTTCTGCTCTTTCCGGCGTTTCATCTTGCTGGCAACGGGTAAAGACAGCGGCCGGAGAGGAGAGTCTGGGATCATTCCCTCCTCAGCCTCAGAGGACGTGTTCTGTGGAGAACTAAACACACACTCAAAACAGACGGTCATATGATGATGAATGTCACCAGTGCTCAGTATTTCATCATGTTTTCTTCAACTCTGAGACTCACCCAGACCTCCTGAGTCGCTCCAGTTCAAGACTCAGTCTCCTGTTTTCATCTGTCAGAGTTTTCCTCTCAGCCTCTAAACACACACATTGAAGAAGATTTTTGGGTTGATACTGATAGGCTGGATGAGACGAGAGCTGCACTGGTATGGAATTTTTGACCTGATAACTGATAACGTAAATTTGATTTGAAACAGATAGCCAATATATTATTAACAAAAATAGCAGACAAATAATATCTATATCCATAATTGTTATGCATGATTGCAAAAACAAAAATCAAACACTTACAGAGAACAACTGATTTTATTTTAAAACTTTAACTTCAGAACAGTAACATTTACAACAAGGCAAAACCAGCAAAAATAAAGCATAAAAACAGCACAAATAAAAACCTAATTTTGTTATTAGACCAATCGAGATAACATTAAAATCAGGTTTGCTGATATTGATATGGCCACCGATGTATCATCCAACCCTAGTAGATACAGATGAGTTTCAGACAACTTAAAGTAAAAACTATTTATATCCATTTTTTTAACACTCAATTCTTACAAAATTCCATCTAAATTACAAATTCCAAATGCACAATTTCCAAAAGACATTATATATATATATATATATATATATATATATATATATATATATATATATATATTTTTTTTTTTTTTTTTTTTTTGAATGTAACTATTTTTGGGACAAAATTATTAGCCTCTTTAAGCTATTTTTTTTCGATAGTCTACAGAACAAACCATCGTTATACAATAACTTGCCTAATTACCCTAACCTGCCTAGTTAACCTAATTAACCTAGTTAAGCCTTTAAATGTCACTTTAAGCTGTATAAAAGTGTCTTAAAAAATATCTAGTCAAATAATATTTACTGTCATCATGGCAAAAATAAAATAAATCAGTTATTAGAAATAGGTTTTTTAAAACTATTATGCTTAGAAATGTGCTGAAACAATCTTCCCTCCATTAAACAGAAATAGGGGAAAAAAATAAACAGGGGCGCTAATAATTCAGGGGGGCTAATAATTCTGACTTACATACACATACACATTTCTTATGAATTATTTATGATTTTATTTATAAATTTTGACCTCGACTGTTTATTTTTTCCCCAATTTTTGTTTAACAGAGAGAAGATTTTTTTCAACACATTTCTAAACAGAATAGTTTTAATAACTTATTTCTAATAACAGATTTCTTGTATCTTTGCCATGATGACAGTAAATAATAATTTACTAGATATTTTTCAAGACACTTCTATACAGCTTAGAGTGACATTTAAAGGCTTAACTTGGTTAATTAGGTTAACTAGGCAGGTTAGGGTAATAAAGCAAGTAATTGTATAACGATGGTTTATACAATCAAAAAGAAATACAGCTTAAAGGGGCTAATAAAATTGACCATAAAATGCTTTTTTAAAAATTAAAAACTGCTTTTATTGTAGTCGAAATAAAACAAATAAGACTTTCTCTAGAGGAAAAAATATTATCAGACATACTGTGAAAATTTCCTTATATATATAAAGTTTTGTATGGCTTCTTTAATTTTTCTTGTTAATTATAATTTATTAAAAATTTTCTAATTAACATATATATAGGGGTGTATTAATGCTTGCAGCATCATAATAGCTAGTTATGTTTTTTTTAATAATTTCCACTCTTAAAAATAATTACAACTAGCCAAACAAAAACGAAAAAACATTTATTTTATATGGCCTCCTTCATTTTTTTATTTATTGCAATTTATTTCAGATTTTTTGTAACATTCATTGGAGTCTAGTTCATTTTGAACTATAAATTGCAAATTATGTTGTTCGAATGGTTTCAGTTCTCCCTTTGTATTGACTTATCTCACAATAAACCAATAAATGATATTTGATCAAATATCTTACTGTTTAAGATCTCGCTGAAAGTATTATTTTAAAAGCAAGATGAATATTTTTCAGCGATCAATCTGTTAGAGTGCATTTATCTAAGCTGGACACAGTAAATAAGTTCAAACCTCTGAAACTAAACCATCATCTATTTACATTAAAGACAGCACAGTCCAATAAAATATGCTTTAATAACACCACTGAAAAAGAAATAGTCACCAAAAATACTCACCAAGCTCAGAGATGACAGACAGATTTCTCTGATTATTATCTTCAAGCTCAGTGTTTGTCTTTTTAATCTGCTTCTCTTTCACAGTGCAGCGATCGCATGGTCCAGAACGCAACCTAAAAAAATAACACAGTGACTAAAACTGAGCTCCGAATTCAGGATAAATGCATAAAAAACATGATCAATAGGTTTGCTTGTGAGCACCTGTCCTCCAGCTGTCTGATCTTCTCCTGCTGGATCTTCTGTTGCTCTCGTAAATGTTGATTCTTGCTGTGAAATTCACTCAATTTCTGAGCATCTCTGAGAAAAGAGACACAATATTATTATTATTAATAATAATAATAATACAGTCAAATAGGATATGTGGCATTACAGATTACAGATTAAAAAAGGTTTTTCAAAATAGCTTAAGCATGTTTAATGATCATCACAAATATTTATTCATGCTTTAATGACTCTCAAACTGATTTATATACATTTTTAAATATATTTGCATGTACACTGTATACGACGTGGACTTACAGACAGCGCTCTTTCTTCAGTTTAGCTATTTTTGCTTGTAATTCTGAAAATGAGAAACATGTATGTTGTCAGAGAAAAGAAAAATATTTTAATAAGTTATTTGACAATCTATTTTTATTATAAAAGTTATCAAATCAGAAAAACAGAATCCACAATACAGTTTTTCTCAGTCGATCAACAGTAACTGCATTTCTCAAAACATTTTGTCATTTGTGCACATCATAGCAGCAGTTTCTTATTCCGTCTAACAAATTGCAAATGCTTTCTGACGTGTATCAATTGCTTTTATACAACTCTCTGCTGTTTATAACATTATCATTTGTTTATGTCATGTCAGTTCAAATTAACTGAACTTGTGAATGCTGAATAGTCACTCCATATAAAACTAATAGTCCTCTTTTATTACTTATTACTCTTTTATTCTTTACATACAAAAATGTTAAACTAGCTGTCCAAATCTCTCAAGCAAATTTTATAAAATCTTTTTTTTTTCTGAAAATTTCTTGTAAATTGAATGATTTGATGAATTATTTAAAGACCTCTATGTTGTAGGTTCAGTTCCAATATGTTCTGCAATATTGTTTACAGGTGTGCACAGCTCTACCCAAAGGGAGATTAGGTTTGTTGTAAATTTGTGTGTATTTATTCTTCAGCGCAACGATGTGAATAAATTAAAATTGCAAGATTATGCAGTAAAAATGTAAAACACACATATTCAGTGTCTTGTACTCAGATACCTCAATAAATGCAGAGATGTCTAACTTTACTGTAGTTTTCAAATGGCTGTGCAAATAGTGTATAGTTCTGTCCAAAGCATTTTCAGCAAATGTCACCAAAATCTGACTTTATTGCATTGGATGTAATGTAAAGAGTGAACTGTCATAAAGAAGACAAAGCCATTTGACTATCTTGTTCATAAACAATGTTGTGGTAATTGTGTATATTGTCTTTAAGTGATATTTACAAGTGGTTTCAGACCGAATAGTCAAATACCATGGTAAACAATATAGAGAGATTGTCTATATTGAGAGAATATAAAACCAACTTTACCTCAATTAAGTAGGCTAACAATAATTACCTATATTTCAAAGTAATTGCTTAAATTACATTTTTAGCATACAAGTAATGTAATTAACTAAGTAACTAGTTGTTATGTAATTATTTATACTCCACTCAGGTTATTTACCTTGCAGTGCGGTGTCGTGCAGGTCTCGGACAGCGGTCAGCAGCTCCTGCAGTTTCTCCCTGTGGTCTGAGGATGAAGCAGGACTCAGATCTGCTGGAGTGATGCTCATCTTCACTCTGTTTCACTGTAAATCCTTCACAACTCCAGCATTTACACAAATACATTTAAAAAAAACTCTCCACTTACACCTGACAAATTCCCTCCTGAATGTTTACACAAACGTATATCCGCGTATAAGACTAAAATAATAGGCATTTAAACATGGAAACGCGCGTTCAATATACCTTCAATAATTGGGGTTGTAAATATTCTGATTGCCCGCTTCTTCTTTTTCTTTTTCTTCTTTGGTTGTTAATGGCTGTAGGCAACTGAACTTTGCCGCCACCGACTGGAATGGAGTAATGGAACTGGGCGTGCAGTGGCGTGGGTTCCGGGTGCTCCGGTTTCCCCCACAGTTCACAGTCACACACATATAGGTGAGTTGAATAAACTAAATTGGCCGTGTAAATGTGAGTGTGCATGGGTGTTTCCCTGTGATGGGTTGCAACTGGAAGGACTTCCGCTGTGTTAAACATATGCTGGAATAGTTGGCGGTTCCCCTGATAAATAAAGGGAATAGGCTGAGCTGAAGGAAAATTAATGGATGAATTGTTTTTGTTTGCCAACTATGATTTCTTAGTTTTATTTCAGTTAATCAAAATGCTTTTTGACCAATGTTTTTTGTTTTAGTCTAAGTTTACGTTTTCGTTTGCTAAAATAACCTTGGAGAGTAAGGAAACTGCGTGTGTGTGTGTGTGTGTGTGTTTGTGCGCGTGTTTGTGTGTGTGTGTGTGTGTGAGAGAGAGAGAGAAAGAGAAAGAAAGGAGAGAGAGAGAGAGAGATATTCGGACAAACGTGTATAATGACATGGGTATGACACGGGTATTACAAAGAGACTGTGAATTATGAGGACATTGCTAATGTCAATTTTTTCAATTCAGAATAGGGTTGGGGCAATAGAAAATACAGCTTGTATAGTGTAAACAATAATAGTTACTTGACCAATGGAAAACAATAGAATAATATCAAATGTTCCCACAATTCACAAAAGCTAACCCTGTGTCTGTGTGTAGTGGCAGGAAAGTTTGTGATTTCATTCATTCGCTCATTTTCTTTTTGACTTTCCTTTTAGTCCCTTTATTAATTTGGGGTCACCACAGTGGCATGAACTCCCAACTTATCCAGCATGTGTTTCACGCAGCGGATGCCCTTCCAGCCGCAACCCATCTCTGGAAAACATCCATTCACACTCATACACTACGGACATTTTAGCCTACCCAATTCACCTATACAGCATGTCTTTGGACTGTTGGGGAAACCAGAGTGCCCTGAGATAACCCACGTGAACGCAGGGAGAACATGCAAACTCCACACTGAAACACCAACTGACCCAGCCGAGGCTCGAACCAGCAGCCTTCTTGCTGTGAGGTGACAGCATTACCTACTGCGCCACCGTGTCACGTTTTTGTGAACTCTTTAGAATAAAATATTTTTCTGCTGCAATTCATCATAAAATTTGAGTCACAATGACAGACAAACATACTGTGCATACATTTATCAAGCAAACAATTCTAGTTTCTTGTGTCTTTGTTGATCACAAAATATTAAAGAGTGACTGACTGACTGACTGACTGACCGATCAACTGACCCACCTTCCCTATACTCAACCAATAGTGTTTTCAAAAGCAGCAACTGACCAGCCCAACACCTTCCCTAAACCCAACTTGCAGTGTTTTAAAAAGCAATCCAGAAAAAAAAGCCCTCGTCAAATTTTTACTGCATTTTCAGATTTTTCCACATTCTTTACATGTTTATTTAATTTTTTTGGCTTCTGTTTTTGTCTTCAGGAACCATTCTTTGCTGGATTCAAACTCCATCATCATGGTCAACTCCTCTCTGCATCTCAAGTCCATCGACGAATGCGTCAAGCTACTGGGCAAACTGGTAACAGCAGAAAAGGCTGTATGCGATCAGCTGCTTAGCAAGAACGTTGTCACACCACCCCGTAGCATTTGTTTTAAAGACAAAATGTAGCCATATGTGTATCTGACCGTCGACTGTCATGGTAAAAAACAACTACATTTTGACCAAAAAAGTTTTTGAGCCCATATGACCAAATTACTGACCCAATAACTTTGAAGCATGAATGAAACGTTTTGGGTGAGTACAGGGCCGGCTCATCTATAGAGGCTACCTAGGCAGCCGCGACACCTCCCTCACCACCTGCGTCCTAAGTTATATCCGCGAACAGCCACCCCCTCCTCAACTTGCTACCTTTTCACTTTTGTTTTCACTTTCAGATTGTGGGTAGCGTGATCGTCAGATAATATTCATACATGTAAATCTTGAAATGACTTAACAAAATATCCATATAATATTATACAATAAAATATAACATAATAACATCTAAAACACTCAAATATTTCTATAGTAGAACTACATGACACCGTCGGCATCAATACATTGTGTACCGTGCGTTGACGTAGCCTATCGCTGTTTTTGTTATAAATAAGCACACACATACACACAGACACACACACACATATATACATTGTTTTATATATATATATAGTTTCCCAGAGATGCGTTGCGGCTGGAAGGGCATCCGCTGCATAAAAACGTGCTGGATAAGTTGGCGGTTTATTTCGCTGTGGTCACCCCGGATTAATAAAGTAACTAAGCCGAAAAGAAAATGAATATATATATATATATATATATATATATATATATGGGTAATTTCTGGCATTTGGTAATATTTCAGCTTGAACAAACTCATTTTTATAAGTCTGTTGATTATATTTTAAATAGCCTACATAATTAGGCACAATTTAAACTTTCAAAAATTTCCCTCAGGCATTACAGCTTTCATATTATTTTCAGTTTTATTCTTATTTGGACACCTATAATTCTCAACCCCATTACGGACAAAACTGAGTTGTTAATAATAGTATTTTACAAAGCTTTTGCTATCAAACCAAAATTTACCTATTGCTCATATGTCCCTCAAATCACTGTAATGACTAAAACATAATATTTTTGATAAGTTTTAGATTTATATGTGATTTAACTTACAACTATACAATTTATGAATTCTGTGGTCTCTTAATTTTTCTAAAAATCTTTTATATTTAGATGTCTTACCCAAACCACATATTTACAGTGTTAGGCCTTTACATGGTGGTTGGTACTCAGCAAGAATGTTTTCCATATTTAATTGTTTTCCTTATTTTATTTTCCAAAAAATATTAATTTCACAGGGTTGAGAATACAATGAAGGGGTTGAAGACCATATCAGGGTTGAGGGGACACTTTAATTTTAGTTTTAATTTGTTTTAATTATTTGAAATTACATCTAAGACTTAACCAAAACACTTATTTATTTTAGCAAAATATTTAGCAATGGCTTAACACTAAGATGAAATTAAACTTTATTAAACCAAACTACAGTCAGAATTTAAAAAAGGAAACTGCTGAAGGTAAATGGACCATTAGTAACCTTTAAAAATACTGATAAAGGCCTATGATAACAAATATATTGCTGAACAGAACCTACAGTAAACAGGAGCAACAGGTAAAAACTGCAGCAGAAAAATTCTTAATGAAATTGCTGATGAAAATTTTTAATAATAAAAATATCTATATTTTTTTTATTTATATATATATAGATAGATACACAGATATATATGGGGCAGTACTGGGTGACTGATGAAGGATTTCATACATTGAAACATTTCATATACTACTTCAATCTTTCGGGTTGTAAGTTTATCTTGCTGAACTTTAAACCTTTTTCATAATTTCTAAACTCTTTGTGCACCCAAGGCTATTTAGGCCTACTTGAACTTCACAGAATTTGATATAAAATATTTCTCATCTGTTTTGTAGGAAACCTGAATAAGTATTGTAAACATTTCAAAAGCTTCTTCACCAAATATGCTAGATGGGTAAAATAAATAACTGCATCACGAGCTTGAACTCAGCATGATCCTCCATTAAAGTACCGGTATCTACTGTACATGCACCTGAAGAGATGCTCGTTTTCAATTTCTAAAGAAACCTACAACAATGAGGAGGAAGGCTGTTTATGTAGTATTAAGATTTATATTTACATAATTACATCAGAGCATTTATATTTGATGATCTGATGAAACATGAGGAAACGGCGGGGCATAATGTAACTCCTCCCCTTTAAAAAAAACTGCCAATAGCGTTTTGTTTTTATTACAGCTGAGCTCTGCCAGTGTGGAAACAAATTAGGCTACTCTAAAATAATTAATAAGTTTAAGCCTTCACACATTTTTTCTTTAAATGTATAAAGGTTGTAACTCATTTCTCACTGAGTAAAAAGCAGGGAAGTTGTTTGGTGTTACAAGTGAGGCTTGTAGTTTTACTTTACCAATAAATGTTTAAGTTTATCTTGCTGAACTTTAAACCTTTTTCATATTTTCTAAACTGTTCTTGCACCCAAGGCTGTTTAGGCCTGCTTGAACTCGCAGAATTTGATATAAAATATTTCTCATCTGTTTTGCAGACCTGAATAAGTATTGTAAACATTTCAAAAGCTTCTTTCACCAACTATGCTGGATGGGCCAAAAAAAGAAAAAACTGCATCACGAGCTTGAACTCAGCATGATCCTCGATTAAAAGCAACGGTATCTACACGCACTTGAAGAGGTGCTCTTCAGGTGTTTTTTCAATTTCTAAAGAAACCTACAACAATGAGCAGGAAGGTTGTTTATGTGGTCTTCATGGGAAAATCAGATTTCCAAAAATTTTGTGTCCGATGATTGACGGAATTTCAACTGAAACACGAAGAAACAGCGAGACATATCATAGCTCCTCCCCTTTCTAAAAACAGCCAATTGCGTTTTGTTTTTAATAAGGCTCTGCCAGTATAGAAGAAAATTAAGCTACTCTAAAATAAATAATTAAATACGTTTAAGGCTTTACAATAATGTACATTTTTTCTTTTAATGTATTAAGGTTGTGGCGACGCAGTGGCACAGTAGGAAGTGCTGTTGCCTCACAGCAAGAGGGTAGCTGGTTCGAGCCTCGGTTGGGTCAGTTGGTGTTTCTTTGTGAAGTTCTCCCTGCGTTCGCGTGGGTTTCCACCGGGTGCTCTGATTTCCCCCACAGTCCAAAGACGTGTGGTACAGGTGAATTGGATAGGCTAAATTGTCCTTAGTGTATGAGTGTGTATGAGTGTGAATGGATGTTACCCAGAGATGGGTTGCAGCTGGAAGGGTATCCGCTGCGTAAGACATATGCTGGATAAGTTGGTGGTTCATTCTGCTGTGGCGACCCCAGATTTATAAAGGGACTAAGCCAAAAAGAAAATGAATGAATGTATAAAGGTTGTGACCCATTTCTCTCTGAGTAAAAAGCAGGGAAGTCGTTTGGTGTCACAGAATGACAACTGGAGACTCTGAGTTTGAATTTACCAATAAATGTTTAAGTTTATCTTGCTGAACTTTAAACCTTTTTCATATATTCTAAACTTTTCTTGCAACCTAGGCTATTTAGGCCTGCTTGAACTTCGCAGAATTTGATATAAAATATTTCTCATCGGTTTTGCAGACCTGAATAAGTATTGTAAACATTTCAAAAGCTTCTTTCACCAACTATGGTGGATGGGCCAAAAAAAAAAAAAAACTGCATCACGAGCTTGAACTCAGCATGATCCTCCATTAAAAGCAGCTGGATATACATGCACCTGAAGAGATGCTCTTCAGGAGTTTTCAATTTCTAAACAAACCTACAATGAGCAGGAAGGTTGTTTATGTGATCTTCTGAGAAAATCAGATTTCCAGAAAATTTATATCCGATGACTGACGGAATTTCAACTGAAACACGAAGAAACAAGCTGCGTCCCAAATGGCACACTATACACTATGCACTCATCCACTATGTACTTATGCACTTACACACTCAAGAGGATAGTATATGTATGTACTGTCGTCCCAAATGGCACACTAATGATTTTTTACTAAGCAGAAATTCAAACCGTTTCCCTGATGACGTTTGACGGTTGCTAAATCAGTGAAATAAACGACCGAATTATCCAATAATACCTGCCGTGAGTATTGCCGCATTCACCATCGGGAGGCGCTATAATCACTCTCGTAGGAGAATTTTGCTTTTACCATCCAAAATACGTAAAGTTATTCAACATGTGCCTCCGATAGCTCCGCCCCTTCCGCTACGCAAGCAAACCTGCGGTCGTGTACATCATTCCACACTTAAATGAGTGCATCATCCGGGTAATTAAAGTACACTTATTATTTTTATAGTTTTCAGTGTGAACGCACTACTTACACTATTTATACTACAAAATGGCGTAGAATAGTGCATAAGTATGCGATTTGGGACGCAGAGACAAATCATAGCCCCTCCCCTTTTTAAAAACAGCCAATAGCATTTTGTTTTTATAAAGGCTCGGCAAGTATAGAAGCAAATTAGACTACTCTAAAATAAATAATTAAATAAGTTTAAGGCTTTACAATAATGTACATATTTTCTTTTAATGTATAAAGGTTGTGATCCAATTCTCTCTAAGTAAAAATCAGGGAAGTCGTTTGGTGTCACAGAATGACAACTGGAGGCTCTGAGTTTGACTTTACCCAAATGTTAAAGTTTATCTTGCTGAACTTTAAATCTTTTCATCATTCTAAACTCTTTGTGCACCCTAGGCTATTAGGCCTGATTTCGTGGAATAAAAATGTTAACGTATTTACCAAAATGAATGAACAATTACCCGTGTCTCACAAAAGTCCTTAACCATCCATATTTTCCTGTAACAGCTGTATTTTAAGAGAATATCTGATTTCCCAGAAGACCATTTAAGCAGCTTTCCAGCACATTAAAAACATACCTGAACAGCCCATCCTAGATACGGCTACTTTTAATGGAGGATCCTGTGGAGTTCAAGCTTGTGATGCAGTTATTGTCTTGCCCATACAGCATAGAGGCTGTTAAGAGGCTTAGGTTGAAGAGGCTTTTGAAATATTTACAATACTCACTCATGTTTTCCTACAAAACAGATGTATTTATGAGATTTTATAACAATGGTTATATCAAATTCTATGAAATTCAAGGTCTTAGTGGCCTTGGGTCCCGTACAGGTTTGCCGAGATATGCACACAGAGGGGTCTGTGAGTAGCCCACACTAGGAAACAGCCCACATTAATTCCATGAATAAATTAGTTTGTGCACAGAACAGGGTGCGAGCACAGGGCCCTTCAGTTTTGTTTACAAGTGCCTCAGAGGTGCCTTAGTATATTTGTATTTCATACATTACATCAATATTTATCATCTTTATTTCTGTTCTCTGACACAAACTACATTCTGTGCATATCTACAAGCTGCTGTCTTTAGAAGATAGCAGTTTACATTAACAACGACGCATTGAATTTGACCTCCCAAAATTCTGGTTCCTTTGACCGTGACCTACCTGGAAGAGGTGGGCCAGAAAGCAGTCCGGTTGGGTTCGAGAATGATATGCTTGTAGTGGAAGTGGAACTGAAGACTTTACAATTTATAACACATTATTTCTTAATGGACAGGAACTGTCATAGTTTATCAAAGATGCAAACCCCTCACTGCACTTTGGCTGCCACCTTCGGGAAATCTATTAATGCATTAATGCGTGCAGCAAGAGGATTTATTTCTGAGCATCGTAAGTGGTGAACCTGTTCAGCAAAATATTCAACCTCGTGTCTTTGCTTCCCCTTTAAATAAAACAATCTCCACAGTTTTGAGCAAAGATCGTTTCTTTCCCTGTTTTCTTCTAAACTGTCATCGTGGGCGTAGTGTGCTCGAGGTAGGAAAGTAAAAATGCAGCATGAGTGCAGGCTATAGGAGAGGGAAGTGCAAGTACATCCTTAAGTGTGTTTACAATTACAAAAAAAAAAAAAAACTGACAACAATGAGGAGCAAGGGTATTCATTTGGTCTTCTTGGAAACTCTGGACCACAACAAAAAAATAAAGCTAGTACAGGAAAATATGGTTGATTAAAGACTTTTGTGAGATCCTGCACAATTGGTCTGGGTGGCCTAATTCATAGAAAGAAAGAACGAACAAATAAAGATGAATAATATATATATATATATATATATATATATATACGTGTGTGTGTGTGTCTTCAAACATGCTACAAACATGTTTTTTTATGGTTTTAGCTTTAGTTTATTGATAATCCTGCTTAGAGATAACGCATATAAAAACAATAAAATACAGTGAAATAAAAAAACAATACAAAAATATTCAAATCCAAACAATGAGCAACACATTAAAAAACAGTTTGTTTTAGACAACTGGGATAATCACATTTCGCTTTACTCTAGTCTGCTAGGTGTCGTTTGACTTTCGCATCCGCAGCGGATTCGCCGAAGAAGACGCATCGCCGGAAGTGAGGCTAAACTTTGCTCCACACAGCGGAAAACAGCTGTTGTTTAGAAACAGGAATAGATAGGTAAGTTCTGCGCTGTACACTATTACACTTTTTTCTTTTTGATTTGTCATAATAGTAGCATTTAACTCGCATTTACTTATTTATTAGATCGTATTGTCAGTGGCGAGTGTCGTTAGTTTTTTACGGAGTGAGCTAACAGAGTTAGCCAGATATGCTAGCCAGATCTGCTAACTTTCTTCTCGACGTCAAACTGATGAGAGTCTTTTATCAGGATTTAATTCCAGGACTGTCATTCATTTATTGAAAGCCCGTTAGATGCTGTTCATATCACCATAACGTAATGTTGTTCATTTGGAATGGGAAAAATGAATTGTGTTCAGTTCACTGAAGAAACAGAGACTGTGAGCTGCTGACAGATTATTGTGTTTTAACTGTTAACGTGATATTGTGTATTTGCATAATTGTAAAAGAACATGGATATAGACCATAGTGTTATTGTAGTAGTGTTTTAAAACAAATTTATTAGCTGCAAATTGTTAGTTGTTATTGTCAACGTTATTGTAGTGGTATTCTCATTCTATTTAGATTAATTTAGTTGTAAATTATCACATAGTTTTTTATTTTTAAATAATAATATTTAATGTTTCTTACATAGAACTTACAAAATGTTTTTTTTAAAAGCAAACATGTCCTTATAATTGTGATTGTGTATTATTTTTAACTGTTTTATTGTCATAGATGTACATTACATGTCTTGTCTCTTTATCTTCAGGATGCCTGGGCAGAAAAGAAAGATGTCTTCTTCTGAACCTGAAGTTAAAAAAACAAAGCTGGACCGAAATCTTGTGGAGTCTGATAAATCTCAAAAGCCTAAAAGAGGAAGACCACCAAAAAGTAAAGTGCTGGAAGCACAGCCATCAAGACAGAAACATCAGATAGATTCAAGGGAAGAAAATGGAAAGCCTATTCGACGGTCCTCTCGCTTGAAAACACCACTAAAAAAAGGTGCTAGAGCAAGACGGCGGAAAGATGGGGAGAAGCCTAAAGTCTCTGAGGAGAAGTCCTCTCAAAAAATGCCTGTCCTGAAAAAAGGAAACAAGAAGTATGTTTCAAGAGTAAAGAGAGAAAAGCCCATCATCTCTGAAACCATCAAAACAGTAGCAGCCATGTTCCCTGTGCAAATAGAGCACAATTACGGACGATTGTTTGACATGCAGGCTGAAGAGATCACGCTACCTAAACCTGACAAAATCCATGTGGCTAATAAAAGTGAAATGCAGGCGCTTCACGAAACACAAGCAAGCAAAGCTGAAGAGCAAAAAGAGCTGCACGCTGAGCCTGTTGAGAAAATTACCGTCAGCGTAGATGCAAAAGTAGACGTGATGAGCAAATCTCCTCCACCTCTAGAGGCTCTTTTCAAAGTCATCCAAGAGTCCAGCCTCACTAAACACTCATTCTCTGGCAAAGACATTTCTGATATGGATGAGTTGGAAGTAGTGAACACATGTTCACTGCAGGACAGTGTGCAAAGCACAGACGTGGCCAAAGTGTTTCTTCAAGACTCGGATGCATTTCTGGATGATGATGTAGAGATTGAAAACTGTGTTGTGGAGATTGAAACCTACGAGGATTTGGATGGCGATCAAGGGGAGGTGTCGAAAAAGCAAACAAGCGAATGTGTGACCTGTAAAGAGGTCAATTCTTCACCTTCTTTGCCCCAAGAAAGTGCAACAGACTCTTCTCAAGAGCTTCCAAAAAAGCAAGCGATGAACCCACAGGCTCGAACGAAAGCACGTCTGGCAGCTTTAGCTGAGGAAAGAGCGGCTGCCGCCAAGAAACCCCCACCGAGACACTTCAACCTCCTGGCTCTCTGTGAGGAAATCGCAGATGACATCGCATCTGATGCTCCAGGAGCTTCAGACAAGACAACGAATGAGCAACAACAGGAGGATCATGAATCTGAAGACGTGAGTGAGTGTACGGAAGTCAGTGAATCAAAAGATGCGAGTGAATCGAAGGAAGTGAATGAATCAAAAGACCTGAGTGAATCTAAAGATGCAAGTGAATCTAAGGATGTGTCTGAAAATAAAGAGGTTTCTGAAACTGAGACGTGTGAACCTGAGGAGGTGGTCTCTGAAAACACGGCTCCTCCTGGAACACCTAATGAAGAGACCGCTGATCCCAGGCCTGAGGACGGTACGCCTAAGAAACGTTTTTTTCTTAGCCAGATGTCTGTGCCTCTCAAAACACAGGAGAAGAAGAAACTCTCCCGCTTTCAGAGGCTCAGGCAGGTGGAGCTTCAGCGGGATAAGCTGACTTGGACACGTGTGAAGAAGCTGAAGTCTGATCAGGTCAATCAGGCTGGCTCTCAAAAGGATAGCGAAGCTTCGTCAGTCTCGCCCAGCCCTGCCACCACCCCTGCCCAGGTTCCTACTACAGAAAGTGTGCCAAAAGTGGGCTCGGTTGAACCCAAACGGGTGCTCCCGGCTCAGGCGCCACCCATGCCTAATGGAATCACCAGCCCGAAACCCAAACCAGTGGTGGAGTATAAACCCTACACTCCCAGACGCAAGTATTCACCGGATGACTTTGAGCTCGACGGTTTTGAAGAGGACACCGCTAAACCAGCAGCACCCAAAAATGTGGTAAAAGACGTATGCAGATACAAACACACTGAAAAAATTTATTGTTTCATTCAACAAGGATGTGTTATCAAATGTAGAGCTGCATAGTATTGCAAAAACTTTTTTTCTACTATTTATATATAAACACAATTTTACAATATGACTTAAGTAGGGTTTCCACTGAGTCTTAATGTCTTAAATCTCAAAATCAAAATTGTAGGCCTTAAAAAGTCTTAAATTTACTGAAACATTGTGTTGTAGGTCTTAACTCTTTTTTTAAATTGGTCTTAAATTTCTGTTGTTAATAAATTGCTACCCAATCTGGCCAAAACCAGTACAATCATCAACATTCCATCTCAATACAACTTGAAACTTTTTATTTGAAAAGGTAATTTTTAACTCAATTTACCGGAATGGTTCATCTATTTTCCTTACAATAACATTTGTTTAAAAGTGCTCCATATATATACTGCTAAGGACAGGGACCTGGACAGATTGTTGTGCATAGATTTAGTTTATTATAGTTTTTAAAACTTTTAAAACATTTGTTCAGTTTTTTATTATTTTAAAGAAAGTTTATGTTGAAAAAAAAGTATGGATACAACTAAAGCTTGCTTGTTTTTACATAATTTTTTTAATATTTTGCCAAGAAATATCTAAAATGTATATATAAATATAATATTGTATTATTAAATGTATTAAAATCTAATTTTTTTTTGATAGGGCAATTAAGAAATCTTTTTCATCAGGGACATTTGAAAAATTCCCTAGCATTTAGCCCTTTGTGAACCTAAAATTGTATTCATAATGGTTTCAAAAATGTCCTAAAAAGTCTTAAATTTAACTTTGTGAAACCTGCAAAAATCCTGTTAAGGCTGCACAATATATTGTTTCTCCAATGATACCGCAATAGTTACATCGCTGGTCTGCAATGTTGAGTCTGAATTATAGTTATCAGCTCCACAATTCAGAACACATCAGATAAATGGTGTCATAAATTTGAACCAGAATGGAGAGCAAGTTTTTCATTTGCAAAAATGCATGTTTTTTAGGCCCGTAACTGAGCATTTCAAGTGTGTTTATAGCATATTATAAACAAGAAATTGTACTGTTTGTTAGGGCTGCAAATGAGAATCGCGATTTGTTTTGCTTAAAATCAAGATCAAGATTCTCTCACGATTCTGTAGATGCAGTAAAGTTTAATATGAGTAGGCTATTATTATTGTAGCATATGGTAAAACAGCAATAATATCAGGGCTATGTGTAGGTTTACTGTTGGGTAAAATGTTACATTTTGTATAGACTTGGAATGGTGGACTTGAACAGACTTCTATTTGTCCCGGGTGCTAATGCACAGGCGGTTCATTCCGCTGTGGCAACCCCAGATTAATAAAAGGACTAAGCTGAAAAGAAAATGTTAATGCACAATAATGTGGTTACATCAGAATACAACTATTCATAATTCTGAAGTTGAATTATTATGTTTAAGACATGTGCTTGTCATTTGTCATTGACAATGTCATTAGATAATTTTTTTACTGGTAAAATAAGACATTTCTCTTTATCAGATTCATGCACGCTCTCTCAGTAGTAAACAAACAGTGCATCAGCTCATGCGCAACCATGAATACATCATTGCATGAAGACAGAAATGACATTTTTGGGTGAATTCTACCTTATCAATACAGTATGTGACACTTTCACCATTTGGAGGTGTCCATGTTGCTGAGCAACGTATATTAAACAATGAGAAGACTTGTGCGACTGCCTTTATGCTACTCCCGAACTTAAAAACATCATTGGCTGAATTACAGAGAGTCTAAATTAAGATCGTGTGTAGGGTATCGTGTGTAGATTGTGATCATTTTTGATTAATCATACAGCCCTACTGTTAGTACATTTAATAGATAGATTGTATTGAATTGTTTTTATAATGAAGTCAATGCAGTAGTTTGCTTTTGATCGAATTCTGTACCTCTGAAGACTCCACAGAAATTTACAAAGTCAATAGTTAATTATTTTTTATGCATGATTCACTCTCCTAAACAAATTCTCCCAATCAATTTAAATTAATGCATTCGTTCCAAATAGACCTATTTAAACCATATGGTGAAATTGTATTCATATCACAATAGATATTGCATAAAAACGAAATATCGCAATGATTTTTCCAATATGACTTGAATAGCTGTATTTATCAAAAATTTTAAGTTTTAAATTTGATTGGGATAATTTTGTTAGTGAGCAAATCTGCCTAAAATGTAATAAACAAATAAGAGGCATTGATAAATACAGTAGAGCAAAGATACAATTGCAGTACAGCTTTATAGTTGTCTGGGGAATGTTCAGGCACAGAAATTGAATAATCAAATGAAGATGCAAAAACCTCTAAATGTCACCTGAGATTTATTAGGTCCCTGTCTGTAGGTTCAATCCTTTTATGCCAAAGTTCTTGTTATTGTCTTTAAAGTGACATAACTGAACATAAACATAGGGTAAAATGCTCATTTTTGACAAATTTCACACAACATTTTGAGTTTTTTTTATTCTGAAGACTTCAATTTCAAATCTTCAATTGTAAAATAACTCTGTTTAGTCTTCATTGTGTAAATAATTATATACAACTAATTTTTAAGCTACAAACATGATATTTTTTTGTGCACAAATGGTTTAATTTAGCTTAAAATATCCACACCTGGGCGAAGCAGTGGCGCAGTAGGTAGTGCTGTCGCCTCACAGCAAGAAGGTCGCTGGTTTGAGCCTCGGCTCAGTTGGCGTTTCTGTGTGGAGTTTGCATGTTCTCCCTGCGTTCACGTGGGTTTCCTCCGGGTGCTCCGGTTTCCCCGACAGTCCAAAGACATGCGGTACAGGTGAATTGGGTAGGCTAAATTGTCCATCGTGTGTGAATGTGTATGTTTCCCAGAGATAGGTTGCAGCTGGAAGGACATCCACTGCGTAAAAACTTGCTGGATGGGTTGCCGGTTCGTTCCGCTGCGGTGACCCTGGATTAATGAGGGACTAAGTCGACGAGAAAATGAATGAATGAATGAATGTTCACACCTTTAAAAATATGCAAATGCAAACTTTGGTTAAATGTTGGTTAAAAAAATGTCTGGTCAACTTCTGTGTATAATGTATTGCAGACCTGCAATGTGTCAATTTTGGATTCTCACATTGCGATATCAATGCTAAAACAATATATTGTGCAGCCCCAATCAATAATAACAGTAACATTATAAAACAACAAGTAAATCCAGTTATTTTGAACCTTTTATTTATCGATGAATGCTGGAAATGCATTCACAAGGCACTTTAAATTGGTATATCTTGGTAGTATTACCCGGTTAGATCTCTTTTTGCCTTCAGGCTGCGGAGGCAGTTTGAGTTTAGTGAACTCATGTCAGGTTTAGTAGATGGGTACACTGTGGTCAGAAACAAAACTGTGGAATTTTAACAATGCTCAGTTGATACCCAAGTGTGTCAAGAAAATATTTTTCACACCATCACACCACAAACCGCAGAACTGCTATTACAAGGCAGGATAGATTCATGCACAGTTCGCTGTTCTCAGCGGACAGAAGTGCAACTGGTGTTTTCTTCCTCTGCTGCTGGAGCTCATCTGCTTTAAGGTCCCAGTATAATTTTCGAGATCCCAGGATACAGTATAGCATTTTTGAGGGCAAAAAGAAGTTTGAAAAGGTTGAGTGATGGTATACTGTTTTTGAACACTTGTCCAACACCCCTGCACTGCAGTAGGCAGAGTTGTGAATACAACAATAGCCATGTTTCCATTCAAACATGCATATTAAATTTATGCGTAAAACTGAAATATCGCATAAAACATTTGGCAAAAAAGCAGCATTTCCATCCAACCAGTCCGAAAGAACAAAATCATCACTTGCTAATAAACTGGCACCAAATATATAAAAAAGAGGAAGTTGCAGCATTAGAAGAAAGCCTTTTTTCTTATATAATCACTTACTTGCATCTTAGAACACATAGACATATCATATCATAGTCATAACCTTTTAGAATCATCTCCACTTACAGTTCTTGGAAGATTTGTACATTCTGCTGATGTTTTCCATCAAAGATGGTTGTCATCTTTTTTTTTGTATTAAAAACTTTTGGACCACATCATCCACCCAATTATACAGTACCTGTCACTTTCTGCTTTTTTTATTATCACATGATCTGTTGAAGGAAAATCGCATGCCTTTTTTATGGGCACACTGGAATTTATTAAGTAAAAGCATTTAGATTATAGTTTTTGCACATCTTTTCTCATCGCATAAAAAGTTTGTCCTACTCCGTTTATGCGCAATTTCAAAATTACTGCACATCTTGGCATTTCCATCCCGGGGTTTTTATGCAATATTTCAAGATGTGCATATAAATAAGTGGATGAAAACAAAGAACAGCATTGTAGCCATTTTGTAAGTGCTTTATTTAGTTTAAATAGGCTAGTACTTGTTAATATTTTTACTTGTCATAAAGAAATAAGTGGGTCAAATGTTTGACCGCTGACTGTGTTGGGAACCAGTTTCATTTGCTATTATTTGTATCTTAATTTTGCTGCATTTTTTGTTGGTCAGTTATTTATAAAACAAAAATGAGGATCTAATAAATGTCCAACAAACAATTTCATATTCTGGCAAACAGCCTCTGTATGCTTTCTATTTTTCATATCATTTTCTATAAATCCCATAGATAACTGTGTGAAAAAAATCTGGGAAACATTGTTTTTTTTGTCACTTAAATATAATTTCTACTTCTCTGTGATTCACTGTTTGACCTTCAGCTAGGGCTGGGCGATATGGCAAAAAATGCCATCTCAATAAATATTTTTTCATATTGAATGATAACGATACATATTTCAATATGAGTTTTTAATGCTTCCAGATTTAAAAGAGTACCCTAACAATGATTGAAGCCACAAAAAAATTAGAAGGTCCATTAAATGGCATAACGTATTTGTGGATGCAAAATTTTCTGTGGGCAAAAAACTTGGTGCATCTATAATTTGAACACACTTTTAGCATTGTTGCACATTTCTTTTTTTTTTTATAAGATTTATTTATTACCTTTTTATGACAGTTACCAAACAAAAGTAAAAAGAGACAATAACAGTACAAAATTGTTGCACATTTCTGTTGTGTGTTTGGCTCTTAGATCATTATAGAGTAAAAAAGTCAAGAGCTAGTCATTGTTATTGACATACATTTTATTGTGATTTGATATAATATAGTTTTATCGGGCCAGCCCTACCTGCAGCAGATCATCATGATCATTACAGGTTTAAATGCATTTAATTTGCATCGCATTGAAGCACCTGAACAGGTTGTAGATGCACCATGTTGTGGTAAAGTAACCACTTGTGACTAATTGTGTAAAACGTGTTATTATCACAGGGTAAAGCAGAACAGTCCCCATCATCAGCTAAAGTGCAGCCCAATCCAGCAGTGGAGAGAAAGCTGTGTGTTCCCACTACCGCAGGTAAAGATTGTGCTGACTTGTTTGTTTGGAAACACTTTAATTTAAGGTGACGTAATTACATTCCAAGCACTTACTATAGTAATTACAATGAATCATGTAACTTATCCTAAATCTAATCCCAACTCTATAGTAATCACATTTAATGAGTTTATTAATATTTCTCAGTAGTTAAATGTATAGTTACACTGTAACTACATAAGCTTAAAATATTAAGTGAAAGTAAAATAAATAATAAGCGTAACTTCCTTTTTGAGTAGAGCACAAAATTTCATTATGTGTACTACTACAGAATGTGTTTTATTATTTGTAAACATTTTATTAGTATTGTTTTATTGTTAGTTTAATTCTTTGTGATGCATGTGTTCACAGATAGTAAGTCGAAATCCTCTCCTCAGCAAGAAACTGCCCAACAAACACAACTGGAAAACAGCAACAGGTAATTGAAAAGGTTTAAATGAAATATTTCTTATATTATTTTAATAGTAATAGTTTAGCTCCAACTTGCCTCAACACACCTACCAGGAAGTTTCTAGTATACCTAGATGAGCTTGGTTAACTGATTCAGGTGTGTTTAATTGGGATTGAAGCTAAAATCTGCTGGACACCGTCCTTCCAGGATCAAATTTGGGCATCCAATAGCCAATATTTTAATTGTATTTAATTTGGAAATGATTATACATTTTTGAAAGTTTTTTTTTTTCCAGCAGCCCAAAATGTTGTGCAATTATCTTAGCAATCAAATGAATATCAATAGAAGCATGTCTGTTAACATTCTTTCTATTATTCTACAAAAACTGAAGTCCAGAATGTCAGATCTGTTAAACATCTGTGGTGTTTTGTTGTCATCTCATGTGAAGTTCTAGTGTTGAACCAGAACAGAAGAAAGAGGACAAAAACAGTCCCAAACCTGAAAGTCCAGCAGCACAGTCCAGCAATGTAAGTCAGTTAAATGATGCTAGGCAAATATTAATCGCCATTAATCACATACAAAATAAAAGTTGTTTTGACATTAGTTATATATGTCTAATGTATTATGTCTATGTAATATACACACACATGAAAACAAAACAATACAAATTTTTTTTGCATAAATATTTAAATTGATTTATCATTTGTATCATATTCACATGTATTTTAAATCTAAATATAAATAAACGTTTTCTTAAATAAATGCGTGCATGTGTCTATTTATATATACATATAAACACGCACACACATATAATGTGGGCACAAACTTTTATTTTGGATGTGATTAATTGCTTATAATCTGTCCAGTACAAAAAAACAAAATGTATAATTGTTTTTTCTTATAATGTAGCCTATAGACCAATTTTTCTCAACTGGTGGTTCGCGACCCCAAGGTGGGTCGCGGGAACATTTTCAGTGGGTCGTGGAGTGTGTGTTTAAAAAACAACAACAAAAGTTTACATTTTCACCGGACTTTTATTTTGAAATGCGTGCGCAACAACCCTACCGTTTGACATGTGAAATTTCATTTAATTATTGCAACAAATATGTCAAGCGCAAGTATGACCCCGAATATGTAAAGTATGGATATATATATATATTGAAGACAAAAAAGACTTAAAGCCTCTGTGTCATATGTAGTGAGGTGCTCTCATAAGAGAGCATGAAACCTTCTAAATTAAAACAACATTTAGAAACCAGAAAACATATTTTATTAACAGTTTGATATTAACAGTATTTGTCGTTTTTACTTTGTAATATTTCTATAATTTGATCCATTTTGTTAAATGACAACAATAAAATAGTGTTTATTTGGAAGTCTTGGTGAATTTCTTATGATGTATCTGTCACTACTTGTTTATGTTAAAAATAAATACAAATAAAGTATAATTGCTAAAATTGTATTATAGTTCCTAAAAATTTGGGTCGCGGCTTGATGACCATGTAAAAATGTGGGTCCCATGGCCAAACCAGTTGAGAACCCCTGTTATAGACTGTTTGTTATTGTATATTGTATTACACAAGAGCTCTGGTGTTTGATGGCATTTTGTTTAACTCTTCCTGTGCTTTGCAGGAAGCGGGTCAGAAGGCGTTTGGTGCGGTCACTTGTAACGTGTGTGGGATGCTTTACTCTCCTACCAGCGCCGAAGACGAATCCCAACACCTCCTCTTCCACAACCAGTTCATCAGCGCCGTCAGATACGTGGTGAGTCGGGAGACAAACTATTGCGTCTGTCTGTTATTATGCGATTCAGATTTATTTACTATGTCATGTAGATGCTGTTTCGACAAGATTGTTAAAAGATTGTCTTGAATTGCCCCAGACCACACACCAGCTGATTGGTGGAGAGGAGACAGAGTGATGAAGCCAATTATGATATGGGGATGGTTAGGAGGCCATGAAAGACAGGCCAGTGGACAAATTTGGCCAGGATGTCCTTCGAAAAAGAGTAGGGGGTTAGGGTTAGGGTTATTTTTTAACAACCACAGAGAGTTGGGACCTCTATTTAACGTCTCATCCGAAAGGACCGTGCTCACTGAGAAGTACATGACTCGTTTCAACTGACTGGTACAGTATGGTACGGTTTGGGTCGGTACGGGTCACCTTTATCAGGCTTGTGTTTACATTAACAAGGGTATCCCTTTTGGTGGGCGTGGTGCATGACAAAAAGTTTTAGTCAACATCATTTTCGCTCAAGAAAATGTCTACAGTAAAGCTGTACAGGTCCTTGCATATCATATGAAAGGCACTTCTCACAAAACAGACGCTTTATACACATAAAAACTTCTGTATAAATGTTTATTAGTAACTTTTCTATGAACAGGATTTGATTGTAACTGCAGATCAATGAGAGAGCGAAAAAGCCTATTGTAATGTCTGTAATTATATTAAATAAATAAATAAATGAACATATATGAACACATACAGCTCCTTACAGTCTCCGATATGTTACCAACTAAAGAACTACACACAGCAGACATTTAGTTCTTATTTAGGTTCAAAAACAACACAAAATAAAGCCTACAGTCAGCGCAAACCTCTCATCTGTGTCTGTAATCGTCAGCAGCACGTGTATCCTCTGTTAGTAATTCCGTCATTCAGGGGTCTGATCTTCGTACGTGGATTACCAGTTAGCTGGATTTGGATATTTACGTTTATAGTTTCGTTCTTCAAAGCTGATCCGAGAGTTGTTGTCATTGCAACAGCTCTGCTAGGTCAAACCTGGTCAGGAGCAGGTTCAATTCATATAAACAGGATTAGATCGCCTCAGTTCAAGCAAAGATAATACAGAAAGTATGTTCCGAATTCTGATATTTTCTTACAGTAGTAGTTATATACACTTGGGAAAATGGTAAATATTTTTTAACTATATATATAAAGTTATAGTTATTAATAAAATAAATAAAGTTATACATATTAATAAAACTTATGCAATCTGCACCCTCGAAATGAAAGTACAAAGACTGCCACCTGGTGGTGCAAAGAGAAAACTTATTGATATGAACTTTTTAGACCGCTTTAGTACAAATTGTGTATAATTAAAAATTTAAATAAAAAAGGCTACTATAATAAAGAAAATCTTTTCTGAATGTAGAACTAAATACACTGATATGCATTGAAATACATGATGAATACACTTGACACATGAAAGAGTAAAGCCTGCCGCTCACAACAAATGTGGAAGGTTATTGCGTGTCATATTTAACAAACTGTTTACTGCTCATTTGATGTAATTTTGCTCACATGGATAATTGAATATTAATCAGATGATGTCATTACGCTGCTGTGCCGTCAGCCAATCGTTGCATTGCTGATCATGATCTCGAGGATCGATAGATCTGTCCTTCACAACACACGCAGCGATCTCAGATCAGTTCATCCAGACATTCTATTCTGATTCGCGAACTTGTTTGAAGAACCAAATTAGCGAGAGATCAGTTATCAAGATTAACAGATCCAGGATCTGCCAAATCATCTTAGATCATTCAAACGAGGTACGAAGAACAGACCCCTGAGCTCATAATAGTCCAAATGTGATGATAATAGTTAAACACGGCAGTTTGTTCACGTTTGCTGAAAAAATGTGCCCCTTTTTTCCGGCTTCTCCTTTTTTTTCACGCTTCACTCTCACGTTTGTCAGTTTCTGACAGGATCAGGTTTGAAAAGCAAGTCAATAATCAAGCACACGTTATTATCATGAGCTCAAGAAGTTTGTTATTTCAAATATAGACGCACGTCAATATGAGTGCAAGCAAGAAAGCAAAACCGCTCTCGCTTCAGACTGGCTCGTAAAAAAACTAAGGGGCACAACTAATTCTGCTCTTCTTCTTGGCATTGTGGCTGTTCATCAAGACGACGACAAGGTTTGTTTGAGCCCGGGTCAACCATGGCTCGTTATTATATGTATATATATTTACGATGTAAAAGATCTCTTGGCTGTGTATTTTAAACATGGCAGCTCTTTTGTTTTCATTCTGGCTTGTTGTGTAAGCGAATTACATATATCTGTAAACCAATTGCGTTCAGCTGCGCGTCTAGCTCCGCCTTTTGGTACCGTTTCCCGTGTTTGGTACCCTTTCGAAAGTGTGCCGAAAAAAGTGGTACGGTATGGTTCGGTACGGCTTTTAACAGTAGAAACTGCCATAAAAGCGTACCAAACCCACACTGACTGCAGGTTGAATGCCCCCTGCTGGTCTCACTGACACCACTTCGGCAGCAACCTAGCTGTCCCATGTGGTCTCCCATCGAGGTACTAACCGGGTGCAGCTCTGCTCAGCTTCAGTGGGTGACCCTGGTTGAGTTGCAGAGAGGTAGTTACCAGCAAAATATTTGAAAATATAACAACTTATTTAGTTGATTTGTTCTTTCAAGCGGCAATATTTTAATACATAAGATTCAGGCACTTATTTTATTAACATCTTAGCTGTCATTTAATGTAAAAAGTTTACAGTGTAAGAAACTGCAAATGAGTTTGTTTGTTTTCTGAAAACTCGCATGATCTGCTTTGCGATATATCCTTTAAGGTCACTGTATTTTTATTTATATTAATTGATATAATAAATGATTCTCTTCTTAGCATAGGATGTTGCGCATGGATCATATTTTTAAGATGGGGCTATTGGAATCTTAAACTAAACCACATACCCATGTCTCAAAATCTATTGTAATATCTGGTGCAGGGCTGGAAAAAAGAGAGGATCCTGGGAGAATATCCTGATGGCAAGATTATTCTTGTTCTCCCTGATGATCCGAAGTATGCATTGAAAAAGGTACGGGTTTCTTCCTCGTGCACATCTGATGTGGCTGTATTGCATGTTTTGCTAACACTTATATTTTAATTGTTTCTAATATTTGACTTGTTTGACTTAAGGTTGAGGAGATCAGAGAAATGGTGGATAATGATTTGGGCTTCCAGCAAGTCGAGAGCAAAGTCCCGTCACAGACCAAAACCTTCCTCTTCATTTCAAACGATAAGAAAGTTGCAGGCTGCCTTATAGCAGAGCACATACAAGAGGTCAGCTGATCAGTGTACTAGCATTCCTATTGGTGTAAACTTACAAATGTGTTTAAAAAATGTTATCATTGTGTTTCAACTGTTCTACAAAGTTCTGTCTGGAAACTCTATGCTTGCGTAGGCTGACAAGTCACCTAATCTGCTCCTAGGTCATGAACTAAATAGCGCAGGAGATTAGTTGCTGTCTGTGCATGTCTGTGAATATACTTGCAGTAGCAGGTCTCAATAATTGCTCTGCCATAAATATTATAGGAGCAGCAGCAGCATAGCAGATTTATTCCACCAAGACCAAACACATATGTATGTATATATATATATATATATATATATATATATATATATATATATATATATATATATATATATATATATATATACACACAACAGTTCTGTCTGGTTCTTGAATCTGATTGGCTGATAGCCGTGATATATTTAAGTAATATCAGCACCCGTACAGCCTCTTTACCCTTTGTGTATTACTCCGCCCACATACAACCAGCAAAAAGCAGACACTACAGATCTAGTTTAAAAGATGCTTGCTCAGCTGTTTAACTGTCAGCCTATGATTTGAATCCAACGCAGAAGAAAGTAGTTCCTCATACAAAAGGGTTTTTGAGACTCCATGTTTGATTTTGTTTTTATATACACAATTATGCCGTCAAACTGTTGTATAAACGCAATATCACACTCGTAGCAGTGCGGTATGGCTGTATGTCAGCACTGGTAGCGGCACTAAGCACGCCTCCCACCAGTGCCGATATACAGCCATATCGCACTGCTTCTCGTGTGATATTACTCATATATATATATATATATATATATATATATATATATATATGTGTGTGTGTGTGTGTGTGTGTATGTATGTATGTATGTATGTACACACATACTAAATCTCTTAGAGAGTTGACATGACAGAAATTAATAAACAACTTGTGCAGAATCCCAAATATTCTTTGTTAGCACAGGTGGGACATTTACCAGTACATTTTTTTATATTTTTTTTCGTCTAAACTTGAACTTATCTTGACAAAATCTATTCATCATATGCATATATCAAGTGTGAAGTTCAATGACAGTTAAGGTTTTAAAGCTCCATTCACACCAAGAATGACAATGTTTAATATTTAAAACTATATTAATAAGCTTTGATTTTTTTTAACATGATCCTGTGTTTTATATAAGCTATAGTTCAAGCCTAATTTGTAGGAAATTTGTTAAAAAATAAGTAGTTGTTATGAATAGTTATCAAATTAAGTGTACACCTGAATATATTGAATTGCATGCGTGTGTTTCATTACACTGTTCATCAATTAATTATAGAATTTCTAGAGAATTTAACTTACTTGACTATGTTACCTCTTGCATTTTGTTGTTTATTAATTTTTAGAAAGAATAAATAGTTAGAATAAATTTTAAAAAACACAAATTTTTCAGTGAGTTTGTAAACTAACTGAAGTCATTGTGAATTGCTTTTTTGTTGTGTGATATTTCTTGAAGTCTACTGTAGATCGGACGGCCTTGTTTTGTGTGCTGTGTGCAGGGCTACAGGGTTATTGAGGAGTCCGTGCTGGAGGGTTCAGAAGGAGAGAAGGTGATGTATGAGCGTCAGAGGGCCTGGTGCTGCTCTACTGTTCCCGAACCTGCGCTCTGTGGCATCAGCCGCATTTGGGTGTTCAGCATGATGAGACGGAGGGGCATCGCCTCACGCATGATTGAGTGCCTCAGGTAATCTATAGGATGATATGAATGACTAAAAGCCCAGTTAAGACTAAAGTATACTTTTATCAGTCATTCTAGTGTGCATTTGCCGTGTGGTAATATATGCTTAAAAATTAAGTGTAGTTGAAGTTATTTGCCCTCCTGTGAATTTCTTTTTCAAATATTTCTCAAATGATGTTTTAACAGAACAAGAAATTTTTCACATCACTTCCTATAACATTTGTTCTTCTGGAGAAAGTCTCATTTGTTTTATTTAGGCTAGAATAAAAGCACATTTTTTCACAATTATTAGCACCTTTAAGCTATATTTTTTTCTGATAGTTTCAAACTATCATTATACAATGACTTGCCTAATTAACCTAACTTTAAACTAATTAACCTAGTTAAGCATTTATCTTGAAAAATATCTAGTCAAATATTTTAAATATTTAAAAAAAAAGTTTAGTTGTGGTTATGCGTCGACGCATGTACTCCAGTGCTTATGGCGACCCAAGTTCGATTCCTACCTCGAGGTCCTGTGTCGATCTTTCCTGTCAATAATCTTTACTGTCCTTTACATTAAAGGTGAAAACCTAATAATACATTTTTTTTTTAATATTATGTTTACAAATGTGTTAAAAATGTCTTTCAGCTTATTTCATTTTATTGTTTTTTTTATTTTGTTTTTTATTGCAGTTTCCAAATTTACATACAAATGTGCATACCAACAATTAAATTTACCTATTATAATGCATTTTTCCGTTTAAAACTGTAGATGTTGCACATTTAAATACATATTTATGTAAAAAGTAATGCTTTACCATGTTTATGATAATTCATTAATACACACACACACACACGCACACAAACAGTTGAAGTCAGAATTATTAGCCCCCCTGTTTATTTTTTTCCCCAATTTTTGTTTAACGGAGAAAAGATTTTTCACCACGTTTCTAACCATAATAGTTTTAATAACTCATCTCTAATAACTGATTTATTTTATCTTTGCCATGATGACAGTGAATAATATTTGGCTCGATATTTTTCAAGACACTTCTATAAAGCTTAAAGTGACATTTAAAGGCTTGACTAGGTTAATTAGGTTAACTAGGCAGGTTAGGGTAATTAGGCAAGTTCTTGTATAACGATGCCTTGTTCTGTAGACTATCAAAAAAAAAATGCTTAAAGGGGCTAATAATATAGTTCTTAAAATGGTGTTTAAAAATTTAATAACTGCTTTTATTCTAGCTGTAATAAAACAAATAAGACTTTCTCCTGAATAAAAAATATTATCAGAAATACTGTGAAAATGTCATTGCTCTGTTAAACATCATTTGGGAAATATTTAAAAAAGAAAAAACAATTCAAGGAGGGGCTAATAATTCTGACTACACACCAACTTTGTGTGTGTGTATATATAAATAATATATATACAGTGAGAGTAAAAAGTATTTGATCCCTTGCTGCTTTTGTTGGTTTGCCCACTAATAAAGACTTGATCATTCTGTACTTTTAATGGTAGATGTATTCTAACATGGAGAGAAAATCCAGAAAATAACTTTAAAGAATATATATTAATTGATTTGTATTTCATTGAGGGAAATAAGTATTTGATCCCCTAGTATGCATTAGGACAGGGCTCATCAAACATGTTCCTGGAGGGCCGGTGTCCTGCAGATTTTAGCTCCAATCCTAATCAAACACACCTGAACAAGCTAATCAACGTCTTACTAGGTATACTTGAAACACTCAGGCAGGTGTGTTAAAGCAAGTTAGAGCTAAACACTGCAGGGACACCAGCCCTCCAGGACCAGGATTAGTGACCCCTGCATTAGGAGTTCTGGCTTTCACAGACCAGTTAGACCAGGGGTCACCAATCTCGGTCCAGGAGGGCCGGTGTCCCTGCAGGGTTTAGCTCCAACTTGCCTCAACACGCCTGCCTGGATGTTTCAAGTATACCTAGTAAGACCTTAATTAGCTTGTTCAGGTGTGTTTGATTAGGGTTGGAGCTAAAATGTGCAGGACACCGGCCCTCCAGGAACAAGTTTTGTGACCACTGAGTTAGACACTCCCAATCAACTTGTTACCTGAATTGAAGACACCTGTTCTAACTAATCACCTGTGTGAAAGATACCTGTTCACAGAATCAGACAGATTCCAAACTCTCCAACATGGGTAAGACCAAAGAACTCTCTCAGGACCTCAGAGACAGGAAATAATTTTCATTAGAGAAATAATTTATTTTATTTCAATAACAGTTTTACCGACTCCAAGCACTTTATAGTGTATAAGTGTTGTTGTTTTTTTGTTACCCTTATAGCTTAATGTTTACTCTTTTTTTTTTTTTTTTTTCTCCAGGAACAATTTCATCTATGGGTCACATCTAAGTAAAGATGAAATCGCCTTCTCTGACCCCACACCAGACGGCAAACTCTTTGCAACACATTACTGTGGAACCTCTCAGTTTTTGGTCTACAACTTTGTCAGCGGCAAACGCTCAACCTGACAGGATGAGGACAACAGAACAGAGCTGAGTTTTATAATGTTAACATTTGAGAAGAGAAATGGACTAACAAGACCTTATTTCACTCAACCAAACAATGCAAACATGATGCGAGAGAACACAAAAGAGAGAAACAGACACAGAACAACGGCTCTTTTTGTTAAGAGTATTCGTTTTTACAAAAATTGGCCTAGCTTCCTTACAGGATGCAAAGTTGGACACTTTCACGGCCAGTTTTTTAATGATTCATTATAACTGATGCATCCCTCGGAGAAAGACATCTGAAATGTTCTCTCAGGTTTAGGTTGCAGCCTATTTTAGGACTCACCGTTTAGTGGAAGCCATGTAGTCCAGTGCACAATTGCAGAATCGGTGTAAGTATTTCTTTCTAGAACACACAGGAAGAGCTTTTTTCTACTGTAAGCAATGCCTCGGTCGTGAGGCGACGACTTTTGAATCTCAGGTTGAAAAAAACATCATGAATTTGCCATCAAAATCTCCCTTTAACCCCCGCATCACGTCAGCTATTTTCAAAGAGAGCGTATTTTCCTGAATCGCTGTGTTGCCTGTGCATTTTGCAGAGGTTTACATGCATGACATTGACTTTGTTGGATGGCGAGTGATTTCGAAGAAGTCGCTGGTATTTGCACAACTCTGCCCGAATGAATCTGATTCATTTGTTTCTAAGACGCATTAAGTGTGATGATTTGAAACGATTGCCCGGTCATAGTATTCCATTTACGTTTTAATATCTTTTAGATTGATTTTATGTATGTATGTATGTATTTTGATTGAATTATATTAATTTACACATGAAAGTGACTACAAATGGATCTTTAAGAGGTCATGAAACTCCCCTCTTTCAGCTCAAGTCTATCTCAGAATTAAAGAAGAAATGCTCCATGATACACTATGAACAATTTAGCTTGCCCAATTCAACTATAACACATGCGTTTGGACTGTGGAGGAAACCCACACCAACACAGGGAGAACATGCAAACTCCACACAGAAATGCCAACTGGTCCAGCCGGGACTTAAACCAGTGGCCTTATTGCTGTGAGGCGACAGTGCTAACCACTGAGCCACCGAGCTGCCATTTGTAGGGTATACATGTATATGTAAGCTAAGTTGTATTAAAGAAAAAAATAAGGCAAACACAAGCCAAAGTTTAAATGAGCTTTTTATTTTAAAAGTTTAATTTCTTAAATGTACTTGCAGTTGATGGCAAAATTATTCGGCCACCTTTGAAATTTTAATTATTTGTCAAATATTTACCAAATGATGTTTAACAGAAAGATTTCTTTTGTCTTTGGTATGATGATGTTAAATAATATTTACTAGTTATTTCTCAAGATATTATTCAGCTTAAAGTGCTATTTAGAGGCTTAACTAGGTTAATCAGGCAAGCTAGGATAATTAGACAATACTCAAGTAGGCTGTGGCGTTGACATGATGCTCAATTGGTGCTAAAAGGCCCAAAGTGTGCTAGGAAAATATCCCCCACACCATTACACCACCACCACCAGCTTTAACCATTGATACAAGGCAGGATGAATCCATGCTTTCACGTTGTTGATGCCAAATTCTGACCCTAACATCCGAACGTCGCTGCAGAAATGGAGACTCATCAAACCAGGCAACATTTCTCCAATCTTCTATTGTGCAGTTTTGGTGAGTCTGTGTGAATTGTAGCCTCAGTTTCCTGTTCTTAGCTGCAGGAGTGGCACCTGGTGTGGTCTTCTGCTGCTGTAGCCCATCTGCCTCAAGGTTAGACGTGTTGTGTGTTCAGAGATGCTCTTCTGCAGACCTCGGTTGTAACGAGAGGTAATTTGAGTTAATATTGCCTTTTATCAGCTGGAGCCAGTCTGGCTGACCTCTGGCATCAATAAGGCATTTGTGCCCACAGAACTGCCGCTCACTGGATATTTCTATTCTTTGTAAACCCTGGAGATGGTTGTGCGTGAAAATCCCAGTAGATCAGCAGTTTCTGAAATACTCAGACCAGACCGTCTGGCACCAACAACCATACCACATTTAAAGTCACTTAAATCAAGAAGAAATTTTTAGACAAGCAAAGCATAATGTCTTGTTTTCAGAAATAATATGACAAAATTAAATAAGTTTTTCCTTAAAAAGGGCAAAATAAATCTTTTGTTAAAAGAAAAACGAGATTATTTTGCTTGTTTTAAGGAAAAAACTCACTTAATATTGGCATATTATTTCTGAAAACAAAAATTTGTTCATATGAGAATCTTTAGATATTTTGTCTTGTTTCTAGTCCAAGTAAGAAAAGCATTTTTTTTTTTTTGCAGTAAAGGTATTTTTGGTTTTCTAAATCTTAGTTAATTATGTACATGTAATTGATGGCAAAATTATTCGCCCTCCTTTGAAGTTTTAATTATTTTTCAAATATTTCTCAAATTACGTTTAACAGAAAGATTTTTTTTTTTGTCTTTGATAGGATGATGTTAAATATTATTTAGTAGTTATTTCTCAAGATATTATTCAGCTTAAAGTGCTATTTAAAGGCTTAACTATGTTATTTAGGCACGCTAGGATAATTAAGCAAATTGAAAAAAGAAATATTTAATCTTATTTTAAATATTTTAATATTTAATATTTAAATAATTAATAAAAAAAGGCTTTCATTACAGTCAAACTTAAAGAAATAAGACTTTCTCCAGAAGAAGACAAACTATTATAGGAACTACAATGAAATATCATTGTTTCTCTGTTAAACAGAAATATCAACAATTTTGATTTTAATTGAACAGGTTTCATCTTTGCCATGATATCTTGTCTGTCTGAAGAGTTCGCTATTGTCATGACTTTTACGGAGACATGAACTTTTATCATGAATTAATCAACTTCCGGTGGGCGTTAAAGGGTAAAACATGTCTGCCTGCACGTTGCTGTGAACATGTGAACCGTATTTTGCGTTCAGCAGACCGTAGTTTTTTATGACTTATTATAATCATCAGGTATAACCGATTCATGAACAGTTCATATTAATGAATGACAGCGCGTCATCGGTAACTGTATGAGCGAGTGTTTTACAGTCATGGGGGATCATATCGAGTTAGTCGCTGGCTGCTATGAGCAGATAGTGTTTGGATATCGAGTGTGCCCTGCTGATGAGGTATTTATACTTTTCTAAACTTTTTTTAGTAGTTCATATATAGAATAATCTTAATATTTAGGCTTCTCTGTATTCGTGTCTTGTACTTTGGCGTTTTTTTAAGTTCTGAGACGCCAAATAGGGGTAATGTTGGTTTTATATTCGCACATTCAGACTTCCACCTTCTTAATATAAGTTAAGATATCATTATGTGCAAATTATACATAGGCAAATCATATTAGCATCCAATAATAACTATCATGTTATTTTTATTTAATTATTTTTTATTTATTTATTAACAATTCTTGAACAATAACAGAAAGGCATCAATACCTTTTAGAATTGCACAAAAAACTGAGATAACAATCAGATTACATACATTCACAATCTTTCTTTCCTCGTTAATAATACAACATAAATAAAATAACAAAAATTAGCAAAAAAAAAATGCTAAAGAAACTTAAGTAGCAGGGAAGTTAAAGTTCTCAAAATATGAAACCAAAATCGTCTAATGAATATAAATGTCTTGCTTTTTGGCTTTTTTATTTCTCATAATGTCTTTAAATACATCACAAAATCTTCTTTAAACACTACTAGTTTTGGGGGAATTAAAAAAAATACATTTATTAATATTACATTTTAATAACAACGTCAAATTATTCGTTATAAATGACTATCAAAGTACAGCATTATTCACAGTGAGGTAAGTAGTGCTAATGTTATTTTGGAGTCAAACATGAGATTTCAGACCAAATATTAAAAGTGTAGTTGATATATAGGTATCAGTATCATGTTGTGCTTAAAACTTCTTTATTCTCGTTTTATTGCTTTATCAGCAGCATTAACTACATTTCTGGCAAAATCTATACTATATAGCATGCAATTATATTGGTTTCTTAATAAACATTCATTGTACAAATTTAAAAACACAAATAACAACAACACTGAACAGAGTCACATACAATATTTTACTTTATTCATTTTTCTTTGGCTTAGTCCCTAATTCATCAGGGATCCAGCATATGTCCAGCGGATGTCTTTCCAGCTTCAACCTAGTTCTGGGAAGCACTCATTCACACTCGTACACTACAGCCAATTTAGTTGCTTCAATTCACCTACAGCGCATGTGTTTGGACTGTGGGGGAAACCCACGTCATCACGGGGAGAACATGCAAACTCCACACAGAAAGGCCAACTGACCCAGCCGGGACTCGAACCAGCAGCCTTCATGCTGTGAGGCGACAGACAGAGCTGATTATTTAGCCACCATGTCATCTTATTTTACATTGATTAACGATAAACATTCAAACGTTTCTATCGAAGACCCCTTTTTAAACACTTCCCTTAAATGAAAATGTTCTCTCATATCATTTTATAATACACATTATATTAAAATGTGTTTTACTGTCAAAATATTTGTTCGCAAGTAACAAATGTTGTGCTCATGACAGTACTCTAATATAATAAAACAATATTAGCCTTTTAAATTTCTACTTCACTGATATATTCAACGCCAAAGTTCAAATGTGTGAATTTCAAACCAACTTTACCTTAATAAGCTTTAGGATATACAGTTGAAGTCAGAATTATTTGCCCCCCTTTGACTTTTCTTCTTCTTTTTTTTACATATTTCCCAAATTATGATAAACAGAGCAAGTAAATTTTCACAGTATGTCTGATAATATTTTTTCTTCTGGAAAAAGTCTAATTTGTTTTATTTCGGCAAGAAATACAAGCAGTTTTTAATTTTTTTAACACCATTTTAAGGTCAAAATTATTAGCCCCTTTAAGCTATATTTTTTTCCAGTAGTCTACAGAGCAAACCACTAATATACAATAACTTGCGTAATTACCCTAACCTGCCTAGTTAACCTAATTAACCTAGTTAAGCCTTTAGATGTCACTTTAAGCTGTATAGAAGTGTCTTGAAAAATATCTAGTCAAATATTATTTACTGTCATCATGGCAAAGATAAAATAAATCAGTTATTAGAAATGAGTTATTAAAACGATTATGTTTAGAAATGTGTTGAACAAATATCTCCGTTAAACAGAAATTGGGGAAAAAAAATAAAGAGGGGGCTAATATTTCTGACTTCAACTGTACATTAACATTTAGCAACTTTTTTCCAAAGTGACTTAAAATAGAGGTGGCATTCAGTGATTCAACAAGAAGAGGCAAGTTATGCAACAAGTGCTGATTTTACAAATTAACTCGTTGTGATTAAAGAATTAAGGGCTGAAGTAAACAGTGGGTAGTGTTTTTCTTTTATTTATGAGATCGAAGGGTTTCTACAGGTGGTTTGTCAAACCCACTCACCTGTGTGAGGCACACTTCGTAAATGCACGCTTCATAAATGCTTTTTTTATTAAAATAGAGTGCCTCACAATATTTGCTTTTTGTTGTTTGATATTTTTGCAGAAAAATATATTGTGATGAATGATATTATTGTCAATTTAAGACCACTTTATGCCACTCATTATACAGTATAAAGCCAGAATGGCAATTTAATATCATCACAATCCAAGTACGCTCTTCAAGCCGTTCAGGGCTTTGTAGGTAGTCAATAAAATTTTTAAATCTGTACGATATTTAATAGGGAGCCAATGCAAGGATGAAAGAACTGGAGTAATATTATCAATATATTGATTATTGTGACAGGCTTATGGAGTGATTGTAAGAAAATCTCTTGTGCCAATATACAAAACTGGTGCAAGTGAAAGATTGTTTTCTACAGGTGGTTTATCAAGCCCACTCACCTGTGCGAGGCACAGTTGTGCAGTTTTTTTGTCAGAGGTGTAGAAGCTGTTATTATGGGGGTTTACTCCAATGCTGTTATTAAGGGTTTTTATGTGTATTTTAGGAGTGGACAATTGAGCCCACCTTCACCCATCATGCACACACAGCATCACTGAACGCAGTCTCATCCAGTAATCAGTTCATCGCCACTGGAAGCAAAGATGAAACCATTCAGCTCTATGATATGTGCAAGAAAACTGAGCATGGGGCTTTGCTGCACCATGATGGTGAGGAGATTTTATGTAAATTATGGTGAAAAAAAAAATCTAATTTGGTTTCCATTTGTGGTCTGCATCGACATTTATACTACTTTATTTAATTTATATTTGTTTCAACTTTCTCGGCAGGTACCATCTCTTGTCTGGAGTTCTATGGGACGTCCCATTTGCTCAGCGGAGGACAAGATGGTCTTATCTGTGTGTGGAGCACCAAAAAATGGGAATGTTTGAAAACCATCCGAGCTCACAAGTAAATAATTTAAATACAAAGCCATATACAGTTATTCAAATGTTGGGTTTTTATTTACGCATTTATAGTTGTTGTTATGATTAAAGAAAAATTAGAGGAAATTAAAGGGATCGTTTACCCACAATTAAAAAAATTGCTTACAAATGACTCCTTAAGTGGTTTAAGAGTTGTTTTTTCTTCTGACGTTTTGAAGAATGCTAGTAACCATTGACATCCATAAGAAAAGCACAGGTTTGAAATATATTTGCAGTGGTAGCCGGATTGAAACACCTTTAACCCACAGCACATACATATAGTTAACTATATGCAACAAACTAAACATAATTAAAATTTTAACACTTTTTGTTTTATACTATCTGTTTTAAAATTTTTCTTTCCAGTGAGTTAAAGGGCACCTAGGTTACCCCTTTTTTCAGATTTAATATAAGTGTTTTGCGTCTCCAGAATGTGTCTGTAAAGTTTCAGCTCAAAACACCCATCAGATTTTACATTATACCTTTTACAAGATTCTATTTTATACATTTTTGCACCAGGGGGCTGTATTGTCGTACTGCGCCTTTAAGGCGAGTCCTCCCTGCCTACCGTTTCTACAGGCCTTAAGGCTGATTTAAGGCTTATGCTACGGCGCTGACGCATAGCCCTTCGCCGTGGCCGTCGGCGTCGCTGACGTGCACCTCTCAAAAAATGTAACTGCACGTCGCAACGACGCGTAATGCAAGCTCTGTGATTGGTCGGCTTGGGAGCGGTGACGAGTCTGGGTGGGACCGAGAGCCGTGTGAATGGTGCGAGCCCGATGGAGCGATTGTTTACAAGTGTGGAGTCCCGTGAAGGAGCTCCGGATGGAAAGTTTTATTCTGTGTTTACCTCATAGTTAAAGTTGTTTTACGTCCGCCAGTTCCTGCCTCAAAATGAGCGAGTTTGAGCCACTTGTACATCCCGGAAGTGTTCAGGAAAACAAAACAGCAGCGAAGAAACTCGACACAGAGGAACATTTACACCTCACTGACAACTAGCGTTTCTGAAGTGTTAATGCAGACCAACAGAGACAGCGCGCAGAAGTATAAATGCACAGCCACGCGCGTTGCATGCGCTGTGGGTTACGCCGGTCACTTGACGCAGAAGTATAAACCAGGCTTTAATCTCCTCCCTCGGCTGCGTCAAACTACAGACAGACTTAAAAGAAGCAGATCTCATGTAGCGTTTGTGACAAATACTGCAGTGAGAACTTTACCAATGAGTATTTGTTGTGCAGTTGCATCGATGAGTCACACACAATGTCATTACAAAGTTCACGCGCGCACACAAACAGATACACACACAGAGACAGACAGAGCGCGCGTTTAGCTTTGCGCTGTTTTTTCACGCATATGTGACAGGATAGAGGTTACTCTCCACTGCTGTATGGACATCTGTTATTTTAATGTACAAAATAAACCTGATTTAACGTCCACAAACCGGGATTGAAGCGTCTTTTATAATTGTTTTGAAATGTGTCTGTGCTGACGAAGTAAAGATGAAGTAAATCGCTGTACTTCATTACACACATGCACTGTTTTAAAACAGTTTAAACATGTGAAACTCACTCATGATCACATTTGATGATGATCCTAGCGAACTGAACAGATCTTTCATTCCCGGTTGCTTTGCGCACGTCTGGTCTTGTTGATATGATTATACACGTGACTACCGGGACATGTCAATGCGCGCAGCTGTCAATCAATTCAGTGGGTGTGGGGGACCGCACTCCTACGTAAAGTTGCGGTCGGTCTGAAAACCGTTCCAATTGGTCCACCGTTTTTATGTTTTTAAATTAAAAAAAATGGACTGGGTGTGTTTATATCACTCCAATAGGATGGTCTTTACACTATATCTACACGTATGTCTGTCCAAACAGCTTGAAAAGTAGATTTTTCACTATAGGTGCCCTTTTAAGTTAAAAAAAAATGAAAAGAATTTATTAACTTCAGTTTAGTAGTTAAAAAAATGAAGAAATCCACTATTTCTCTTTTATGCTAGTCAGGAGCCATGTGCACCCACTAACAGGTAAATCTGCTTCTCTCCAAATTCAGGTTGCTTTATTGCCGTGACATTTTGTACAGTATTGCCCAAGCATTTTAGATGTATAATGTATGTAATATTGATATCATCAAATTAATAAAATGCACAGAAAAAAAGAATAAAAACAGACAATATCTCAAAAAATTATAATAATTTGCCTTATTAAAAAAATCTACAAATTATAATAATTACCAGAAAAATAATTATTATAATTTGTAGATTATTTCAATAAGACAAATGAGTTGATTACCCATTTCTAATGGTGTATACACATTCTGCAGCCACTTTAGGTGTAATTTCGTCCACTCCGAGTAGTTTTTCTTAGTCGGTAGTATAAAGAATTCATTATTTAATGTCTTTCTTGCTCTCTTGCATAACCAAATATCTGACATTTGAGTAGATTTAGAAACCCCGGCCAGACGCCAAAAAGGTGCGGGTCTCTGTGGGTCTGCAGATCACATGAGACTCTGTGTGCGTTGACAGTGCACACACTGAACGAGCAGTGAAATGGGTATGCTCATGGATGTTTGTTTATATCGAGCGGATGTTAAAAAATATTGTAAAAGGATGATAATAATAGTAAAAGAAAAAATGTGTGACTAAATATACTTGGAAGGCTGTTATATATTATTAATAATATTAAGTTACCTCTAAATTTACCAGCTTCAACTAGTTCTTTGTGCAATAGATGTAATTGTGCTGAAGGCGCTTTATTTCACATGTTCTGGACTTGCCTCAACTTAGAGCATTTCTAGAGGTTAATATTTGACACGTTATCTGTGATTCTTCAGCACAAGCTAGATCCAGATCCACAGGTGGCACTGTTTGGGGTTACTTCAGAGGATATACAGCTGCCTTCTTCAAAGAGTAAAATCATTGCTTTTTCGACTTTTTTGGCACGTAGGGCTATTTTGCTCAATTGGAAGGATTCTCATCCACTCATGCTCAGTGGATTAGAGAAATTAAGTCTTGTTTTATTTAGAAAAAAATCAGGTTTTTATTTAGAGGGTCGAGGGGAAATTTTTTTAAGGGCTGGCAACCTTTTATTGATTTTGTGGAAAATCTCAAATAAATTGATTTTGCTGTACATATGATGTGAATGGTTATGTTAGTAAAATTTATTGATTAAATGTTTTTTATTTTAATTTTTTTTATTATTTTTATTTTTATTATTTTTTATTATTAACACTTTTTTTATTTGTTTTTTTTTACTTATTGTTATTATTATTATTATTATTAAAATAATTTCTTTGTATTTGTATTTAAACCTACTTGTCTAATTGTATATTTGTTAATTTTTGGCTAATGTAAGCGATATCCCGCTGTTGGATTGGTATGGGTTTGGGGTTTGTATTGTTGTTTTCTCCCATTTGAAAAACTGAAAATCGATAAAATAATATCTAAACAAAATTTACCAGCTCCAAACGTTTATTTATTCAGTCGAAAAAAAATGACATGTGTTTTATATCTTAGGGGTCAAGTTACTTCTCTGTCTGTACACCCTTCTGGAAAGCTTGCACTCTCTGTCGGAACAGACAAAACTTTGAGGTAATGCTCATGTTTTTACATTAAATACTTTCCTTGTGCTTTGATTGGTGATGGATATCACTGCACTTTGTTTTCATTGGCCTGATAATTTTTAGTGATTTTTATAAATTTTATTGCAGAACATGGAATCTTATCGAAGGACGTTCAGCTTTCATCAAGAATATTAAACAGAGTAAGCAGAAACACAATATTTTGTAATAATCCATGGAGAAAGTAAAATGTCTCATATTAATTAGAATATTGTATAATATAAAAGTACACAACCTGACAAAAGTCTTGTCTCTTTTCCAAGTTTTAGGAAGAAATAATAACTTGACCTCTAGTTGATCATTTGGTATCAGAAGTGGCTCATATGAAAGGCAAAGGCCTCTAGATTACGCTTATTTGACCACAATAAAATATGATCATATCTTGATTTTTAATGATTTCATTAGGACAGTAAGGTCTGACTTTGCTCAGACAAAAGTCTCATCACTTAACAGAAATAATGTCCAGTATAGAATATAAAGTCCTGCTGCAGTGGAGACAGAATGAATAATGTATATGACTCCATCATGAGCTTGGAGGACTGCATCCATACATCTCTGCAATGACTCAAATCACTCATTAATAAAGTCATCTGGAATGACAAAGAAAGCGTTCCTGCAGGACTCCCAGAGTTCATCAAGAGTCTTTGGATTCATCTTCAATGCCTCCTTCTTCATCTTAACCCTAACATGCTCAATAATTTTCATATCTGGTGACTGGGTTGGCCAATCCTAGAGCACCTTGACCTTCTTTGCTTTGAGGAACTTTGATGTGAAGGCTGAAGTATTCAATTCATGTTCATTTATAGAGCTCTTTTTATAATGTAGATCGCGTCAAAGCAGCTTAACATAGTTCTAGTAAAGTCCAGATTTCAGAGTTGAAGTTCAGTTTAGTTTAGTGTGGTTTAAATTTTACTGCTAAAAGTTGAAACTTAAGTCAGCGAAGAAGCACTGCAGGCCAGCGGTGATAGTGGTGAGGAAAAAAAACTTCACCAATTGACAAAGTGAAGGGAAAAGAAACTTCGAGAGAAGGCACAACCATTATTCCTCTGGCCAAACTTCCTGAAGGCACTTTATTTCACATGTTCTGGACTTGCCAAACTTCCTGTGTGGAGCTGCAGGAGAAGCTGGACATCTATCGTGGAGAAGCTGCAGGTGTGAGCAGGGCACCGGCGGGAGGTCAGGCTGGCCCACAGGATCAATGCGGGGACTCATTTGTCACTGTGGTCTTTCAGGGATCAGAGTCATGCACTCTATTCCTCCATGACAACCACAGCATCAGCTCGGGATGTGGCCTGGTCCAGGATTATGGATACCTTGGGATCATATCTTTACATGTCTTGGATCACATCAATGGCAATGCATAGACTGTAGGGACCTCAGGATCAGTATCCCCAGGTGGAAAAGAGAATAAAGAAAATAATTAGCGTAGCTGCTGTTCATAGTGTATTTAAACGAGAACTGCAGTGTTATAAATGAAAATAGCACTTATAGAAACAAACTTTAAAATCATATGAGAGTTTCTAACACAAGTATGAGAAGGAGCGCTATCCTGCTGTAGAATTTGCCCTCTCCTGTGGTTTGTAATGTAATGGGCAGGAAAAATGTCTTGATACCTCAGGCTGTCGATTATGCCATCCACTCTGCACATCTCTCGCACACCACAATACTCAATGTAACCCCAAACCATGATTTTTCCATCACCAAACTTGACTGATTTCTGTGAGAATCTTGGGTCCATGTTGGTTCCAGTAGGTCTTCTGCAGTATTTGTGATGATTGGGATGCAGTTCAACACGATTCATCAGAAAAATCGACCTTTTGCCACTTTTCCAAGTGATCAACTTGAAGTCAAGTTATTATTTGTTGCTCTTACAGCTGGGATAGACGACAAGACTTTTGTCAGGTAGTGTATAAAAGAAAATCATCCAGTGTGTATTAATGCATTGTAGATGCAGAGATCGTCTTGTGGTCACCAGATGGAGACAAATATGCAGTGGTTGTGAATGATAAAGTGGACATTTACACTTTGGATTCTGCCACCATTATTGGAACCATTGCATTCACAAAAAGGATTTCATGTCTGAAGTTTCTGAAGGTGAACACTAATAGTGTCTAAACTGTTACAAGAAAACCTTTAGTTAAAGGGTTTAAATTAAAACATATGTTAGTTTACTCACCCACAGGTCATTTAAGGTGGTGATTTTTATTTATTTTTTACTTCATTAGAACATTAAAGAAGATTTTGAGCTGAATCTTAGTCCTTAGTGATTTATATAATGGCAGTGAATGGTTACCGGTTTTTTAAAATAAAAATAAACTCATACAAACATGTCCAAATCAATAGCCATGGTTTCAGATGACACACTGAGGTCTTGTGAAGCGAAACGATCGGTCCATGTAAGAAACTGAACATTATTTACTGCGTTATTAGCTTTAATCCACAGCCTGGTCACACAGCTCTCGGAACACATGTGAATGTAGTTCGATGTAGTCTAGATTCTTTTGAAGATGGAAAATATAAAGTTCAATTTCTTACACGGACCGATCGTTTCACTTCACAACATCTCAGTGTGTCATCAGGAGCTGTGGCTATTGATTTGGACTTGTTTGTGTGCGTTTTATTTATATTCTAAAGTCCTTTCACCGTTGACAGCCATTATATGGTTCGCTATGAACCATAAAATCTTTAATGTTCTACTGAAGAAAAAGAAGTCTGAAACATCTTGCTTGACATGTGGGTGAGTAAATTAACAGTTAATTAAATATTAATCTTAACTAATGCGTTTACATCTTGACTTTCCTGACTATTCCTATCAGATTTTCCTGTTTGCCTTTATTTTATCAGTGAATTCCTTGGTCTAATTCCAGTGTCTGTTGTTGATTTTTCTCCTCAAGAACTCACTTCTGGCTGTTGGAGGAGACGACGAGAGTGTTCGCATTTATGATGTGACTTCACAAAAGTGTGTCTGTGAGTTTAAAGCACATGAAAACAGGTGAGACCAGCAGCGTTTACGCTTTCATTACATCCAGGGACCTGTTCCATAAACCAAGCTTAGAGAAAAAGTCAGGCTTATTTAGGTAAGTCAGGTTTATTAATGGCGAATTCGGTTTCATAAATCAAACTTACGATAGTTCAAACTCAGTTACTCTGTCAACTTATGCTGGGAAACTGGCCTGGTCCGGTGCAGGTTAACTCTCAGGCTAAGCCGTCAGTTCAAGCTTAATCATATTTATGTTATGTTATATTATATAGTTATTGCTAAAAACAAACTACAACATTTCAACTAAATTTGATATATTTTTTAATCTGTTTTTTTTTTTTTTCTGTTTATTGAAATTTTATTTAATATTTTCCCCCAACATATTATGTTGGGTGTACTAATTTTTTAACTGTGATCAAAGTTAATTATTGGTTTGATTAGTTCCAAATTTTGCTCATATATATATATATATATATATATATATATATATATATATTTATATAAAATTTCTTAAAGAAAATAATATTAAGAAAGCACTGTGTGATATAAAGAAGTAGGCTACACTTCTTAAAGAATGACTTTAAAGGGCCATGAAACCCCCTCGTTTCAGCAGGGTGTTTTCACACCTCTACTTTGGAAAAAGTCAGAAAAGTGGGCATGTCCAGCTCTGTTTAGGGGGGAGTGTCGGAGGAAGAAACGAGGCTTGGTATGGGAGTGTCCATTTGGGCGCGCTGAATTTCAGAGTCAAAACACACACCCACAGCGGACAATGTGACTGTGTTTACATGGACATCTGTAGTCGAATTATTTGCCAAATTATTAAATGGTGGACTTTAACTGCAGTTTGGCTCTTTCATTCAGGGAATTCATTCATGTCCCTCGCGACAAACAAGATATTTGATTCGAGGAACTGCTCTAAGCGTGTATTTTTCATGCAATGTTTGATACCGCACGGCGAATGAGAGAAAAAAAAAAGCGTCAGAAAGCCGCGTGTGTTATTCCGGTCACACAATCTAACACGAGGTTATAGTTTGGTTGTAACTGTTAGTTCAAACTTGTTTACACTCGGTGCAATAGTTTGTTTGATACGAATAAAATACGAACTGAATAAACAAAGAGCACTGGTCGCTCACTTACCAAATCTGTAGAGACAGGACAATCACCAGCAACTAAAGCCGCGTCTTTATTTAGAGGAGACTAACGTTACAAGCGAATCCGGTGCCCGCAAATCCGGCTGTGTCCGCATACGCTGTTAGCAGATACGCTTCGTGGACGAGGAACTGGAATTCCAGAAGGGAACAGAATCGACTGCTACACCGGATCTCAGCGTTAGCAGATCAGAACAGCTCTCAGGTAAACAATAATCCTCCTTAGACACGTAAGTTATTGTTGTCGCGCGTCGCATACACTTAATCCACACGAGTCTGCGCTCTCACAGAGAGAAAATGAAAACGAAACTTAACTGCAGCAAACTATAAAAGCAACACTTCACGCTTGTTTTGCCAACATAACGTGGCGTCTTTGTCGTCTACACTCTGACAGTAATGAATATTAATGAAGTTGCACAATAGAGCGCGCTGATTGGTTTGAACCAAGCCTTACTCATGCATTAATGCAACACACTGTAAGACGTAATAAGACTCACTCTGTCACAGACGCCCAGTCTGCACGCTGGAATACACGCTATTATGTCATGGCCGTGACGCAGCTTCAAAAATTCGTTTCAAACCGGAAGTACAAATTTGCTTGAAATAACGCAAAAACAACCAATTTACACTTTTTAGTGAAATATAGGTGTCCTAATAGTGTTTTTAGCAGTGTGGGACACATATACGACTGTCAACAGCTCAAAAAATGTGTTTTGGTGTTTCGTGACCCTTTAAAGCATCAAACCCTGAGTGGAATAATCGGGAGATGTATCCGGGCCAAGCTGTTGCCTCACTTTAATATAAAGATATTCTCCCGCAGGCTGCAGGAAACGCGTGTCAAAGGGAAAGCAGCAAATTGCAGCGGTTTTAGGGGCAATTTATAAGTCCCGCCACTCTTTGTTGCCATTATTTTAATCTTAATGTGCTGACGTTAAGCACATATTGAATGTTACCGGGAGCCTGCAACGCGTTAAAACTTTTCCTTGCAGGAAACCATTGGCGATAAAGCCTGGTTTATACTTCTGCGTCAAGTGACCGGCGTAACCCACCGCACATGCAACGCGCGTGGCTGTGCATTTATACTTCTGCGCGCTGTCTCTGTTGGTCTGCATTAACACTTCCGAAACACTAGTTGGCAGTGAGGTGTAAATGTTCCTCTGTGTCGAGATTCTTCGCTACTGTTTTGCTTTTCCTGAACACTTCCGGGATGTACAAGTGGCTTAAACTCGCTCATTTTGAGGCAGGAACCGGCGGACGTGCAACAACTTTAACTATGAGGTAAACACAAAACCAAACTTTCCATCCGGAGCTCCTTCACGGGACTCCACACTTGTAAACAATCACTCCATCAGGCTCGCACCATTCACTCGGCTCTCGGCCCCGCCCAGACTCGTCAGTACATTGTGCATCGTCAGTACAGACGTGTAGTTACATTTTTTGAAAGGTGTACGTCAGCGAAGGGCTATGCGTCAGCGCCATAGCATACGCCGGCGTTTGACGCAGAAGTATAAATCAGCCTTAAGCGTGTGTTCTCTCTTCATCAGGTGAGAAAATATGTGACAATTATTTAATGTAACTTAAATAGGCATAAATAATGGCCTATATTTTAAAATCTACAATTTCCTGTCAGCCTTCTCTCTTGCTTTGTTGCGAGCCGTACTGTAGTTTTTAATTATTACATTTAAATTTTGTTTTAACTCAATCAAAGGCGGCTCACTCGCTGTGAACAGCTGTGTCTCAATTCAGTGCTCGTTCATTTCTCGTAGTTGCCATGGTAGCACACAACATATTCGATGCATCTATGCTCGACCTCAGGGTTTCGCGACTGTATTAATTTAACTGAACTTAAATAGTTAGATCAAATGATCTTCAACTTGCTGTTATGCAACCAATTTAAGCGTGGACGTTTAGTTCGGCCTACTGAAGTCAGGTTTTTGCCTTGAATCCCCGCTTTATGACGTTTATGACACAGCCCCCTGGACACAAGGAGTCCCATAATAATCACATGTACAGTTCGCATACGAACAGTAGCTGCTCTTTTTGTTGTTTGACACATTTGACAATCAGATTAAATTATTTTTGTAGCTACCTCTGGAAGGAGTTAAAGGTGGATAAACTAAACATTTCAGACCATATAATTCTAGGTTTTGTTTGAATTATTTAATGTTTTTTTTCCAGAGTAAAAGCCATCGAGAGCTTCATGAAGGATGATTTTTGTGTCCTTGTAACGGCATCAAATGATGGATTCATTAAGTTGTGGAAACTCAATCTTGAGGTATGTTGTTCTCTTTTGCTAAATGCTATAAAGCTAACAACAGTGATTATATGTGCGCATTAATGCAAGATAATCTTAAATTAAATTAAGTATTCTGCAGATTAAAATGTAAACAAAAAAAAGCTCTCCAAAGTATTATAAATTCTAATTGGCTGACAGTATTTTTGGTATTCATCAATCTTCATCTCAACTGGAGAACAATTAATTAATTAAAATTTATATCGTTTCTCTTTCTCAAAAATAAATAGAAAAATTATTAAAGGGCACCTATGGTGAGAAATCTACTTTTCAAGCTGTTTGGACAGATATATGTGTACATATAGTGTATAGACCGTCATATTGGGGTGATTTAAAGGGTCACGAAACACCAAAACACATTTTTTGAGCTGTTGACAGTCGTATATGTGTCCCACACTGCTAAAAACACTATTAGGACACCTATATTTCACTAAAAATGGTAAATTGGTTGTTTTTGCGTTATTTCAAGCAAATTCGTACTTCCGGTTTGAAACTAATTTTTGAAGCTGCGTCACGATAATAGCGTGTATTTCAGACTCTGAAAATCACTCCCACACCATGCCTTTTTTTTTTCTCCGACACTACCCCCTAAACAGAGCTGGACACGCCCACTTTTCTGACTTTTTCCAAAGTAGAGGTGTGAAAACACCCTGCTGAAACGAGGGGGTTTCATGGCCCTTTAAACACACCCAGTCCTTTTCTTTCCAAGTTTAACAACACAAAAACCAATTGGATCGGTTTTCAGACGGACCGCAACTTGACATTGGAGTGCGGTTCCCCCCGCCCACCAATATTGATTGACAGCTGCACATTAACATGTCTCCTTAGTAACGCATATAATCATATCAACAAGACAGGATGTGCGCAAAGCAACCGGGAATAAAAGGTCTGCTCAGTTTGTTCAGTCTGTTTCATTGTTGCAACTCCACAACAAATGCATCAAATACTCATTGCTTAAGTTCTTACTGTAGTATTTCTCCCAAACGTTACATGAGATCTTCTTTCAGAGGCAGCCGAGGGCAGTGATTGAGGCATGCTGTCAGGCACGTGGGAACGGTGGGTGGGGAGGACTACCCTTAAAGGCGCAGTACAAAAAAACAGCAACAAGCTTTTACCAGCTATAAAACAGAAACTTCAGCTATAATAAATACTCTGATGGGTGTTTTGAGCTGAAACTTTACAGACACATTCTGAAGACGCAAAAGACTCATCTTAAATCTGGAAAAAGGGGTAACCTAGGTGGCCTTTAAGACTTTAAAGATATCGCAATAGTTATATGTTATAAAAAGCAACAAATATGATGCACAATCCCTTCATTTTAAGCATAAATATGGTTTTATTTCGAGTGACTAACTTTATACTCTCTTTTCCTGGTACAGTCTATAGAGTCTCCTACATTGCTTGGCCAGCTGAACACCACTGCCAGACTCACCTGCTTGTGTGTTTGGATGCCCGGTGAAACCAAAGAAACAGCAGAACAACCTGCCCAGGCCACAACCTCTGAAGGTTTGCTCACATAATTATTCAGTATGTGTGAATATAGACTTAGAACTATATCACAATATTTTCATAGATTCAACAGGGCACTGGAAATATTCCTCAGAATCTTTGCTCCATATTGACATGATAGCATCACGCAGTTGCTGCAGATTTGTCGGCTGCACATCGATGATTCGAATCTCTCATTCCACCACATCCCTAAGGTGCTCTATTGGATTGAGATATGGTGACTGTGGAAGCCATTTGAGTACAGTAAACTCATTGTCATGTTCAAGAAACCAGTCTGAGATCATTCGCGCTTTGACTTGGCGCGTTATCCTGCTGGAAGTATCAGAAGATGGGTACACTGTGGTCATAAAGGGATGGACATGGTCAGAAACAATACTCAGGTAGGCTGTGGTGTTGACATGATGCTCAATTGGTGCTAATAGACCCAAAGTGTGCCAAGAAAATATCCCCCACACGATCACACCACCACCACCAGCCTGAACCGCTGATACAAGGCAGGATGGATCCATGCTTTCATGTTGTTGATGCTAAATTCTGACCCGACCATCCGAATGTCGCTGCAGAAATCAAGACTCATCAGACCAGGCGACATTTCTCCAGTCTTCTATTGTCCAGTTTTGGTGAGGCTGTGTGAATTGTAGCCTCAGTTTCCTGTTCTTAGCTGCAGGAGTGGCACCTGGTGTGGTCTTCTGCTGCTGGAGCCCATCTGCCTCAAGGTTAGACGTGTTGTGTGTTCAAAGATGCTCTTCTGCAGACCTCGGTTGTAACGAGTGCTTATTTGAGTTACTGTTGCCTTGTATCAGCTGGAGCCAATCTGGCCATTCTCCTCTGACCTCTGGCATCAACAAGGCATTTGTGCCCACAGAACTGCCGCTCACTGAATATTTTCTCTTTTTCAGACCATTCTCTGTAAACCCTAGAGATGGTTGTGCGAGAAAATCCCAGTAGAACAACAGTTTCTGAAATACTCAGACCAGACCGTCTGGCACCAACAACCATGCCAAGTTCAAAGTCACTTTAATCACCTTTCTTCCCCATTCTGATGCTCAGTTTGAACTGCAGCAGATCATCTTGACCATGCCTGCATGCATTGAGTTGCTGCCATGTAATTGGCTGATTAGAAATTTGCATTAACGAGCAGTTAGACAGGTGTACCTATTAAAGTGGCAGATGTGTAGTCTACTCTTTATTTGCCTGTACAATATCAACAAGTAGCTATTTGAGCACACAATAAGAGCATTTAAAGTATCTTGAGTGCTCTGGAGTTAGAGTTAGAGCAGTAACCTTAATTGCATGTTCAAGTTAAAATAGAGTTCAGACACCAGGGCAAACAGTATTAATATCTTTTTTATTTCTTCTGAAAGATGTTTTGGATCCACTTGTGCCTGTCAGAAGTAAAAGAGTGAGGATTCTGGGAGAGGAGGTGATTATGGAGGACGAAAAGGGCTCCAAAACACAAGGAAAAAAGAAGAAAAGGCAAAAGGTTCAATAAATGGTTTTTAAAAAATTATTTGGTGGCATTTTGTTTTTTGCATGTCCTAACCAGAGCATACAGTTTAAAATCTATTATCCTCTTAAACCACAGTTATTAACAAGAGCGATGTTTGTGCACTGTTTTTCTTGTGTATGCATTAATGTCATAGGAACAACAGCAGACCTGTGTGCTGGTTGCTGTTCATTTGGAGTAATTGGCTAATGCATCAAATGGGGTCTGCTAAAATATATATATATTGTGGATTTTAATGAGTTTTCATTTTTTCAGTCTGTGAAAAACTATTTATTTTGCAGGAAAGTCAGCAATGTGCCACAAACTGTTATGTGAAATGTATTTCTTTCTGAATTGTGATGTGAAAGGGGTTGTTCCAAACATAATTATAAAGAAAATAAGTAAAAACTTGATTGGAGAAGGGAAAACTTTTAAAGAACTGCAGCAAATTACTCATCTAAAATGCCTGAAAGTGGCTACAAAACCCCAAAACATGCAGAATACAAGGAACTAAAGTTATAATAAATTCAAGGGTAGCCGAATGGCAAAGATTCTGCCAAACATAAACTCCACATAGATAAAATATAATCTAAAATAAATCTAAAATGAATGACTAGTACTGTCAGAAGATGTTTGATGGAAGCTCAGTTGTTGGTAAGATTGGTTTATCAGATGTTTAAAACTACACGTACCAAATTTTAGCCTGTTAATGGTTGTGCAAACTTTTTTATCATGATTCATACTGTAATTAATCAGGCTGAATACTTCAAAATGCTTGAAGAGATTGTTTCTCTGAGCTGGAGGAAATGACTCTTTAAGGAGTGTTTCAACATGCCAAAGAGTAGTAATTTAACTATTTTGTTTCAGGCGTAAAGGATCATGGTAGTTGAATGTCCAGTCAATCCCCTGAACTTAAACATATTGAAAACTTTTGAGATTCACATGAATGTGGGAAAGCTTCATTACTGTGCGTTCACACCGAAGACGGTGAGGGCATCAAAGGTTGCTCTGGCCGCCCTGGCGACAACGCTGTCTGCCTTTAGCTCCGGCGGCGAGAGCGTCAAAAGTCGCTGCAGTGATTTCATATTTAAAGGAGCCGTTGCAGCATATCGTATCAGTTACATTCCCGCTTAAACAAGCTATCTATTGTGAAAATGTTGCACACTTTTCATCAAATTCAACTAACTACAGAAGATCTAGTTGCATGTGGTGTGGCTTTGCTCCACTCAATATTCTGAAGCAGCAATACTGTTATGTATTGTTGCATGAGATTCCTGGTTTTTAAAGAAAAACTAAAAAACCTATATAACATTACTGCACATCAGTATCTTGTGTACCAGTAAAAAAACATCGCAAATAATTGGAAATCCGACGACCAAAATAATCAAACCCTTGAGAACAACTGTGGTTGGAACCAAAGTTAACAGTGACCGTTCTCTGGACTCCTCTCAAACGGTGGACTTCTACATTCAGATTGCTTGCCGCCAAATCGCGTCATTATCATAAAGTTGACTTGATTTAACGCTTGACGCACCATGCTGCTAATCGCTGCGGGCTCCCATTGAAAATGAATGACTTCACGCTACTTTGACGCTCTTGCCGCTTTCGGTGTGAACAAACAGTTACGGGCTAAAATACAATTATCAAATGCTACACAAATGCGCAGCAGTTATCAAATCAAAGTCTTTGGAAATGTTAGTCAAGAAGTTTACAATTTATTTTGAAAAAGGTTTTCAATCGTGGTTACTGTTTTAAGCTAGTTCTTGCTAGCTCGTTCTGACGAGCAAAGAGCCAGCTTAAACCAGTTGCCATTTTCACAGCTGTTTGGTGTTTTGATTTTCTTCCGCAGCAGTATGGAAGTTGAGAAGTGGAGATCGGTCGTTGCTAGATCGGATATGGTTGCGGCTGGAAGCTAATGAAAATTATTTATATTATTTATTAAATTTCCCATTTATTGTATTTTATTAACGTCTACCCTGAACCCAACCATCACAACACTGTAAAAACAGTAGTTGTACAGAGTAGTATTTATGTTATCTATTAAATTACCCAATATTTTTTAGCGCCTACCCCCATGTTAACCCTAAACCCAACTGTCACAGTACTGTAAAAATATGAATGATCAATATAGTGTCATTAGAAAAATGCTGCTATATTAATGTGCATATCGCATTTCCGGCCAGCCACATATCTGATCTAGACTTTACCAGGTTACTAGTGGGTAGTACAGCAAATTAAAATACAATTATAAATATGAAAACAAAACAAAAAACACTGCCAGAATACTTGATAAGGAGCATAGAATCACCAAGAGGTGACACTTTAGTGCGATTTGGGAAACGGCCATTTTGGAAGGAAAATTCCAATAGAATAACAGCATATTCATTCATCATTCATTTTCTTTTCGGCTTAGTCCCTTTATTAATCCAGGGTTTGCCACAGCGGAATGAACCAGCAACTTATCCAGCACATGTTTTACGCAGCGGATGCCCTTCTAGCTGCAACTCATCTCTGAGAAACATCCATACACACTCATACAAACAATTAAGCCTATACCCAATTCACCTGTAGCACATGTCTTTGGACTGTGGGGGAAACCGGAGCACCCCGAAAGAAACCCACTCGAACGCGGGGAGAACACGCAAACTCCACACAGAAACGCCAACTGACCCAGCCAAAGCTCGAACCAGCAACCTTCTTGTTTTGAGGCAACAGCACTACCTACTGCGCCACTGCGTCGCCCTACAACAGCACATTATATTTTATATTTCTGTGGGATTGTTACAATACAATCTTTTACTATTCCTGCCTTACCTCTGTGTCTGAGTTCTTAATGTTGTCGTATCGTTTCTCTCTTTGGAGGAATTTAGACTTTTGAGCATCTGGACCATTGATGAACAACTTACAATACATTTGTGTGTGGTGGGTTACACCCAGGGGCGGACTGGCCATCAGGCAATCCTGGCAAATTCCAGATGGGCCAGACCATTTTTTTAAATGTGGGCCGGTCAGCTATTTTTTTAAATATATTTTTTTCATATGTATTGTTTTTACATTTAGGCAGCTTTTATCTCTTGCAAGATGTGAATATGATGATGATGATAATAGTAAGAATTATGATAAATGTTCAGCATTGGCCCAATCGGCAACGACCGGCTGGTTTCGAGATGGGCCGACCCAATCTGAGGTTACACAGATGTAATCGAAATCTGGCAAGATTGTCCAACACGCAGTAAGTGCAACACAAGCTAGTTGTCAGAGATTGACCATAAAAAGGGAAAGGCAGTCAAGTCAGACATTGCCAAATACATAAAAATAACTGAACTAGTCTTGAAAGGGGGCAGTACAGTGGCGCAGTGGGTAGCACTGTCACCTCACAGCATGAAGGTCACTGGTTCGAGCCTCAGCTGGGTCAGTTGGTGTTTCTGTGTAGAGTTTGCATGTTCGCGTGGGTTTCCTTCAGGTTTCATTCACATGTCCAAAACACGCTATAGCTGAATTGGGTAATGGGTTGCAGCTTTGAGAGCATCCGCTGTGTAAAACAGTATAAATTGACGATTCCTAGATTAATAAAGGGACTGAGCCGAAAAGAAAATGAATGACATGATTGCATATATAAATGGGTTGCTTTTGTTTCAGTCACATACATTAAAAGTTTTAAATATCTCTTTAATATGGTACAGCTTACATAATTTTACCATCTGTACACTAATATAAGTAGTGAATGTGCATGTCCGTGGGTGGGGCTGTGTCGGTGGGGTAATGTGGGCTGGTGTGGCTGCAGTGCCAGGGCTGATTTTTAGTCCCAGTGCGCCCCTGGTTACATCTGTTTCATCTGAGTTTTCTAAACATGCAAAGACATTCGAAGACAAAGATAATGTGAAATTGGTTTTATTTTCTATTGAAATAATTAGTTTTATGTTTTTGTCATCTGGAACTCTGTGTCCTTTATATTTATGTACAGTTTCGCTCCATAAACACAGCAATGTTGCCATTTTGTCGACACAAATGAAATCATATTTGTGAGGACATATTTGCCCACGTTGACCTCCTCAATAATCCATCTTTTCCTGTAACTGCTGTCATTCATATTTAAGTCAGGTTATAGATGAGCGTTGTGAGACTAAATTTCCACAGAGAGCGATTAAATAGCCCTTGTTGCTCTTAATTGTCTTATTTTTATAGTAATTGATGATACAACTGAAGAAAGCCGGTAGTCATTAAAGATGCTGCTACTTTTAATGGAGGAACTCGCTGAGTACTGTTATTTTCAGAAAGCCTGACTCTTCATCTGTTGTTTGCTAGATTGAAGTTCTATGAAGGCCAATTAAATGGCTATGACTGTACATCCCTTTTGAAAACACAAGTATAAGGTTTTAAAGCATGGCTGCTGGTTTAAGATGTGTTTTTTTTGCTGGTCATGACCAGGGTAAAGCAGTTCACAACCAGCAAGACCAAGCGGTCATGATTCTAAACCTACCAAATCAGCATGGATAGCTGTCATTTTTAAAAATCTGATTATAAACTACATAAAAAGTTTAAGACAAACTGAGGTTGGATAAGGAAGTATTAATAGAAACAGCCTTTCTGTCTTGGACATGTTTGGACTTGCTTATTTTTAATCTAAAAAACTTGTCACTACTCTCTGCCAATAAATGAATCACAAAAAATCCAATGAAGGAAAAAAGTCACTTACATCTTGGATGACATGTGGGTGAGTAAATTAACAATGAATATTCATATTAGGGTGAACTACCTCTTTAATATTAAGTAATGTGTTTACATCTTGACTTTCTTTATTAATCCGTACAGATTTGCTGCTAAGTATTTTACGTTTTGGCAGTTTAGTGGCTAATTCGTACGAATTCGTACGAGTTCAGTCGTAAGAAAATGTACGATTTTAAAAAGGAGGCGTGGCACCTAACCCCACCCCTAAACCCAACCGTCATTGGGTGATACGCAAATCGTACTAAAATGTACGAATTAGATCGTACGAATTTGTACGAATTAGCCACTAAATGAAA